CATACACGCACGCATTCATATATATATATATATATATATATATATATATATACCCTTTGTCATGAGCAAATAAAAAGTATAGAGGATGACCAAAAAAACCGATCTGAGCTCGTCATGACGTTTTATGGTCACAAGACATTTTTTACAAGTAATAAAAGCATTCATCCATTTATTTTTACGCTTGAAAAAGAAAAAAAAATACCAGGTATATCCCGAATCACATAACATCATGTATCCCTTGCATCATCCAGTCATTTCCCACCTTCCAAGATGCGTAAATATAAATAGAGGTCTCACCTCACATCCTTTTCCTTCCTCGCTTCCCCCCTCCCCAATAATTTATATCACGTTGCCTCCCCCCCCCCTCTTCTTTCTTTCTTCCCTGACCAACATAAAAGTAAGAGGTGTTCCCTAGCCGAAAACAGAGAGAGCTATAAGAAGCTACGGAAAAGAGCACATATAAACACATACAACGATCTCCATCGAATCGCCAAATGCTGTTTTGCTTTCCTGTACCGAAACAGACGCAAAGACCGAAAATAAGACTAGGTAAAAAAAAAAAGACTAGGGAAAGCCATTAAATAAGAGACATCATCATGGATATGCTAAAAAAAAAAAAGGTAAGGGAAACCCTTGTTTACTCAAAACGCTGATAGCGGAGGAGAACAGGAAATGGTAGAGTGCTCCGGTGTGAAGAGGGCGAAGCAGAGCGGGGAGTAGAAAAGGAAAAAAAAAAAGTTACATGTCGGGATAGTCATCCATGTCGTCGTCGCTGCTATACCTCGTACTCTGGGGACTCTGGACGCCACTCGGCAGAGCGCTGTGGCTGTGGATCCCGGCGTAGGTATCCAGCATGCTCATGCTGGGAGGGCCGGCAGGACCACCGAGGCCACCGGGACCGCCGGGCCCGGCACCGGCAAAGTCGGCCATGCTCCCGTTCCGGCTCATCGACGGCTTCTCGGGGAGCTGGTCGAGCAGGCCGGTCGAGATGTCGAGCATGGTCATGGCGAACTCTGTGAGGCCGCGACCCTCGCCGGGCTTGGAGCTGACCGACAGGGTCCACCGGTACTCTGACAGGCGGCGGCGGTACCACTCAGCCTCCTCGCGGCCGGGGGAGGTGGCCCACAGGAGGGAGCCGAAGGTGCCGATGAGGGCGAAGTTGGTCTTGGAGGCGAAGTACCAGAAGGAGCGGAGGTGGATAGGGCCGAGGCGGTTGACAAAGTCCATGGCCGAGATGAGCCGGGCCTTGGCGGCGCTGCGGCAGATGCTCTGCACGTAGGGGTCCGTGGCGGTGGCGGTCGCGGCCAGGGAGCGGATGATGCGGCGGTGGAGGGTGATCTCGGCGGCGAAGTAGGCCAGGTGGAGGTACCCTATGCTCGTGAAGCGCGACGACAGCGACGACGTCGACGTCGACGCCCCCGAGGCCGATGCCGTGGCCGACAGCGACGACGTCGAGTCGATGCGGATGCTGTTGGGCAGGTTGCCGTACCACTCCTTGAGCTTGAGCTGGATGGGCTTGGCCAGCGACAGGACCACCTGGGTACCCTGGGCGCCGGCGTCGGCCACCGTCTGGGCGGCGTCGAGCGTGTAGAAGGTCTCGAGGATCTCGGCCAGCACCTCGGACAGCTGCACGGCGCGCGTGAAGACGAGGCGGCCGCGCTCGATGTCCTGCTTCTCCTCGACGTCGTCCTCGTCCCACTCGACGTCGGGGAAGTCGTTGGACGTCAGGCTGCGCACCCCCCAGTTGGAGGGGAAGATGTGCGACGGCCGCCCGTGCACCAGGGCGCCCCACTTGTCCTGCATGTACAGGGCCCAGGCGAGCCTCTTGCGCAGGCCCTTTTCCCACGGCGGTATCTTCCAGCCTGAGCAGTCGAGGTGCAGGCCCAGCTCCTGGGCCGTGGCCACGACCTGGGCGGTCGGGGCCCACTGGTCGCCCTCGGGCCGCTGGGAGAGGAGGAGCCCGGCCTGGACGGTCGACAGCTTGGGGCGGTAGATGGCGTCGGCGAGGGTGGTGCGCACGAGGCGCTCGAGGTGGCGGACGTTGGGGCGCGGCACGCGGACGAGGTCGTCGTGGTGCTCCCACCAGTTGATGGCGAGCAGGTAGACGGCGGCCAGGACGGGTGGGTCGAACTCGCGGTAGGAGCGGTCGTACTTCTCGATGAAGACGTGCTTCTGGACGATGGGAAAGGCCGGGTGGATGATGCGGAAGTAGAGGTCGATGAGCTTGCGGCCGTGCGGGGCGACGACGGCCTCGATGTCGTCCAGGTCGCTGATGAGGTGCTCGTGTCCCGGGGTGGTGCCGTCGGGCAGCATGAGGAAGGTGTCGTCGTCGCTGACCTTGCGCAGGGTGCCCCGCGACAGCAGGCTCTCGCCCTGGGGGTCAAAGGACGACAGGTTGATGAGGGACGGCTCGAAGTCGGTCGTGGGCCCGATGTACTGGCTGAAGCGGTCCTGCTGGAGGCCCAGGGTCCTCTTGAGCATGGTGGGTCCGCCGACGTTGGCCATGTCCTCTAGGAAGGAGCTGCTGGCGGCGGTGCTGGACAGGCTCGAGTTGTTGTTGTTGTTGCTGTTGTGGTGGTGGTGGTGGTGGTGGTGGTGTTGCTGGTGGTGCTGGCCGTTGCTGCTGCTGTTATTGATGATCTGTCTCCTCGGCAGGGTACCGCCGGGTGACGAGGAGCTCAGCCGATCCTCTCCGGGAAAGAGCTTCCTCTTCCGCGACGACGACGAGGGGGGGCTCAGGGATAGCGAGCACTCGTGGGCGTTTACCTGGCAGGAGATGCAGCCGTCGTCGTCCTCGCTGGGTATACACCTCGAGCCGGCCTGACGACAGGCACGACAGGGGGGTAAAGGCGCCGAGGCAGATGCCGGGGCCGAGGAGGCCGGACGATCGGCGGCGGCGGCGGCGGCGGCGGCGGCGTGGGCGGGATGAGAGGGGGAAGAGACGCCCCTGCTGGCCTGCAATAGATTGCTCAGACTGCTATTACTTGTGCCGGCGCCGGGAGGGTGGTAGCTGCTGGTATTGACGAGGCTGTGGCTGTGGCTCTTGCTGTTGCTGGCAGAAGCTGGACGTCCTCCAATGACATCGAGACGACGGGCGGCGGCTGCGCTGCTATCGATACGGTAAAGTGAAGTCGAGGCCGAGGCCGAAGCTGAGGTTGATGACGAGTCGGGTCGTGAGGGAGGCTTGGGAGCGATGGGGATGGGGGCGGTCCTCTGTACGGTGGAGGCCGAGGCAGGTGTAGAGGAGGAGGAGGAGGAGGAGAGGTGTTTACTACCGCTGATATGGGCCATGGTGGGCAGCAGCGGGCGTATCGTAGGGATAGAGATAAGGAAGTATCTTAGATCAGGACAAGGGGAGTAAGGTAGTGGGAAATCAGTGCGTGCGTGTGCGCGCGGTGCGTGGGCGTATGTGGTGCCGTGTGTGCGTGCGTGTGTGTGTATGATAATCTGGCCCCATGTAACTGGCAGCAGCGGACAAGTTGCTCTGTTCCACACCCCACCAACGATCCTCCTTCTTTCTTTTTTTATTCCCCGTATATATCTAGAGAATCTCGTGAAAGAGAGAGGGAGGTAAGGAGGAACACCCTCCGGAATCTCTCAACACACACTGTCTGATTGGCCTTGAGCCCAAATACGCCGGGTACTCTTTTTTTGTTCTTGTTTTTATTATCTGACCGAAACGATGGCGCCCCGCGCGACTTTGTGAGATAGAAGTGGAGGTTTTGGTAACCAAGGATGATTTTAAGCGAGAAGCCAGGGAACAAGAATGATGAGGCGGAGATGGTGTATGGTGGGGTTCACCTTGAGATGGAGAGAGTGTGGGAGCTCTCTCTCTCTCTCTCCCTCCAGAGGATGATAAGATGCCGAGATAAGAGAGGCTGCTTTTCTGGATGCGAAGAGGGACCCTGGTATTAGCGCTGTGGAACACACAAGGCTTACTCTTTTCAGGTAATACGTGGAGGTGGACGTGGTAGGACGACAGGTTGCAGGCGCCACAGAGAGATAAGCATCCGCAGTCAGCGGCGTCATTGGGCGGTTTGCTAGGAACTGGGGGGGGAGGGGAGAGGGTTGAAGAATTGTCGCGTGCGTCAAGGGTATATAAAAAAGTCAAAGTACGGTTTAGTAGAGATAGAGAGTCAATGGTCCCATGGAAATTTCGTACAGAGAGAGAGGGAGAAAAAAAGAAAAAGAAAAAGAAAAAGACGGGGGTGGAGTGAGGGGAGTGAGTGGAGGGGTGTGTGTGTTGTGTGTGTGTGCGTGTGTGGGTGGGTGTACGTATCAGTGTAGAGAGACGACAATGCACATATTCGTACACGCGAACAACTCGCAGTCGCTCATTCGACCACGCTGTTCCATGTACGAGTAATGATGTTCTTCCTTAGTGGTAACGGTCCAACGGATCTTCTGTAGAGCAGCAGCAGCCGTCAGACGAACCGGTTAGAGGGATATCGTAACTGCTGGTGATGATTACATATTCCTCATAGTAGCAATCAATATACTCGTAGTCAGAGGAGGGGAAGGGGAGTTGCCGTCAGCTGCATTCAGACTAGAGAGTATTAACTAGCAGCAATGACAACGAATAGACGGGGAAAAAAAAGAATATACATGCATAATATAAAAAAAGGAGGTAAAGGCCTAAAAAAGAGGCAGATTCTGTCAAGGACTCTCGCGAGGCCGATTGGCAATGTAGACGGTGTGAATGGGCCATCATAGGTCTCTTCTTCCGCATCTAGCTACTACGAATAGACTACCGATTATATAATACATGTATTACTAAGGGGTATTATTCGGTGACGATGCCCTACAGACGATAATACCTGGAATGTCTAAGCCTGAGGCCCTAAACCACCTAGAGAGGAGCCCGCGGTATGGAGAGAGAGAGAGAGAGAGAGAAGTGAGCACTGAGAGGCCAGGGTCCTTCCCCGATCGTCGTCATGGCTTTGAAGATTGAGTGATTGAATAATACTAGTGATAATACTGTAATACATGCACGTGAGTAGTACAGACTAGCATCAGGTATTATTATACTCGTACAGATGGAGGGGTGAGTATAAACACATGTGCAAACCCGTACAGGGATGCTTATCTATTCCAAGCAGTCGGTAAGGCGATTGAAATACATAATGGGAACTTGTCTCTCTCTTCTTTCCCTCCTACAGGCTACAGACTACGCACGATACAGGGTTACCTAATACAGTATGCGTAGCACTATAGGTCCCGCTGCTACGAGTACTTGTACTGATGTAGTCTGTACAGATTACATGCAGCACGGGCAGAGAGTACCGCTACTTCTGCCGCTGCTACTGCTGCTACTGCTGCTGCTGCTGCTACTGCTATCTCCTACTCGCGGGCCAGAGGGGGGGGGGGGGGGGCCCCGGGGGGGGGGGGGGGGGGGGGGGGGACCCGAGAGGCGTGTCTGGCGCGGCGCTATTACCAAATGGAAAACAACCAGCCCAGTTGCTCTAACGTAATGGAGCCTCTAGGCATGTACGAGCATTACATCTACTCCTCTACGGCCCTCCTCTCTACGGATATTACCTTGTACATCATTCTTTTCTCCATTACCTCGACCGCACTCGTGCCGTATTCCCATACTCATAGGCTTCTTCATCGCACACACTCCATCCCTCCATGTTCCAAAAGACTCCGTAATACTACCCCCGTGCTCGATACTCTGTTTTTTTATTTTTAACCTGTAAGGTGTAACACTTATATCAGTACAGAGAATATATATACAGAATATATATATATATATATATATATATATATATATATATATAATGCATGTATATTATGTAATATTACTCCCAACCTCTCCGTCATCGGCTGGTCACGACGTCACGCCCTATCCACCCAAAGGGATTCCCCCCCCCCAAAGCGCGTCTTTTCTTCTTCTTCTTCTCCCTCTCCTTCATTTATCCCTCTTCTCTAACTCTTACGTCTCAATACTACAGCTGACCCTCACTTCCCTCACTCTCGCTCGCTCCCGATACTGCATGTTCCGTAATAAGAAACCAGGGTCCTGCGGGTGTCTTGCGGGTGTTTTCGGGGGGGTGGGCCGCTGAACTAGACCGTCTGTCTCGTCTGGTCCTTCTCACCTCGCTCTCTCCCTCTCTCTCTCTCTCTCTCTCTCGTTCTGTCTCACCCTATTGACAATGATACACATCATCCATACTAGTAGTACTCTTACTCACTTTTCCAATCGTCACATCTAACCGCCATCCATCTGTACGGAGTAGTAATGTCCAATTCCTCACTAGCCTGCTGGCTTCCCTCTTCAGCTCTTGATTGCTCGTAGCTTCGTAAGACGTATTGACTGTCTATAATATAATACTACTGGTAATATGATACAGGTATAATATTATAAATACATGTATAGTATTATGTAGTACCAGTAGGAGCAACCGGGTCTCTGTACACCGCTTCCATACTCTGCGAGAATGCATTACACCTAATACCGAGTTTTGATACCGGCCCCCATCACGTCACTTGCATCTGCCACCCCTGGCCACACTCTCATCCATCAACAGAGTCATAAACACGACTAGCACCACAACCTTCACGCATCTACAAATATACACGTGCTTCATCCACAAATATCGACCCATCAATCTACCGCATCAACTCGTCAACAACGCTGAACCGCCAGGGTCGCTCGGAACTAAAACGCAGCAATCAGCGGGGGCAGGGAAAAGGAAGAAAAAAAGGCGGAATGCGTACCGGTCATCATATCCGCCCCACGCTGCCGCCCTCCTCAACCTCCAAACACCTTCCAACGCTCCTCCGTATATTTACGAGTAGTCGTACGAGTATTACCAACTAGTAGCGGTGGGGGGGGGGGGGGGGGGGGGCAATGCCCACGTACACAGCCCTGTCAAAAGCTCTCGACTCATATCCACTGTCACGTCGTGATAATCGTACTGCAGTATTGCTATCCTACCGCCAAGACTACTCGTTCTGTATTAATACTACCTGTTCCAGGTCCATACCCTCCATGTCTCTTCGAGTCCTCCAGGTCCGAAAATCTCTACGGTCCTCGCGCCACCTTGTCTCCGTCCATTCATACCTGGCTCATTCGTAGGCCGTCGTCGGCGTCAACGTCGTCGTCGTCGTCGGCGTCAAATCAGACGAAGGCGTAGCTGTAGGCTGCCTCTGCACGGCAATCAGTGGACGTCGTCGGGGTATACCGTACGTGGGAAACTGGTCGTCTGACGTTGGGGGAGTCACGAGCACATCCTCAAGCTCAATCTTGAGTGAGCGGACCGTTGAAAGGGGAATGTGCGCGCCGTTGGGCTGCCGAATGTGTCAGTACATGCAATGATGATATGCACACTTTTGCGTGGGCTGGCGTCGTGACGGTGCTCTCTTCCAAACTCACCTTGACAATGGAAATATCAAACGAGTGAACAATCGCGTCAAAGATCCCGTCTCCATCCAACGGCTTCCCTTGGTTACTCAACGGCCTCTTGACCGATCCGACGGCCTTTAGTATGTCGTGTAGCGGGAAGCTGCCGTAGAGGATGCCACTCCTCGGCTGCTTCATCACCACAAAGTTTCCCACAAAGTGGTTGGCAATCGTCAGCTCCACTGAGCACGGCCGCTCGAGACCGTCCACCTCCACTTCAATCGCCACCGAGTACCTCCTCACCGGCTTGCCATCGCGCCGCTTCAGTTCCCTGTTCCCGGGGCCATACTGTCTGTTGATGATCCTTCTGGCGTTCTGCGCCATCTGCTCCCTCGACTTTTCCCAGTATTCGAGGCCCTCGTACGTGTACCCAAAGTCTTCGATGCTGTCCACCGTCGTCGGCGTGTGCAGCTCGTCTTCCGAGGCGAAGAAGGGATGGAGGGGAGACCTGGGCGTGATGACTGTCCCTTCTCGTGTAGAGAATCGCGCGCCGCCCTCGTACGATTCGTGGAACATGGTCTCGCTCGGGTGAATCACCTGCCAGTACGCCCAGAGTCGATCGACATTGGTGTGGTGCAACATGCTGCAATCCGTCGTTAGCCATCATGGACCACCTAAGCAGCTGTACCAGCTCCCGTCACTCTCAACCTGCCCTGAGCGAAACAAAGAACGACTTACAAGAGTGGATCGAAGGCCGAAAATTCCGATGAGAGAAACTGTCCCTTGCAAGCAGCGTCCCAGTGAACTCCGTTGTGTATCTGTTCGAGGCTCATCCCAATGTCGCCCGTTGACGCGAACTGGGAAAAGGTCTGGGCGCGCGTAAAGCAGTTGTACTGCGTATCCGGATCAGTGAGTGCAACGTCGATCGTCTGCGTGACGCGGCAGGCATGAGCCAAGACTTACCAACCAGCTTTGATACGGGCGTTCCGCGAGCAGTTCGTTGGCCGTGCGAGGATAGCTTTCGCCTGGCTCAACACAGCGGAAGGTCCGCTCATTATTGTTGTCCGGGTCCCACTGTCCCTCCCCGAACCGGCTCTCCAACGCTGCTCGAGGGAATCTAAAAGTCCAGAGAGGGTTTTCAACCTCGCTCTCCTCGACACCGTTACCGGTGGAGATGTTGATCGTCAGAGTCTGGGACGCCGTTACAGGGGGCACTCGCATGTCCGCCGCCCAGTCCCAGAACGGGGAGCGCAGCTGATCGGCCGCCCGCATATACCGTGATCTTTGCTCCTCCGGGTATCGACGAGCTATACGCTTTGCTGTGGAAACGATGATTTGCTGCACGGTTGAATGGTTACCTTGATTCAAAGCACGATTCCATCTTCGTCACCCCTGGAGACAGGCATACCTCGTGAAGAAGAACAAATGGACGATGCCATGCCAAGAACAGCCTCTCCTAGCATCCACGCAACAGACGTAACGTCAGTCAAGGGCCTTCGCTGGGGACGAGATTTTTTTTCCCGGGCTTCTCACACCATGAGGACAGTACCCCCTCCACTTATCTGTCCCTACCCTTTGCTCCCCGCCACCGTTATACTCGATGAAGGGCTTTCCATGGATTCCTAGCCGTGGTATCGTCAGCATCAGACACACCCCAGATGTATGGCTACAGGTAGCCAGGGAGAGCAAAGGGGAAGAATACCCATCACCTGAAAGTAGGAAGACTCGTCAGTAGCATTTGCTTCGTGCATCTCGATCAGAGCTTGGATGTAGAGGTCCCTGTTTTCTCATCCAGCCAATCCGGGGCCACCGCTTGTAAGTGCTTATTCTCGTCAAGTCGAAAGCAGTATCCGATGGATGTCTACATACCATTGTGGACCAGCCTCGGCCGCCAACTCGTTGATATTCCTCCTCAGAGGAACGGCTTCAGAGGTCGAACCCACCCCGACAACGGGGATGCCGGCGTCCACGAGCCAAGGGACCGCGAGGCTCAGCAGGAGAGCGGGGGCTGAGCGGGGGAATCTCATGATTCAAGGTTGATAAGGAATACTGCTTAATGATGCCCGTACGCCGTGGCTTCCATCTGCCGTGTGGTAAATGTATATTTGACGATGCGTAGATGGAGGAACAGGTGAAGAAAAAGGGGCTGTTGGCAAAAAGAGGAGGAAAGGTACTGGAGCAGTGGCAGAAGCAGTAGGAGAGGAAGAGTCAACAGCACAGAGGTCCTGCCTCTTCAGGGTCTCTGCTCCTGCTCTATGCTCTGACCTACAGGATTCCTTGGAAGGAGCTGAAGAGAATACCTTGCTCCTCCGTCACGAACTTACACGTGCACTACCGTCCTTTACCGAGATTTACTTTGTGCGGTAGTCGGATACATTGTTTACTATATGTCGCGTTCTGGTGGGGGATCGGTTCGTCAACCGACTCGCCTGGTTCCATGAGAAGCATAGCATGCACCCACCGTACAGCCGGCATCGTCCGCGTCGAGCGAGGAGAGACGACTCGAACATGAGGGCGAATTCTTCATCTCAGGTCATTCCCTGTAGCGCCCACTGCGTCCATTGCTGCTCGGCTGTCCCTTCCGCGTAGGCCACGAGGGGGCGTGTGCCTCATATGGAATATAGCAACATTGCTGCGGCACAATGTGGAACTGGCTCGTGTTCCCCCGGGGGCTGTCGTCGCTTCCTGTAATCTTTGGACGGCGTTGCACGTTGATGGACAAGAAATGGAAAATATCATTTTGCAAGATGCATGCATGCCAGCCGGACAACTGTAAGGGACTCTAAGAAGGAAGGGGCAAAAAACACAAACTCAGTAGAGGCACAAATTGCCCCAATGCTTGGGGGGGGGATGCTATTGCAGAATGAGAAGCTCGTCGTCATCATCGTCGTCAAGTTCCACCTGTCTCGAGGATAGGACTGATTCCATGCTCTCACGGCCAGCTTCGCGGATTCCCTGTTCAGTGATGAATCGAGTCTTCTTCTGGACAGGAGGCGCCTGGTTCTCCCTGCGCAGTTTCTCGCCGGCCTTCATCCTCGACAGCTTGTCTCTCAAGCCGCCACCCCATCCTAGGATCGATGAGCTCCTGGGCTCGGCAGAATCATTCTGTGAACTGTTCGCTCTCTTCCTCTTTCCCATATGGAGCTGGATGTCTCGATTCTTCCTGTCGAGGCCTAGCGAGGCCAGAGCTGTGCTGTCCCGGAAGCTGCTTCCACCAAATGCCCCGCTCCGGCTCGATGCAGCCACGGGGCCTTCGTGGCCGTCTCTGGCAGCGGCGAGCCGCATGTATTCCTGTCCAGAAGCGTCGCCGTGCAGTGCTAGTTTCTTCATGATCTCACGCTCGCGCTCTTTGATTTCCATGCTGCGTTTTATATGGGCCTCCCTTTCCTTCTTGTCCTCGGCAGATTGGCCCTTGCCGTCGATCAGATCGGCCGCACTCATCGTCTTGGCAGTAAAGTAGCGCGTCTTGGTCTCCCAGTCGTAGTTCTTGGGGCCTTTGGCCCTGAAGCCGCCATCCTTGAAGCCGCTGTCCTTGAAGCCGCCATCCTTTTTGGCTTCACCATTGTGTTGTCGTCTGCGAGGGCCGTGCCCGAATCCTCCATCGGTGTTGAGTTCGATTCTGGAAGATCTTGTTCTTTGGACCGCCTCGTTGGTGTGAAATTCGCAGAAGCTGGTCCGCTTCCTGTTGACCCAGGAACCGCAGGCATTCCCGTCTTTCCGTATGGACTGGCATGATCCAAGATCTCGTGCGGCGCCTAGCTCAATGATGGTATCCTCGTCCGAGTTGATGACTAGGCTGAAACGGCCCGTGTCTTGCCTCCCAGGCGGCGGGGGCAGGACTCCAGGGTTGAGTATGGCGACGACAGTCCCCTCTGTAAGCTTCCAGAAGCGGTCGAAGCCGGAATTGAAGAGGAACAAGTCGACGGAATACTCCAGGTCGCACAGGCTCAAGACCATGTACTTCCCACGGTCTTCTTCCTTCTGGCCCGGCCTTAGGACAGCATTGTGCGATCGTGGAGCCGACTTGTTGGCGATGATGGCAAGGACAACAAGATCCTGTTCGACATCCGGCAACTCAAAATTGGGTGCCTTGACATCTCTCAGAAGACCCTTGATGCTCACCAATTTCTTTCCGGAAAGGTGACGGGCAATGATCCGGTGGGGCAGATAGCGCCGCGACAGGTGAAAGCTGGAGAAGGGTTCAAAAGATTCTCGGCTTTCGTCTGCGGACCCGTCCTTTGCTTGGGTGTGCTGCTGGCTTGAGCTAGCCTCGGCTGTGCCGGTCATCTTCCGGGGGCTCGGAGCCGTATTGCTCCTGTGTAGATGAGGTTTGTTGCGCCATTCTTTCGACAGAACGGCATCTCTGTCGAATGTGATGGGCTGCTGCTGAATATCAGGAATCTCAACGGCCTTCGCCTTGTACTCGTCCATGTCCCCTCTCCCCAGCCCAAACGCCTTGCTGCGAGACTCGGTGACACGTCTGCGTCTCTCGCAACTGCCAGCTTCTTCTATGCGGGTGGAAGTGAGCCTCTCACTGAAGCTCGGTCCTTTGACCGCAGGTTGCTGGTCGACTGGCTGTCGAGTGGCGGAACTTCCCCGCTGGGAGAATCTGTTTCCATTACTCCTCGAGCTCAGTAAGTCGGTAGTCCCTCTGAAAGAGAATGGGTTGGCGGCACGGGAGCCTCTCCCAAAATCATCGTCCCTGCCACCTAGAAAGTGCGATCCATCGTCTTGGCGCTCCCGAGCCTTCTTGATGGGCGACGCGGGAACTTGAATGCCACTTCCTGACCCTGATGACATGCTGTGTGTTTGGAGCGAGCTGGACAGTATCAGCATGTATCTCGGCGCTGGAAAGGGACAGCACCCTGCATACTAACTCTCTGGGTCGTCGGCAGAGAGACACGTTGAGCGGTGTCTGTATCTTTTTTTTTTTTGCCTTCCTGCTGAGGCCCACCGTGATGTAGTGATGCTAGTACCGGGCTCCCCGAGTGTGCATCTAGAAATAGTCGCCGAAAATGCCTCCGACAGGGCTGCTACACCCAACAGTGGAATAGGAAACAAGCTCGCCGATTGATATTGAGAAACACAAAGTTGGAAATGAAGCGAGGGAGATGTTTGGGGGGCTCTGTCCTGGAATCTGAAACCCGTAAGGCACGTACCAGCTGCCAGCTGGCGAGGGACCCTGCTGTTGCTTGGGCACAACCGCTTTGGTGGAAGACACGTCAAGTACCTATGTACATATCCACGTATGCATGTACCCAGTTTATGTTGGGCAGAGGAGGTCTGGCCTATTTGCTGCAAGACCTCTTTTTTTCTTTTTCTTCTTTTTTTCTTTCAATCCCGAGCACGGAGTACGGGTGTTATAGCTGACGTTGCAGAGGAGTTGCTACTGCTACCAGCAAATACTAAAGTGGACATCTACCCGTACTTTGAACCAACCGCTGGAAACCCGATAAAGTACGAGCCTAGTAGCAGTTGTTAAAGGCTACTGCCTCCCTCCTAGTCCAGGGATCCTAGAAGAGAGACGCGTCTCAACGCGACTGAACGCGCATCCACATCGCAAGGGACCTGGGGGCTAGCAACGCCACATAGTCAGTATGCTGTTATGGAGCACAGATTAGTTACCACTGTAATATTATCGCCTACAGCTCTACACAATGCCTGTACATCATCGTATTGAGCGGCTTCAGCTTCAGTCTATCAATTTCTTCTGCAATTTTGATTATCGAGAGCCTTCACCTTGAACGTTACAGCTACGAGACGCCAGATTGGAACTCCCTTGATCCATCTTCATCATTCGACAACTTTCAATTCATCGTACAACTTGCGCCGAGACTCCAGTCGTTCTCAATCCGCCGCCATGCCGCGAACGAGATCGGCAACGGGCGCCGTTACGGAATCGGAGAAGACAGACACCTCTAAGGCCTCATCATCCAAGATCCAGCTACCTCCCCGCACAGAGTCGCCGCCGAAACTCTTTGTCTTGCCGACCAAAGCCACCAAGGATGCCGCTGTCATCACACTCCCGCACCCGCGCCACGCGAAACCGTCGCGTTACCTTGTCTGCCCCGAGACCGGCTTCTATGAGTTTACGAGGATAGCCAGTCCGAAGAATACACCGCGAAGTTGGCTGATTGCGTCTGAAAGAGCCGACGCGACGACGACCGCCGGTGGCAGGCCGACCTCCTCTATCGACGGCCAGGCCGTCTCATGCGCGGACCTCTTCATCGCGACCCCCATGGACCCCATGTTCCTTCTGCTGCCGTCTCTGGCCGAGTCGGTTGTCGGCAAGAACGTGGAGGGCCAGAAGCGCCTGTTCTTGTCTAGCGAAGACTACTTTGACAACCTGCCCAGCGAATCATCTCACCTGGGGGAAATACTCAGGTGGAACAAGACAAGGGCATTGCTCGAGTCCAGGATGGCGGCCGTTTGCGACACCGTCGAGGCAGGCGACGAGCTGATGTATCGCCTCAGCAGGGACAAGATCCTAGCAACCTGCCTGGAGAAGGCCAGGTGCCTGGTGGAGGGAGATGCTCTCCCCCCCAGCCTGGAGAAGCAGTTTGTCACGAGGGTCCTGCAGGCCCCAGTGATTAATCAGAAGAGCGCCTCAAACCAAACCCGAAACGTGACGGAGGCTGCCGAGTCGGATGAGCCCACAACTCAGCAGGAGCCCAAGACCAGCGGGGACTCTTCAACAGCCGCTGCCGACGGTGAGAGCGGAGAGGTGGAGCAGGCTATCAAACCTACCGACGAGATTGTCAAGTTGCAGAAGCTCAAGGTGGCATTGGACCTGATCTGCCAGAGGCTCGTGTCCCCAGAGCTTACGGCATGGTTGAACGAGGGCCTGCGCGACCCCGGCGCCGGTGGCGTCAGCTTTGCGCCGCTCGACCAATACTTGGCCAAGCTGGAAGAGCTGCGAGCGGAGGCAGTGGCCTCACGGTCCATTGGCGACTACTCGTCCAAGCGCCTGCGCGACGAGGAGGAGGAGGAAGTCAGGGAGCTGAAGAAGAAGAAGGCGGACGAAGAGAAGAGGCGCAAGGCAAACGAGAGTCGCGGTGTGAGGGATTTGAAAAAGGTCAATGTGTCGGGCATGAAGAAGCTGAGCCACTTCTTCCAAAAAAAGTAGTAGCATTCAGTTGGATGATGCACCTTGTTCTGTCATCTCTTATCTTTCCGGTCCGATTGGTATTGGGTATCTTGGGATCTAATGCTGAAGAAGGAATGTACAGGGAGGTACCTGCCGGCCGCAAGAATCTCATCTCGTGCCCCGTGGGCGGCCTCGGGCGACACCGAGTCCCCTCCCGATGCCGGAACCTGCTCGGCCACTCGCGCTGGCAATCGAGCTACCCCTCACGCTGCTCGAAGCCGCACCGCCCCGAGTAACGGTCCCAGCCCTCGCCCGAGTACTACGTGTTCTGACCAAGCCGCGGGTACCCCGGGATGTGGATGTACCCACCCTCCTCTTGCTCTCTTCTTCCTCGCGTCGCCTCCGCAACTCCTCACGCCTCTGCTCCTCCTCGGCCGCTCTTCGCTCGGCAGCCTGCTGCCTCCGCAGGGCTTCTGCTTCCTGTTCGGCCAAGTCCTCTGTGGCCCCCTTCCACGCTGGGTTGAGGATCAGGCGTTGGTTGTGTTCGGTCTGCGACAGGATTCGGGTCCATGAGTTGAGGAGCGTCGAGGCATGGTTTACTGTGCTGAGTACGGTCTGTGCATGGGATTGGTATCAGCATGGGTGGCCAGACACGGGAAAGCAAGAGGGAGGACACATGGTCATGATAGTCCAACGGTGTGACAGACATTCATGTTGCCGCCGGACTTCTCGAGGGCAGCAATTACGCCCTCGATCGACTCGTTGACGTTGCGCACGCCTTCTAGTTCTTTGCGCAGTGCGGCCTCGGGGTCGATGGTCTCTGCATGCGCATCTTGCTGACCTGTGGGTGTCTTTGGTGTTCTGGGCGTCCTGGGAGTCTTGGGCGTCTTGGGGCGGGTCGGGACATTCTGTGACGGCGACGCCCATATATCCGACTCCGTGTACTCTGACTCGTCTGCCATGACGTGTAGAATACAGAGCAGATGGGGAAACGGTTTAGTTTCGAAAGGTCAGGAAAACAAGGAGGAGGGTCGGTTTAGATGGTTTGTCTGGGTTTTTCTTGATTTTTTTTTTTTTTGGTTTGGTCTCGGTTCTTATTTGGCTCCGTAGTTTGAAGTTGGTATTGTCAATGCACCGGCTCCCTTGGGCCAGAGGTCAACAAATAGATGTTTGCGAAAAAGGCTGGGCCATCGTCATCGTCAGCACAGTAAAGAGCTATGATGGATGTTGGAGGGAGGAGGGGCTCTCCCTTTAGCCCCGCTACCAACTGTTGATGATTCGATTGGCCAGAATGTGACGCGAGATGAGCGCGTATGTTCTCTAACGCGACGCGTCTAGGTCATTGGGCAGAAATTTTAGGTGGAAAAAACTGGGGTGGCTGGTGCTTCAGTGGCTGCCACTTTATTTTTTCGTGCGCCGCACGCATAATATTAATTGTTATGAGCTCCCACCAGCCAGACATTAACCGAGACGACTTCCCGACCCCCCCATGCTACACCCCCCAGCCCCAGCCTCCTCTCTTCCTGTCCTGCCAACGACTGAATGGTGAATTCGCTACCTCCTATTATCAAGCATCGTCAACTTTTGCTTTTTCGCACACAGATTCACCTTCACCCCTACTGCTACCCTGAAGCACCTGTCATCATTTTATCTTGGCTCTTGTTTATCCGCCGTTCGGAAATAGTTCCTGTCAAATTCTCATCCTGTCGGTCGCCTGTTCTACGCAACACCCAACTGGCCTGATTTTTGTTCCTGGCTCGCCGCGTGTCCCTGATTCTACCGCGCTGTATCACCATCGAACGGAACCTCATCCTCGCGCGTCCATCCCCGGTCACCGCCATTAACTCTACGTATCGGCTCGCATAGTACGGCAAACCTATAGTCGCGCCTGCGCCTCAGATCACCCTCATCTCACCATGGCTTCCACGCCATCGCCCGCGCCCGCCGCCGCCGAGCTTCCCTCAACACCTCCTGCCCCCAGATTCGGCAGTTACTACGACAACTGGGAGCCCTACCAACCTCGCAAGTCAGCCAGGATCGCAAACAGGAGTGCAAACAGAACGCCTTCCCCGTCAGCAAGTCACCGAAGGCTCGACAGTGCCGTTCACAAACAGCAGCAGCCTGCCAAGACCACCTCTGTCCCCAAGCGCCGCCTACCATCAACAACATCCGCACCAACAGACAACATGGACTCGCAAGGCACTTCACCTGCCCCCAAGAGGTCGGCCAAGCCTGTTGCCTCTGCCTCCTCATCTAGAATGCTTCCTACGCCTACTAAGACGCCGCGGAAGCCGCCGACGGCCAAGCAGACAGCTGAGCTTGACTCAGTTAGACGTGACATTTTCTCGCCGTCACTGAGCAGCCGTGCAGCTCGCACTCCTAAGAAGATTTCGGGCTCGACCCTTGAGAGCTTTCTGGCCGAAGAGGTAGCCCAGGACTTTACCATCTTCAGCGACAGCTGCAACCGCATCCCCGAGAAGGACGAGAGCAACCCATTCTACAACCCTCGCCCTTCCAAGCAGACCAAGGCCCAGGGCAAGCGTAAGCATGTCAGGATCCCTGGAGAGGGTATGGAGTCAATTGAAAAGGCTGCTGGCCGTGAGGACGGACTTCTCATGAACTTGTAAGCACCAACCACTCTCCTTTCTATTTCGAGAGCATCACGCTCTGCCTCATTTTGCTCCCTGTACAGATGCGCTAACAACTTTCTCTCAGCCGTGGAAAGACAATTTACCGACCGCTTAGCAAGCCCGGCAACGATGAGTCGGAAGACGCTGATGAGCTCGCCGACGAAAGGTCTTTCTCCAAGCGGAAGCTCGAGCCCAGGCTGCTGTTCCCCAAGGAGTCGATGCAGGAGAAGGTTGTAAACCCCGAGGAGGAAGAGGTGACAGACATCGAGGACGGGAACCTGGACTCGGAACCGCCCAGTCCCGACACGCCTCCCAGGACCCGCAAGATTCCCAACGCTCCCAAGTTCCCGGCATCGCCTCCACCCACTCAACGGACCACGCGGTCCGCCGACAAGCTGGCCAGTGCTAAGCGCGCTACTCAGCCTGTCCTCAACTTTGGGTCTGTGGCTAAGTCTCACAAGTCTTCCGCGACGGCTACTAAGCGCTCTGGTGAGCCCCTAGGCCGGGATGCGCCCAAGAGGAGCCGTACTGAGGCCTAAGCCACCACCACCATCATCATCGTTTGATTGCTTTTCCTGGAGGCGGGCGTCTATCCATTTCTGGTTGTTGATTTTTCCTATTTTAAATGTTCCAAGGAGTCTCTCTACGTGAGAATGACAAAGGGAAGACGAAAAAAAAAAGGATAGTTTGTGATTTCTTAATACTCTGCATTGTCAAGACGAAGGGTTACAGGTATCTTCGACTGGCATGCCCGTTTTTTTTTCTTTTTCGAATAAGCTGAGCAAGAGACAGACAGATATAGGAAGGGGGCTTTTTTTTTCATTTCTCTTTCTTCTGGTTCTTCTGTGCGTTTTTCTTTTCATCATCTTTTCTTGATTGTTTATTCCTCCTTACCTTTTTGTCTTCTTGATAATCATGACGACATGAAAATTGGACAAGGCGTTGCAGGTCTACGTCTGAAGCAAAACAGCTCGTTGACGACCTCGACCTGGCAGATTGGAAACACCAAGAGCAAAACAAAAGAAAGAGAGACATGGGAGGTTAATATCGTCAGTATTATTAGATAGCATAGCTGATTGTTCCAATTCAAATGGTTCAACATACCTTTTCCATTCCGTTTATTCGTGAATGCCTCTAAGACTCGGTCCACAAGAAGTAATATGTAGTGAACAGCACCAGCTGATAGTTGGCTCATACTTGATATTGGGAGCAGATTTCGTCCCTGCCTGACCTTCACGCTGTCTAGTATTGGCAAGAATTGCCCTCGACCGCACTCCCAACTTATGTCATCGCAAGTGGAAGTCAAGGCCCTGGCAGACACGATCGAGAGGATTGTAAGGCAGCACTGCAAGCCGCAGGAACGTCCTACTTTAGAGAATGTCTTGAAGCATGCTTGGGTCCGCGCCGAAAATTAGTCGTTGGTAGAAAGCCTCAGCGTGTAATTAGTCATTATATGTAAAGATGACGCTGGCTGTAGCTGCCGTTCTTGTTATGAGTGCATCGCTCCTTCCGTTGTTGCCATTATGTTGCCATTTCGCACCGATGTCGCTCCTTTTATCGTTTCTGGAACTCCTACGTATAGATATGCATCCATCATACCTTGCATTATTGCTATTATACCGTGAGGCCGCTGATACTACCGTTGCTGCTGTGGTTTTCTCTTCTTTTGCTTCTCGTAGGGGAGAAGAAAAGGTACCTTCATGTAGTACTAGTACTTTTATAAGTACATATTAATATATACTTGGGGTTGTGATGGTACAATATGTGTCAACGATTGAGCAATAATGGTAGAAGCAAGCTCGGCGTATATCGGGATGGCCCCACCATTGCTGGGTTTTTGGCACATGTCGCCCCTCGTTTGTGCCCCTCGTTTGTGCCCCTCGTTGAATCGCGCTTCTCCATCGCTTATTTGACTCTCTACGAAGAGGACGACGACGACAGACGCTTTCTTCGCATACAGTTGATTAGGCGAGCTGTAAAGGGGGAGGCATTGGTGCTCTTTGTAATATACGACTCGAGATACTGTCACTCTTTTACATCGATCTACCAAGTTTTGCTCTCCATTCCAACTACAAGATGCACATCCTCGTCACCAACGACGACGGCCCTCCGTCCGCGCACGCATCCCCCTACGTGCACTGCCTGATACGGCATCTCCAGGCGGCAGGACACACGGTTTCGGTATGCCTCCCGGACACGCAGCGATCGTGGATTGGCAAGGCGCATATGATTGGAAAGACAGTGAAGCCGGTCTACTACCGCCCCTCCAAAGCGCAGCCGACGGATCAGGAGGAAGGCACGCGTCACGCCCTGCCGTCTCCTGAGGGTTCTGGCGAGGAAGAATGGGTTCTCGTAGATGGCACTCCTGCATCATGTGTCCAGATTGGCCTGCACCACTATTTCAAGGACCGCGGGCCCGTGGACCTCGTTGTCAGCGGACCCAACTACGGACGCAACACGACGGCCGTCTTCGCCCTCAGCTCGGGCACTCTGGGCGCTGCTCTCGAGGCGGCCGCCTGCCGCGCACGATCCATCGCAGTCAGCTTCGCCTTCTTTTCACGGAACCATGACCCGGAGATCATCGAGGCCGCCTGTGCGCATAGCGTCCGCGTGATCCACGCCCTATACGAACAGTGGCCCACGGACCGATCCGTCGACCTATACAGCGTCAACGTGCCTCTTGTTGAGGGCGTTGGCAAGAACAAGACCCTCTTCACGGATATACTGCAGAACTACTGGAGCGGCTCCAGCTGCTTCCAGGAAATTGAGGGCGAGGCAGGAGAGGCTCACATCGAGGAAGAGGCCATTCGGGAGGGCAGAGGGGGGAAGGAGAATGGTACTTCCAAGCTCGCTACGAACCACAAGCACAAACATTTCAAGTGGGCGCCTAGTTTTGAAGACGTTTACCAGAGTGTTGAGGAGTCGGGGCCTGGAAACGATGGCTGGGTGGTCAGGCAGGGACAGACGAGGTATGTCATCGCATGCTCTGCCTCTCTTGACAAACCTCTCTCCCATCTCTCTCTCACACCATATCTAACAACGGAACAGCGTTACTCCCATGAAGGCCAACTTTGCCACAACCATCCGTGCCGAGGATGCCAAGGAGCTAGAGCTGAAGTGAGTTTGTCCCTTTTATCCGGATATTGTTTCTATGTCGTTTTTTTTTTTTGGGGGGGGGGGGGGGGGAGGAAGTAGCGAGCGAAGCAAGAGCACGACATGGCTGTTGGTTCAAGAGGGGGACAGCAAATAAAGGGATCTTTTGACGTTTTGAAATTCTCAGCCCAATGTAATTTATACATGTCGCTTCGCCTCTTTGCCGTTTTGTTGCGTTGCCTCATTCCCCCTCTTGAATGGAAGCCACAAGATTTCACCCTCGAGTTTCTTTCTCTTCTTCTATTTATTTCTCACGCGCGACAATCCGTTAGGCCAACTACGTCAGCAAAAGACCCAGTGACCCAGAGTCTGCCCATCAGGCCAGCACGAGATGGCGCGTCAGGGATCGAAGCCATTGTATGCTACGGTGATGACTACGTGCAGCCGCTGATTCTGTCGGCCATGGAATCTGTATTCCCAGCGGGGCTGGTGTCACAGCGGACAGAAATGCCATCATCACTATCCCAGGTGGTGGCGTCCTCCACAGCATCTGAGCCGAGGATCCTGGCCATTACGCAGTACGAGGACGTAGACTTTGAGTTTGCGGCCGAGCACAACAAGACGTGCATGGTCAACAGCTACATGATCCGCAAGGCGCTGATTAGGAAGCACCACCTCTCGACAACGGTGGACCACTGGGTGGCCAAGAAGCCGGAGTCGCTGCTGAAGCAGCACACGAAGCGCAGCGAGGCCTTTGAGGTGGACTATGCCGAGTTCCTGGACGACGCGCTGGTCGAGGCGTTTGACCTACGAGAGAGCATGTACCGCAACGCCAAGGTCGAGGATGCCGATCAGAGGGAGTGGTGGATCCTGAAGCCTGGCATGAGTGACGGCGGACAAGGGATAAGGCTGTTTTCCACCATGGAGGAGCTTCAGGATATCTTTGACAGGTGGGAGCCGGAAAGTGACGTTGACGAAGATGAAAACGATGGCAGTGGTGAGGGCGGTGAGGGCGGTGAGGGTAAAAGTGGCGGCGGCGGCGGTGGCGGCGACACAATCATGGCTTCACACCTCCGTCACTTTGTTGCCCAGCCGTATATCCACCCTCCCCTGCTGCTGCCCAACGACGGGCGCAAGTTTCATATACGCACGTACGTGTGCTGCACAGGTAGCCTGAAGGTCTACGTCTACCGACACATGCTCGCCCTGTTTGCGGGCAAGCCCTACGTGGCGCCAGGCACCGAAGCCGAGCCGGACTCGTACCTGACAAACACGTGCCTACAGACGACTGACGACAACGGTGATACGAGAAGCAACGTCAGTCGTTTCTGGGACCTTGCCAAAGACCAGCAGACAGGCCCGGGCATTCCCAGCGAAAGGCTCGAGTCCCTGTTCCGGCAGGTCTGCGGCGTCTCGGGAGAAGTATTCGAGGCTGCGGCCAGGGCCATGCCCATACACTTCCAGACGTCGCCCAACGTCTTTGAGGTGTTCGGGCTGGATTTCCTGGTGGACGCCGACTACGAGGCCTGGCTTCTCGAGGTCAACGCCTTTCCCGACTTCAAGCAGACGGGTAGTGACCTGAGTGACATCGTCGGCGGGCTCTGGGAGGGCGTTCTGCGCTGTGCCGTGGCACCGTTTCTCCTACGGCCCGACGAGCTGGAACAGGTGAAGAATAGTCAGAAGGATGATGACGGTATGGTGCTGGTCAAGGATATTGACCTTGGGAGGGGTTGAGGGCATAGTCTACGACGCACTATGCAACGCACTCCGCCGTGGAGTATTTGGTAGTAGAGTAGTATTATTATATGGGCTGCTGTACTCCGTAGATATAGTGATGTTAATACAAATTCATCAGAGGCCATCACCCAAACCCCTCCCCCCCCCCCCCCTTCTCTGAGCAAGAAGAAGACGCCCCATGATCCCTGCCCCCCTCATCCCGGTACACACGACTCATCCATGGTCGTTGCGTCATAGAAACCTCACCGACTCAACCTACGTTTCTTTCCCTCTCAAATATACAGATAATGGGTGGGAGAAAAGAAAAGAAAAAAAAAACGTTAGGCTCGCGTGCGTTGTGTCGCGGCTTGAATGGCTGGAAAAATGATGCATTCGGTTCGGTCTGCAATATGCATCCCCCCCCTCCCCTCCCTCTCCCCCTCATTCTCACCCCTTGTAATTTGAAAGAGTTGATATTCATGCTTGCTTGTTTACGCTCGTTTCCACAGGGCAAGAGAAAGGAGAGACGGGTGCGAATCATCTGGTGCCAGACCATACATAGCAGCTCATGAGCGTTTCATCCATGCCGGGCTCGTTACGGGTATCACAGGTAATATCAATTACATAGTGCTGGTAGCCACGAACTTGGCTTATAGCGTTAGTGTGCTGATGTGCGCTGAATCCTGGTCGATCCTTCGGTAATAACAAACTGGTAGATAATAGCGTGGCCTGCGATGGACGAGCACTAACGTATTACGGTAAACGGAGGTTGGGTTGGGCTGGCTCGGTGGACTGTGCTCTGTAATATCATGTCCACGGTCCACTGAGTCCGCCCAGCGAGTACGAGTGATAACAGTACAAGTAGCTGTACGAGTACGGCCTGGCTCCACCAATTGGCAATCGTCCCCCACTTCGGGGATAACAGTGGGACCATGTGCAGCGCCAGGCTGGTAATACAGTGATAATATCACTTGTAGTAGTGGGGCTCTCTAGACCTACGAGTACTTTACTGCCTGCAGCAGCAGTTAATAGTGGGCTGATGGTGATGACCCGGGGGGCCAACGTGGATGACATTACCAGCACACTGCCAGCATCTGACAGCGCTTCCATCAACCGAATACTTGGCGTTATTAGTGCCCGTGCTTGATAGCGGTCCGATCGTTACTTCACACGAGCGGTGATGTCTGGAGGGGCTCACGGAAGTAATGTCGTGGTGATAACATGATGGTCACATCTGCACTAGTCAGCACAAGGGCCATGTGACAGACATAAAAGACGTGAGAGACCCGCGATATACTATATGCATGTCAATGTTGGTTTTTTTTTTTTTTTTTNTGTTATCGACTGCTGGCAGGGGTGGGTTCCATCCACACTGACATGTAGTTTTTTTTTTTTTTTTTTTTTGACCAGCGGGAAATGCAGCTGTCTCGCATGTGTCGGTCGCGTACTCGTAGTTCCCCCACATGCTCAGAGCTTGACCTGATATTCGCAGATATCCCTCCCCCCCAGTGATGATCAGTGGAATAGTTCAATACTACTACTCTCCGATGCCTGGGAACCACTACGAGTACAATGGAGAAATACGGGCCGTCGCTGAACGTAGTAGCAGCAACGCTAGTACGAGAATTCTGATACCATGTGTAATGATGAATGCCGAAGTACGGATATAAGGTCCACGGTACTCCCCCGGGATGCTATAGTCTACTCGTAATATATGACATAAGTACGAGTACATTATTATATGGTTGTTTTATTAATTTCATCATTTTAATCAGCCATGCAGATCTAACCAATAGATATCCATATAGAAGATTGCACAGCCTCGGTTTCATCGAGCTCTGGTCCTTCCCTTGAGTGTTAGTCGGTCTTGCTTTGTATTATCGGGAGAGAAAGAAGAGATCCACTGCATTAATCCCAAGAGACTAGAGTAGAGAAAAGAATATCCCGAAGAAGAAAGAAAAGAAGAAGAAAAATTAAACCCGGCTAAAGTCACCCCACAATACGCCCGTCACCGATACACGCACACACAACGACACAACCGTCTATCGCCACTTCCTTCCTCTTTACCTTTCCCCCCTCAGACCTAAACTTCATTCTTCTCCCATCTCACAAACACCCTTAACCTTGATCTGGGTGGCTGGGCGTCGAGAGCTATGCCTGTCTTTGTGGCCTTGCCTTGAAAGCAGTTACGCTCTCTTCCTCTCCCGTGCCTTCCCCCTCTGTTCACTTCTTCTCTCCTTCCTTACTTGCTACTACTCGTACTCATTCTCCATTTTCTCGTCTACTACCATTCTATTCTATATTCATTCTTCCCTTCCCTCAATCAATATCAGGTGGATCCCTTCCTATTCCTTCAAAACCCATCCGCTAATGCAGTCGCCCTGATATACTACGTTCGTCGCCTTGCTGCGGTTGGTTTCACCCAACTCTTTCCGAGAGGACGAGTCCTTCCGGGATTGTATCGCCAGCGAAAGAGAGAGAGAGAGAGACGCGCGCCATGGCCGACAGAAACAGTCCACCATCGCCCCCGGCTGCGAGACCGAGAGCGTGAGTCTTTGATTCGAGAGATATATATCCCTTTGCGCGCCGCGCTGCGGGAGCTGTGGACGTCAATCTGACCATTATACGACTGCCAGTCCGACCATTACAATCGACACGGCTGTCGAGGAGCCTCCGCACAATTCTGCAGAATCATCGCAGCAGTCGCAGCCGCAGTCGCCTCAGATCAACGAGCCTCCGAATCTCACCCAGGCGGCCAGCCACGACCTGCGAGCAGGGGGAGCCGCCCAACTCCCCGGACTTCACATCCAGACGTCGTTTGACAGCAAACGCAGCCTTCCCACCAGCCCCCACAACGTCTCGAGCCCGACGCACTCCATCAACCGCGACGGCGACCACCCCTTCCTCGAGGTCCCGGGCAACCGACGCGCCAAGGATGACTCGATTGACTCAGCAGATGTGCCCCCCAGCATCTCCTCGCAGGGCAACATGACGGCCGTCACGTCCAACACGGCTTCGGACCAGGCCAAGAAGACGCCGCGCAACGAGGTCATTATGCACGACACGTCCGCCCTCGATCCCGATGTCGGCACCGAGCACCTCTTCCACGTCGACAACAACCCTTTCGCCTTCACCCCCGGCCAGCTCGTCAAGATGTACGATCCCAAGTCCCTCGCCGCCTTCTACCGTCTTGGAGGTCTCGAGGGCCTTGAAAAGGGCCTGCGCACCGATCGCAAGGCCGGCCTGAGCATCGACGAACAACGCCTCGACGGGCGCGTCAGCTTCGAGGAGGCCACGGGTGAGGCCAGCCTCGATGCTGCTGCCCCTGCTGCCCCTACTGCCGAGACCACGCCCTTGTCTCTCCCCCGAGCTGCTACTGCCGCCGCGAGCGGTTCCGCCAAGCAATTCGAGGACCGCCTCCGCGTCTTTCACGACAATCGCATCCCCGAACGCAAGGGTAAGAACCTGCTCCAGCTCATGTGGCTCACCATGCAGGACAAGGTCCTGGTCCTCCTCAGTGTTGCCGCCGTCGTCAGCCTTGCCGTCGGCCTCTACCAGGCGCTGTCGCAGAAGCCGAGGAGCGGGAGGCGGGCTGCTGGCGATGACGGGCCCTCGATCGAATGGGTCGAGGGCGTCGCCATCATGGTCGCCATTGCCATCGTCGTCCTCGTCGGATCCCTCGTGGACTGGAGCAAGGAGAGGCGTTTCGCCAAGCTCAACCAGAAGAAGCAGGACCGCTTCGTCAAGGCGATACGCTCCGGCAACACGACCGAGGTGTCCGTCTACGACCTGATGCCCGGCGACGTCGTCTACATCGAACCCGGTGACATGATCCCTGCCGACGGTGTCCTGATTGAAGGCTTCAACGTGACGTGCGACGAGTCTCAGGCCACGGGAGAGTCAGACCTGATCCGCAAGCGATCCGGCGATGACGTCTTCTACGCCATCCAGAACAACGAGGAGCTCAAGAAGATGGATCCCTTCATACAGTCTGGTGCCCGCGTCACCGAGGGCGCCGGCACCTACCTCGTCACCTGCACCGGTGTCCACTCGTCATACGGCAAGATCCTCATGTCGCTCAACGACGAGCCCGAGATGACACCGCTCCAGCACAAGCTCAACGTCATCGCCATCTGGATTGCCAAGTTTGGTACCGCCGCCGCTAGCCTCCTGTTCGTCGTCCTGTTCATCAAGTTCTGCGTCAGGCTGCCCAAGCTCGGACCCGACGTCACGCCGGCCGAGAAGGGGCAGATGTTCATCGACATCTTCCTCGTAGTCGTCACCATCATCGTCGTCGCCGTCCCCGAAGGCCTGCCCCTCGCCGTCACCCTCGCCCTCGCCTACGCCATGGTCCGCATGGTCAAGGACAACAACCTCGTCCGCCACCTCAAGGCCTGCGAGGTCATGGGAAACGCCACCTGCATCTGCTCTGACAAGACCGGTACCCTGACCCAGAACGTCATGCACGTCGTCGCAGGCACCTTTGGTGTCCATCACCGGTTCGGTGGGGTTCTCGGGGAGGGGGAGGCGAGGTCAGCTTCGGCAAGCGACAACGGCGGCGACGACGCCAAGTCTCCGCAGAAGTGCGTCTCGCAGCTCAGCGAGGCGACCCGTTGCATCTTGATCGAGTCCATCGCACTCAACTCTACAGCATTCGAGGGCGAGCAGGACGGCGAGATGCGCTTCATCGGATCCAAGACGGAGACGGCCCTGCTGCTGTTCGCTCGCGACCTCGCCGGCATGGGACCCGTGCAGGAGCTGCGGGAGGGCGCAACGACGCTGCAGCTGCTGCCCTTCGACTCGGGACGCAAGGCCATGGGCGTCGTGGTCAAGCTGCCGGACGGTGGGGCGCGGCTGTACGTCAAGGGAGCTTCGGAGATCATACTGGGCAAGTGCGGGTCGATGCTGGGAGACCCGACCAAGGACGCGTCGACGACCAGGATGGACCCCGAGGACATGAAGAGCGTCTCGGCCCTCATCGACCAGTACGCGTCGCGGTCGCTGCGCACGATTGGCGTGGCGTACCGCGACTTCTCGTCATGGCCGCCGCGCGAGGGCCGCCGGTCCGAGAACAATCCCGCCGAGGTGGACATGGAGAGCTTGTTCGAGGACCTGACGTTCATCGCCATGGTGGGTATCCAGGATCCTCTGCGTGCCGGAGTACCGGAGTCGGTCGCGCTGTGCCAGAAGGCCGGCGTGACGGTGCGGATGGTGACCGGCGATAACAAGCTGACGGCGCAGGCCATCGCCAGGGAGTGCGGGATCCTCCAACCCGGCGGCGTGGTCATGGAGGGGCCCGAGTTCCGCAACCTGAGCCGGCAGCAGCAGGAAGAGGTCGCGCCGCGTCTACAGGTGCTCGCGCGGTCGAGCCCGGAGGACAAGAGAATTCTGGTGCGCCTTCTCCGCGACCGGAACGAGATAGTGGCGGTGACGGGTGACGGGACCAACGACGCGCCGGCTCTCAAGACGGCCGACGTAGGCTTCTCGATGGGCCAGTCAGGCACCGAGGTGGCCAAGGAGGCGTCGTCCATCATCCTCATGGACGACAACTTTGTCAGCATTGTCAGCGCTCTGAAGTGGGGCCGGGCCGTCAACGACGCCGTCAAGCGCTTCCTGCAGTTCCAGCTGACGGTCAACGTGACGGCGCTCACCCTGGCGTTCGTGACGGCCGTGTCCAGCGACGACGAGGAATCGGTCCTCACAGCTGTCCAGCTGCTCTGGGTCAACCTCATCATGGACACGCTCGCGGCCCTCGCGCTCGCCACGGACCCGCCCCAGCACAGCATCCTCGACAGGAAACCCGAGCCTCGGACCGCATCCATCATCACGACGTGCATGTGGAAGATGATTCTTGGACAGGCAATGTACCAGCTGCTCATCACCTTTCTGCTCTATTACGGAGGCCCCAACGGTGTGCTGCCCCTGGACTACCAGCCTTCCAGCAAGGAGATCTCTACCTTGGTGTTTAACACGTTCGTCTGGATGCAAATCTTTAACCAGTGGAAGTGAGTACATGCCCTTCCCCCCGCCCCCTCTCCCCTCGATGATCGAACAGTGCCATACGGACGGAGAAGGAAAGGTGGGGTGGGGGAGAGAGAAGAGAACGGAGAAGTACTGACCAAACGTAGCAATCGCCGCCTGGACAACAACCTCAACATCTTTGAAGGGATCCTGCAGAACCCGTATTTCATCGCCATCAGCACCCTCATCAGCGGCGCACAGGTCATCATCATCTTCTTCGGCGGCGCAGCCTTCTCGATCTCGTCGGACGGGCAGTCGGGAGCCATGTGGGGCATCGCACTCGTGCTCGGCTTCATTTCGATTCCTGTGGGCGTGCTGATCCGGTTCGTCCCGGACTCGTTCGTGTCGGCCCTGGTACCTGGGTTCGTCAAGAGGCGCGTGGCAGCCTCGGCAGCGGCCTCGTCCTCGTCCTCTTCCTCGCCGGCCTCGCCGGACGGCAAGACGCCCGGTCTCAAGGTGTCGGACGAGGAGCTGGGCCGTCTGTACCCGGAGCCCCTGCTCGAGCTCCGCGACGAGCTGAAGTTCATGCGCCGGATGAGGGGCGGTCGGCTCAACCAGCTCACCTTCGCGGTCAGGCACCCCGCCGAAGTGATGCTGCCCAGGTCGAGGAGCAACGCGTCGAGGTCGAGGTCGAGGTCGAACTCAGTCCAGCCGCCCGCCACGCTGAACGACAACGACGGCGCTCACGATGCGGGCGAATCCGGTGGTGCCGAGGCGCCTAGCTCCACGACGCCAGAGCCGAGGAGGTCGAGATCGATGAGGTCGAGATCCAATTCTGCGCTCGGTGCGCCCACCGTCATGGCGGGTATCGTCGCTGCCGGCGTGGCAGCTGGATGGTCACCGGTCTCTCAGCAGCATCAAGGGCAGTGGCCTACCTCACCTTCTTCGTATTCGAATAAAGGCATAGACTGATGATTCATCTTATCCTTGGTCCTCTAATTTTTTTTTCTTAAAAAAACCCCTTTCGTTCTCCCTCCTCTCTCTTCTGCTGTGCTTCTCTACTCTAGCCATTTTAATACGATTCTGTGTAACTTTTGATCTCCTCCTTCCCTTCTCCCACCCCTTTTCTATCCGATCCTGTCCTGTCCTGTCCGAGTCTCTCTCTCTCTCTTCCGTCATAACAGTCTTCTACTTCTTCTCCTTCTTCTTCTTTCACAACTCTTTTTCCCCATCGAGTTCTTCAGCATTCGGATTTCGTCTAGCATTTGAGTAGCGCTCTGAGACTTCTCTTCCCTGTCGTTTCATCAGATGGCACATGTCTCTTTGTCCGTCCTGTTTTTTTTTGTCTTGTATGCATTTACAAGAGATGATGAGATGATGTTTTAGGAGTTTTTAGCAGGATTGAAACCAGTCAGAAATATGACAAATGAGGAGAAATAACAGTTATGCCGATGTTTCTGCGTGCATGCTGTGAGCCAAGGACAGTCCTTGGTAGGGTCATCGGAGGCATTCTATGCTCTACCAGCGACAGGAACGAGAAGTTGTAACAAGGCTCTAACGTAATATGTGGTATCACGAGGGTATCACGAGCAGAGCGAGGACCTGTCCTGGTAGGGCATTGAAGGCAATCTGTGCCTCAGTGAAAACGAAGAATTCATGAGTTACGACAAGTACTAATATGCTACTACGAGCAAGACGACGTGTCGTAACATGAGCACAGGTGAACGAGGGAGGATGGAGTGGCCAAGGTGATAGGGGTTGTTTAGGGTAGGTGAAGTTGGGAGAGGTTGAGGTCATCAGGGACAATAGGAGAAGACTGTCCATTTCATTCACACGGAATAAATCAGACTTGATGGAAGGAGCTCTTCACAAAGACTACTATGAAGGGATCGGGATGGATTATCATCATAGTAGCGATAGCATATACCGTAGTCTGTGCGTCGTTGTGCGAGTGTGTGTACGTAAGTGAGTTACTGATTGGGGGAGAAGGAAAGAGGCGAATTGATTGACTTGGTGCTTTTCCCTTTCTCTCTCTCTCTCTCCCTCTCCTCTCCCTCTCTCCCTTCCTTTTCCCACCTCGTTCCTCACCAAATTTCTTGGGTGCATCTGCGTTCCACCACGCATGTTTCCAGGTTCTTCTACGTTTTCTTCTTTCCCTTCCTCGACTGTAGACATCTCTCTATCTCTCTCATTCACATCTCATCTCCCTTCCCCCTTCTCACAAAGAAGAGCTCTCGAAAGCACTCAAAGCACTCCGTGCACATACACACACACACACATCTCACCTTCTTGTGGAAACCTTTCTCTGCTATATTTCCGAGACGGGAAAAGCAAGCAGACAATCAAACAAGCACTTGGTAGCTCTCAACAGACGCTCACCCTTGACGGTTCACGCTTCACTTGACCAATCGGGTTCTGCTCACTCTTATTCTCTCATCTGACGCACTGTACACATCCAGGGGGGGAATACGGTCAGATATATCGAGGATTTTGGAATAAGGAGCACTGCACACGGAGACAAGCACAGGATCATTGCGAGCGTAGCGAGGATCGGAAGAAAAAAGAGAGGACCAGAAAAATTCCAAGCTCTGCTACGAGCGAAGCGAAAAAGCCAAGCTCATAGTGAGCGTAGCGAGGGCTAGAAGAAAAATGCCCAAGGACCGTCAACGTGGTGCCGCCAAGGGCGTTCACCTCGCCAGCGGCAAATCCAGCGCTGACAAGGCCGTCGAGGAAGTTCCGGAGAATGCTACACCTGACCAGCTTCGGGATGCGGCCGTGACGGTGTCCCTGACCGACCTGGAGGAGAGGGTGGCTGATGTTCGTGATTCGTGGGAGACGGAGTCATTGTTTGAAGATGTCTTTGAAGAGTTGAATGCCGATTCATCCGCGTCTACATCTGGTGAGTCTCTCTCTCTCTCTCTCTCTCCCCTCTCTCTCTTGGTCCGCATTGTGCCTGTCAAGTGATCATCCCCTTTCCATCCTTCCATCTCCAACATAAAGTGCTGACCCTGTACCCAAACCAGACGACGACGGCACACCCAGAAGCATCTGCTCGCCGGAAGAGTCGAGCCGTCTGCGTCGAGAGCTGCGCGAGTACGGGCCGGCCGTGTTCTGCGAGCGCACCGTCGACTCCGGACGCTACACGGCCAAGAAGCTTCTGACGGCCTTTGGCCTCAAGCCGCCGGGCTTCCTCGAGGGCGCGCCCGACGAGGACTACCACAACCTGCTGTCGCTAGCCATGACGCGCGAGCTGTCGAAGCGGGCCAAGCTGCCGCGGTACAACAGCGTGTCGGACGCCGTGGACCTGATCAGGCGGTCGTCCAACATCGTGGTACTCACCGGCGCCGGCATCTCGACGTCCCTGGGCATCCCCGACTTCCGGTCCAAGGGGACGGGCCTGTACTCCAAGCTGGAGCACCTCGGGCTCAGCGACCCGCAGGAGGTCTTCGACATCGACGTCTTCAGGGAGGACCCGTCCATATTCTACTCGGTGGCCAAGGACATCGTCCCCGCCACGGACCGCTTCACCCCGACTCACCAGTTCATCGCCATGCTGGACCGCCGCCGCAAGCTCCTGACCAACTACTCGCAGAACATTGATAACCTCGAGATCAAGGCCGGCGTCCCGCGCGACCGCCTCATCCAGTGCCACGGCTCCTTTGGCACCGCCACCTGCGTCCGCTGCGCCCACAGGATGGACGGCGAGGCCATCGTCCCGGATATCAAGGCCGGCATCATCCCCAGGTGTCCACGATGCATCCGGCACCTGCGCGCCGCCGTCCGCCCCTCCGTCAAGCGCAAGCGCTCCGCCGACAACACCGGAAGCAAGGATGCTACCGCCCGTCGTCGTCGTCGTCGTCGCCATCTCAACGACGACACCGCCTCTGCGGCGAATACCGACGACGACAGCCGTGATGACAACAACAAAAACAACAGCAACGACGACGACGACGACGACGACAATGACGGCGACGATGACGATGACGTCCTCGAATCTGCCGGCGTCATGAAACCCGACATCACCTTCTTCGGAGAGGCCCTTCCGGACGACTTCTCCCGCCGTCTGACCGAGCACGACCGCGATAGGGTGGACCTCGTCATCGTCATCGGAACATCCCTCAAGGTCACTCCCGTCTCCGAGATCGTCTCCTGGCTCCCCTCGCACATACCCCAGATCTACATATCCCGCCAGCCAGTGTCCCACATCAACTTTGACATTGACCTCCTGGGTGACTGCGACGTCGTCGTCGCCGAACTGTGCCGCCGTCTGGGATGGGACCTCGAGCACGAGATGGTCGATCCTGACGCCACCATATCCGTCACCGAGGACGAGGCTTGTGAGTATCGTCACTTTTTCAAAGAGGAGAAGCTCCAGGAGGCTTGATGCTTCTGTCGATGCTTCTTCTGCTTCTGCCCCCCGTTGATCTATTCAGTGCATCCATTTCTCCCTCGTCTCTCATCTCTTTTTTTCGGTCCCACTATTTGAAATAAAATAAAAAGCTACCTTGTTCACATGTCTTTCTGCATCGTCTCTTCTTTCCTCTTGCTCTTATTTCTTACGCTTGGTGTTTGGAGTTTGTTTTCGCTCTTCTTGTTTCATGTCAGCAGAACACATTCATTGTCAGTACCTTCTCCTTGCTCTTATCAACTGCGCCTTTTCTCTCTCTTCCTTTTTTTTGTCGATACTACTAGAAATCACATCGCCAGATATCAACCAGAGGGGAGGGGGGGTTTGGTTTGGGTTCMCCCCCCCCCCCCCCTCTGTTTCCTTTTTTCAAAGGAAGAAGAAAAAAAGAAGTTTTGGTTCATACCTTGTATTTACACTTGATCATTCCATCATGACGGTTCACTACATGCTACTCTAACCCAATACACTAATTTTCCTTTCCCAAATCCCCCCCCCCATCTATCAAATCTCTTTCTTGTTTGCGACAGAGGAGCCTATATCAGACTCTGGTATTTATCCAGCCCTGAACCTTGCTGCTGCTGCTGCTGCGGTTTCTGCTGAGCCGCCATACTAGCCCACGGGTTATGCTGCGGCTGCTGCTGCGGCTGCTGCTGCATGGGAGGCGTAGGCATGCTGAAACCTCCGAATCCGGAAGTTGTGGGCGTAGACATGCCACCACCAGGTGGCGGAGGTAGGGAGAATGATGAGGCGGGCGATGACGTCTTCTGTCCACCGATACTCATGCTTGCCATGGAGGAGCCTATCGCATTGCCAGAGACAGAGTAGTTTGGCGCTGCTGATGGCATGGCTGACGACGACCCAGAAGTATTAGATGCCCAGGGGTTGGCAGTGGCGGCAGTGGCGGCAGACCAGTTGATAGAGGAAGACTGCTGCTGTGAGACGGGTGCCGATGGTAGCGACGGGGGCGACGGCGACGAAAATGATGATTGAGGCTGCATCGGTTGGCTGAATTGTGTGGATGACGGGGTGAGGGATTCGAAGCGGTTCAGGTCGGGTGTGACAGTGCGGAAGCTGGACTGGGCCTTCGCCGAGGCAGTCTGGCTCAGGGGGCTAGTGGGCGCGGGCGTCGATGACCACGAGAATGTCGGGGCGGTGGGCTGTGGTGTGCTCCTGGCGGATGAGCGTGTCGCGGGTGCTGCCGCGACCGGGTTGGACACGATGCTATCCCAGCCGTTGTTGCTGCTGTTGGTGACATTGCTGATGCTGGTGGCAGATGCGGTGGTAGGCTTGCCCTTGACCAGGGACTCAAAGTCGTCGTCTGCACCGCCGGCTGCACTACCCTGGTCGAATGCGGTGCCGGTGACGCCCCCGAACGAGAGGAAGTCGTCGTTCTTGGTGCGGGCGGAGCCCGAAGGCCCGGCGCCGCCCAGCTCCTGCAGCTTGCGCGTCTGCTCGTCTTCGACCTGCTTGGACAGGATCTTGATGAGCTCCATAAAAGTCTGGAACTGCTTGAGTTCGAGCAGCGGGCCCAGACTCATGCTCCACAGGATGGGCAGAATGTCCATGGCGACGAAGTCGGCGTCGGCGGACTGGCCGACGATGCGCAGCACGTTGAGCGCCGACATCATGACGGCCGGCTCCTTGGTCTTGATGCCCTTGATCAGCGGCACAATCTTCTCCTGCATCGTGTACTTGTCCAGGGCGCTCGACGAAGACGTCTTCTTCTTCTGCTGCACGGGCAGCCCGTTGAGCCCGTCGTCAGTTGCGGCGTCTGTCGACCCGCCGCACAGCACAACAAACGACTGTAGACCGCGGACCTTGATGGCTAGGCTGTTTGTGCGCGTGAAGACGGCCGCGATGACGGGGAACAGCTCATTCTTGATGGTGCTGAAATCTAGGATTGGGAGGACTACAGGCAGACTGCGCAGGGCGACGTCGATGATGGAGTGGGTCGGGCATTCAATCGCGGCGATGAGCACCGGGAAGATGTCTGTTCGAGTGGTGATGCGTCAGCGGTACATTCACGGTGATGCACGTCTTGTACAAGACAAGGGAGGGAGGGAAAGAGGGGGAGGGAGGGAAAGAGGGGGAGGGAGGGAAAGAGGGGGAGGGAGGGAAAGAGGGAGAGGAAGATAGGCATACCATCTTTAAACTCTTTCCCCGAGCAATTATCCGCACACACAGCGAGGTTCTCCAGAAACACCATGAGACCGGCATCGCGAGCCGGGTCCTTCTCCTGCTGCCCCTGCTTCGGGTTGATGACGAATATGTCCTTGAGGGCGGGCCGGACCTTTTCGACAAATGTGCGACGCGACGAGGGAAGCAGTTCTAGGACCTTGAAGACATTTTGTAAGATGAGGGACATTAGATCGCGGTCCTTCAGCTCCTCGAGCAAGGCCGGCAGGAGCTTCTTCTCGATGACAGATTTGGGGAACGAAGGGAGCACCTTGACCAGTCCTCGCAGGAACTGGTTCTTCTCGTTGGGAGTCTTGGCGGGGAAACTGTCGAGGAAGCGGATGGTGGAGACGAGCACATTGTCAAAGTACTCGCTCTCCTGGAACTCCTTTGCTGTCAGGCGTTGGGCGGGTCGGCGGGTGATGAGCCGGGGGAGGACATGGCTCTCCAGGTCCCTCGGCAGGGGCCGCGACGAGAGAAACTTGTTGGACGTCGACGGGATGGTGGATGACGACGAGAAGATCTTCTTGTACGACGACAGGCTACCGTGCGCTTCCAGGGGTGACTTGTGTGGCGAGTTGTACAGAGAGACGCACAGCAAACCAAGCGAGAACATGTCGGCAGCCGCAGTCATGTTGTTGTCTATGACGAAGTCGGGAGACGTGTAGTCCAGGTCGAGCTGGACGAACCTGGGAAGCCGGGGGTCTGGGTTCAGCACCTCGTACAGGTTGATGCCATGTATCGACGTGGGCTTCGTCGAGCCTTCAATGGGACTGCAAAATGCCAGACCGCTGAGCTTCCAGTCGGACTGTTGCGCGTGCGTCAGAAAGAGGTATACATACGCATATACGGCGCGGTTCCAGGCCATCGGGGAAAAAAACATACCTTGGCATTGATGAGGACGGCATCAGGCGTAAGGTTCCCGTGGACCAGCCCAGCATTCTCGTGAAGGAACTCAAGAGCCTTGCTAATCTGTAGCAGACCCTTCTGAATCTCGAGCTCGTCAATCTCCAGCTCGCGACGCCTCCTCACGCCGTCTGCGTCTTCGGTGAAGTAGCGGCTGCCCTTGCCACCGGGACCCCCAGATCTCTCCTGGTCATCCTTGTCGTGCAGGACGCCTACGAGCGACGCCGTGACGGGTTCCGTGACGAACTGTAGCCCGCCGCCCCTCGTCTCCTCCACGGGCTCCACCAGTTCGAGGATGCTAGGGTGCCTCAGCTTGGCCAGACTGGAAGCCTCCTTCTTGAGCCGGTCGACGAGCTCTTCGACGGTGCGCTTGTACGAGGATCCGCTGCTGCGGCCACCCATGGAGCTGGCGTGCGTGTCTATCGTCTTCTTATCGAAGACGAAGACGCTATACGCCTTCCCTGTTGATTTCCGCTTGGCATCGTAAATCTTCCAGGGCCCGGCCGTCGACGTGAGGTTCTGGGAGATGGAGTAGTTGGAGGAGATGTTGGTAGACCCAATGGATTTGAGCGCTGAGGAAAACATGCTTGTCGTGATTCCTTCTCCTTCGTCCTTAGCTTTTCCGAGTGGCTTCTTCTTCGATTTTCTGGTTATCAAGGCGGGATCAGGTCGAGCACCGGCGCCGTGGTCATGTCGAGAGTGGCTTTCGTGGGGTTGATTCTTTGTCCGGTCGGGATATAGTATTATCCCACTGGGATGTGGTTGCGTCACGAAAGAGCGGGAGAGATGGGGCAATGGTGAATACCACCGAGTACGGGCCGGCCCAGTACAAGCGCGCGAAGATGGCACGACTCTTCCTGCTACAGCTACGGAAGGCTGTGGCGCGAGATAGTTTGATGCTGAGTGCTGGGTCGCGATAGCAGCATTGATCGTCGTTGATATTATTATTACGGATACGAGAACAGAAGCGCGGCGTGGCTTGATGGGATCCCAAATGTGGCTCGGCTAGCACCCCCTATGTGTGGCTTAGGCGATCCACTCGAGCAAGTAAATTCTAAAAGGGTCCAGGCAGGGGTGACCGACACCGGGCTTTACATACGGAGTATACAATGGTGTATTATTTGGCTATAACCTATTATTACTACATAGTATTACGAGCAGTGCGATTTGGTGGGTTGCCCAGCTGCTCGGGGCCCTAAGGCGGGTATGACGGTCCTGCTATGGAAAGTCCGACATGCCTAATTTGGAGCCTGGCTAGAGCTGCGTGCCTGGTCCCCTACGCTCAAGCCCTACAGCGCCTGTGTACTTATTAGTATGGGCGGTATCACGATGCAAGTGTAGCGGTCCCTCACCTAGTATCTATCACTTGCTGTAGAAGCGCGCTAAGAGTCACATACGATACCTGAGCAGTTGCACTGGACCCCGACTCCGATATCCCTCCGATGCCATATCTCTGCGTGCATTTCTAATCATAGCCTATCGTTTCTTCTGCTCGTCCTTCTTCTTCTTCTTCTCTTCCTTCTTTTCCATCTAGAGTCGCAACGATTTCAATCCTTGGAATTGTTCTCCTCCACCACCACCCTATAATTGAATTGATACCCCTCTCTTACTGGTCGTCTATCAAAGCTTGTTGAGATTTTGGGCGTCGTCCCGATACCTCAATCCCTGTCTCCCTCACCTCCTTCTGGGACCCACTTCGATATCTTCCATCTTTCTCACACGAGCACGCGACAAAATCGACCGATTATCACAACATATACACATACGCATACACGCACGCGCACACACGACTTTCACAACCGTCACAATGCGTTCAGCTCTTCGGTCCGCCAGCCTGAGGAGTGCCACGAGGGCCACACAGGTCACGAGGGCACTACCTGTCAGCTTTGCCGCTCGCTCTTACAGCGTCAAGGCCGATGCCGCCTCTGCCCCTAAGCTGCGTCCTCTGGATGCGTCCAAGCTTACCATCACCAAGACGCAAAACCCCAAGACCATCAGCAAGCCTGAGAACCTCGTCTTTGGCAACGAGTTCACCAGTAAGTCATTGCCAACCCCCGAGTGATCTGCTGCGCATATACTTTCTAACAGTGACCCCATCCACGGGGAGCACCTGTCCCATGATATTCTACACTGCTGACCACGATGTCTTCCAGACCACATGCTCACCGTTGAGTGGAACAAGCAAGACGGCTGGCTCGACCCCAAGATCATTCCCTACCAGAACCTCTCGCTGGACCCGGCGACGTGCGTCTTCCACTACGCCTTTGAGTGCTTCGAGGGTCTCAAGGCCTACAAGGACAAGCAGGGCCAGGTGCGCCTGTTCCGTCCGGACAAGAACATGAGCCGTCTGAACAGGTCGTCAGCACGCATCGCACTCCCGACATTTGAGCCCACGCAGCTCATCGAGCTCATCTCCAAGTTTGCCAACCTGGAGAAGGACATGGTCCCCGACCAGCGCGGCTATTCACTGTACCTACGCCCGACCATGATCGGCACGCAAAAGACGTTGGGTGTCGGCGCCCCCGGCTCCGCCCTGCTGTATGTCATTGCCTCGCCTGTGGGCCCCTACTACCCGACCGGGTTCAAGGCCATCTCGCTCGAGGCCACCGACTACGCCGTGCGCGCCTGGCCCGGCGGCGTCGGCGACAAGAAGCTCGGCGCCAACTACGCCCCCTGCATCGTTCCCCAGATCGAGGCCGGCACCCGCGGCTTCCAGCAGAACCTCTGGCTGTTCGGCGAGGAGCAGTACGTCACCGAGGTCGGCACCATGAACATGTTCGCCGCCATCAGAGACCGCGAGACGGGCCAGAAGGAGCTCGTCACCGCCCCAATCGACGGCACCATTCTCGAAGGCGTCACCCGCGATTCCGTCCTCAGCCTGGCCCGCGAGCGTCTCGTCCCCGAGGGTTGGAAGATATCCGAGCGCAAGTACACCATCAAGGATCTCGCCGACGCTGCCGCCGAGGGCCGCCTCCTCGAGGCTTTTGGCTCCGGTACTGCCGCCATCGTCAGCCCCATCCGCAAGATCTCGTGGCAGGGTAAGCTAATTGACTGCGGTCTCAAGGAGACCGAGGAATCGGGCGAAGTTGCTCTCCGTATGAAGAATTGGATGGAGGCTATCCAGTACGGTGACGAGGAGCACCCCTGGAGCTACGTGACCAAGGCTTAAAAGAAAGAGAAAAAAAAAACAATCGAAGATTTTTTCTTGGATATAGTGGGAATCTGGAGGCATTATTAGAAAAAAAAATTCATAAAATTATAGAGTCCAAAGGGGAATGAATGTTGACGGAGCGTTTGTGTTTCGATATTGGAACCTTGCGGAGGGAGGGCGTGGCAGTATCTTGTATTTCATTTACACATGAATTTATTGTATCGTGATTTGATAAAACTTGTCACTCAACTGTCCGTTTTCCTGCTAGAAGCCTTCTTGTTCCTTTAGATTTCCCATTTAGTCACAGTAGAGAATTTGCATGGAATTGATTGAGAGATGGACCGGTAAGAACAGTGTATATTTGTCAACAAAAGAGGAACAGAAAAAAAGGCCATCTCTTCCAAATATGGCTTGACCAAGACAAGTCTTTCAATGAATTTTCTGAAATAAAAAGAAAGACGCGAGCCGAATATACAAACAAACACGTAGTAAAAAAACGCAAAACGCAAAACCCACAGGTTCGCATTAACCTCCTAGCCGAGGCCGGCCGAGGTCAACATACGAAACGCGCACGCTATATCCCATCCCGTCCATTATTTATTCCTTCTTGATTGCCTCCGAGTCGGGCAGGATGCCCTCAGCCTCTAACCTCCGGCGAGCCTCCTCGAGAGCCCAGGTAGAGACGCTATGATGGTGTCAGTCATGGTTCTTTTGGGAAATGAGCAGTTTCCCCAGCTTTTCTCATTGCCTAACTCGCCTCCCACCTCCACATTCCCGAGGGAGGGGAAAAGGGGAGGGAAGGAACCAAGATGGTATCCTGGGAGCGTGACAGAATGTAAGGACCTACGTCGTGTCAGGCTTAAAGGCCAGAGCAACACCAGTAGCGACGAGGCTGCCGCAGAAGATGTACATGGGCCACTCCCAGCCCTCGGCCTCAGCCTTCTCTCCGGGCTTGACACCCCAGAGCCATCCGGTCGGCGGGTCGAAGTGGCTGCCGCCTCCCCCTTGGCGTCGGGTTGTCGTCGAGAGGTTCCTGGCTGAGGCGGCCGACGGGTTGCGGACACAGCGCAGGGAGTTGGTAGCGTGGCGAAGGATGGTCATTTCTGTCGATTGTGTATGTTTTTTTTGTCGTATTGGGGCGGAGAGCAGACGTTTGTCCTATTTTGATCGAGGGGAAGGGGGGTCGGAGTCGTACGCTCGGAGGGATGCGGAATGGAATAGGAGGAGTATTGTCCTTTTGACCGGTCGATCACGAAACCAACAACCCAAAAGCGCTCTGGGTGGCGTGGAGAAGGAGAGAAGCTTTGACCCGCTAATCCGGAGAGTCACGTGAGTTACTGGGGAAGGCCCGTTTTTATGTACCCAGATAGGGAGAGGAAGGTACGTACCCTCTTTGTCGCACCGCACCTTCCGTCTCTTTTTCTGCATTCAACTGACGTCTGATGATGGTCATCGTATGCCCGTCGAGGGCATGCCAACATCCCCGTTATCACGGCATCCATTTTTCTTCCAGTGCGTTCAGTCTGCTACCTGATTGAGGTCTCCTTGGTCTACCTAGACAATACATTGACCTATTATCATTTTTTTAAAATTCTAATTGACGATACCCCACATCCTCCGCAATTCCTTTGCCCCTCTAGACTGGTGGATATCTTCATCCCTGTTGGGCAATTTTGTCAACACACAAATCCTGTCCTCGGCCAGCATCATGCATCCCGCCATCAATCGTCGTCTGTTTCCATCTCCCAGTGACATTTGCTTGCCACATGTTTGATGCAGTACATGTGGAATCTCAGGATATCGGTCTGATACAAACTATGAATCAGATTATTATGTCATCATCGAGGTGGTTATTGTACTGCTACTACTCTTAGCCCGACCCCGAGAGGATGGACTCCTCCAATGGATTCCGCAACCGCTTCTCCCACGGACTCAGCAGGTCCAATGCCGCAGATGTAGAAGAGAAGACTCTTTTTCCAGATCCCGCCAGGCAGAAACGCCCCGGCCTAGGTAGCCGGCAGGTGTCGTCAGCCAGCATCGGCCAGATTGAGCAGATTGTTTTGGACGCCAAGATCGATACCGAGACGTTTGGTGTATCCGAGACCAGAGATGGCTTCTTTGACGCACTGTTTCTCAAGTCATCATTCACGTACTCCCCGGAGTCCTTCCGGGAGCATGCAGAGGCTACGCTTCCCAGGGCTTTTGACAAGGGCGAGCCCTTATCTCCCCGGTACTTTGTCAAGAAGCAGTTCCACGAGCTCAACTCCCTGTTGACACGTGTAACGACGACGAGGTCCGGGGTTCGTCTGGCCAAGACGTTTATGGCCTTCTTTGCCGCCTACGTCCTGTGCCTCGTCCCTGCTGTGCACGACTGGCTCGGTCGGTACAGTTACATCATGCCAGTGTCGGTTATTTTCAACCACCCTTCTCGACCCGTCGGCTCGCAAATCGATGGAGCCATCTTCACCACCCTGGGGACCGCAGCTGGTATAGGATGGGGTGTCGTCGGACTTTTGCTGTCAACGTCGACTCTGGCTGCCCAGGCTGGCTTCGGTGGTATCCTGGCCATGTTCCTGGCCATCTTCATGGGCATCAACGCGTGGATCAGAGCGTGCTTTGTGAGATTCTACCAGGCTGTACTTTGTGCCGGTATGGCCATCATCTTTACTACCCTTACCGACACCAGCAGCCGCGATATTGAGTGGTCCAAGCTTCGCAGTTATGCCATATCATGGGTGCTCGGCCAGGCCATTGCGCTCATAATTAACTGTGTTGTGTTTCCCGATGCCGGGGCACGACCGCTTGCCGTTACCATTCTCAAATTCTTCGACGCTGCTCAGGTTCGTCCTATTCGGAGTGCCAAAAAATTCTTTCATGTGTATTAATATTCTCTAGGATGCCCTCACTATCCCCCGTGCACGAGATGTTAGACTGAGGAGGGTACTGGCAAGAGCATATGTCGACCTGTCCACAGCATATCGTGACATGCAAATGGACATTACTATTACTCGAGTCCGACCTAAAGATTTCGGCCAGCTCCGTAACCTGATGCAGGCCGTCATACGATCCCTGCTCACAATGGAAACCGAGACGACCATGTTTTCCGAAATGCCAGTTACAGTCATGGCCAACCACGCTGCTCCCTCTTCAGGGAGTGACAAGTCAAGCGTGAAATCCTGCCTCTCGACTGCGCCTGGCGAGGACGCGAGCCGCAAAGTCAAGGAGATCCTAGCGACCCCTACCAGTGAGGTACTCGAGTGCATGAGGGAAGGGCTGAGACGTGGCGAAGCAGCACTCATGGATCTTTCCGGCTACCGGAAGCACATGGGCCCTGCATCGGACGTCTCGTCCCATATAGGGTCGATTCAGGTCCGACTCTCGAGCGCCTTCTCCACGTACGATTCCGCCGAGACCACACTGCTAAGATCCGGCGATCTCTCCCACTCCTCGCTAGATGAGTCAGATGTCATTCCACTCTTCCTCTTTGCCAGACATGTCCGTGAGGCTGCCAATACTGTCAAGACGCTCCTCGACAAGGTTGAAGACATGCAGAAGGCACCCTACTGGCCTCGGATCTACCTCCCGTCGTACCCCTTGAGTAAGGCCGTGTATAGAACCAACCGCCAGGTCCGCCACGACAGAGGCGGCATCACGGCCGGTTCCTACCAAGTCACTTTTGCCGATATCGCCAAGCTCTTGGACAAGATTAAGTCGCGCGAACACCGACCCCACCGCACATCCATGTCGCCTCATGGCCATGATACCTGTGTAGACAGCAGCCACCCCACGATGGATTCCTCGACTGACGGAGGCACCCTGAACCGCTCTGGACACGGGCTCGGTTACAAGGTCTGGCTAGCTATCCACCGTCTGCAGGGCTACGAGAGCCGCTACGCCTTCAAGGTCTGCCTCATCACATCTCTGCTCTCTGTACCCTCTTTTCTCGCCCATGACGACTGGTGGGACCGGTACCAGGTCTGGTGGGCCGTAGCTGTAAGCTGGAGTATGATCCACCCCCAGGTCGGCGGCAATTTACAAGATCTCGTCACCAGGGCATTCGCCGCCATCCTCGGCGCCGTCTGGGCAGCCGCTGGGTACGCCGCAGGTCATGGAAACCGCTACGTCATGGGCGTCTTCGCGGCAATTTTCATGATCCCCATGCTCTACCGGTTCACGCAGAGTACTCATCCTGTAATGCCCCCTCTTTACCCCCTGCGCTCGTCCCCTCGGAAGCTAATATGACCATCCACCTTCAGAGATCCGGACAAGTAGCATGCCTGTCGTTCACCGTCATATCCATCAGCATCATCAACAACAAGGACAGCGGACCCGTCGCTCAGCAAGCCGTATTCCAGGGCCTGGCTTTTCTCGTGGGAACTATTGTCCCCGTAATTGTCAACTGGGTTCTGTGGCCGTTCATCGCCCGACATGAACTCCGATTTGCCCTTTCATCTATGATGTTCTTTATGAGCATCATTTACAGGAGTAGGCACCCCCCACCCTATGAAGAGAAAGAAATATCTTGCTGACAGAGGAAAAAAACCAAAAACATAGGCGTCGTCTCCAAGTACGTCTATTTTGAGGAAGGCATGGAGCCTACCCCTGATGACATAGAGCGGTCCGAGATGCTCGAGGGCCGTCTGAGGGAAGGCTTCGTCCGTATACGACAGCTTCTGGTCCTCACCCGTCACGAGCTCCGCCTCCGCGCCCCCTTTGACGTCCTCCCATACTCGGCCCTCGCCGAGGCCTGCGAGCGCTTCTTCGACTACCTCATTGCCGTGCGTCAGACGGCCCTGATCCACAGCCCCACCTCCCTCCGCGACAACACCGAGGCGTCCGAGTTCCTCCTAGGCTACCGGCGTGATGCCGTCGCTGCCGTCCTGGCAAATCTGTATATTCTTGCTGGCGCTCTACGATCTAGACGGCCTGTCCCTGTACGTTGTCCCTGCCCGCCCCCCCTCCCCCTCTTTTTGCCTGTTCATCGTTGAATCCGCTGAGGAATACTGACACTACCAAGATGTTCCTTCCCAGCGCAGCCGCAGCCCGCAAAAAGCTCATGCTGCGCAGACTGGCCTTCCAGTCCAACGAAAAAAGCCTGCCACACGAAAAACGCGCAAACTGGAGCGACATATACAGTTACTCGTACAGGGAGAGCTTTACGGGATGCGTGGCGCAGCTTGAGGAGCTGGAAAAGTATACCAAGCTGATTGTCGGCGAACAGGGGTAGGCACATATCTGACTTCTCATAGAAACACACGCTAACAAGATTTTTTACAGCTTCTACAACCAGATTGAAGACGATACCAAATGATGACATGCTCCATTTGTTTTGTTTCCATTGACACATAATGTTACACCAATATTGCGCCGAACCTCCGTTTATAATACCCAATCTATCCGTGGATACCCATATACCAACTATACAAGCAAAGGGATAAAATAAAGCAAGAAAAGAAGAGATGCTAGACAAAACACAAACATGCAGAAACAAAACCCCATGTCCCAAACACCATAAACTCGTTGAAACCCTAATATGCGCCATTAGTTATTTCATTGAGGATATCCCTCGTAATGAGCTTGTCCTTGAGTAGGACGCGCTCTCCCATTGTAGCCCTCCTGGGCTGCTGCTGACCAGGTGGTCTGTTCTCCTTGCCGGGAGAGGTGGCCGTCGCCAAATCTCCCCTTCTTACTGGAGACTTCTTAGGCGATGCACCCATCTTCTTGTTGGGCTTTCTGCTGCTACGCGGCGATGACGCAGTGGCCGTGATCTGCGTTCCCGGCTCCTCGAAGTAGTGGCTTTCTAGGGCGTCGGGGGGCAGGTTGTAGATCCAGTCGCGGTCCTCCATGAGGGAGATGAAGCGAGAGAGCATGGACTCGTGACCGCTGCCCTTGAGGGTGTCGAGGCTGCCGACGACGAGGAGCTTCGTCTTTGCACGGGTGAACGCGACGTTGATCCGACGCCAGTCGCGGAGCAGGTCGCCAATGTTGCAGGCGTCGTTGCTGCGCACCAGGCTCAGCACAATCACCTCCTTGTCGCGGCCCTGGAAGCGGTCCGTCGTGTGCATCTCGACGCCGCTGTGGACGCGGAGCCTCTCCTTGAGCAGGAACAGCTGCGCGCGGTAGTGTGTCATGACGCCAATCTCATTGTCCGGCACGCCCACCGTTAGCAGGCTCTCGACCAGCTGAGACACGACTCGCACCTCGGCCGGGTTGACGATGCGCTTGCCGTGCGCCTCCTCGCGCACTTGCGGCTGCAGCGTGTCCGTGTTGACGAAGCGCACGCGGGCCTCGCTGTCCAACAGGTCGCGCAGCCAGCACCTTGAGGGCGTAGGGCCAGCGCAGATGGAGTATATCTCTGGCCCGAGGCTCGCTAAAGTCGCCACGTCATGGTGTCGCAGCCTGAGCGCTTCCATCCTCGGCACGTGCAGCTTGTGACGTCGTAGAGCTTCGGTACCGCAGCGCAGCTTTCCGTCGTAAATGAGCGTGTTGCTCAGCATCATTATATCCTCGCACATGCGGTACTGGTGTTCCAGGTTGATGACTGACTCCGGATGCGAGTCCGACAGAAGCTTGAAGAGGGAAATATCCAGTCCGCCCTCTCGAGCCTCTTCGTTCCTTACCACAGGCGGTAGCTGGTTGTGGTCTCCGACCAGAACAAATGTGTTCGCCTTGAGGATCGGGCCAACGCAGATGGGCAGTGTGATCTGCGAGGCCTCGTCGACAATGCAGTAATCAAATGACCGCTCTTGGAAGATGCGGTGGTTGATGCCCAGACATGTTGTTGCGACGATGGGTGTACCATGCCACGCCTGCTTGATTTCGTCAAACGTCGTTTTGGGAAGGCTGGCGAGGGTAGCGAAGTCCTGCACCTCAGGGTGGATCTTGGCCGGGGCACCCAGTCTCAGTATCGGGATGTTGTCCGACTTGAGCTTGAGGAGAATGTTGTCGACGGCCGTGTGCGTGTGCGATGTGAGCAGCACGCTCTTCCCCTGTTGAGTGAGCGCCCGGATGATGTGGGCAATCGTAGTCGTCTTGCCGGTGCCGGGCATGCCGAGAACTAGGGCGTAGTCACGCGCGCTCATGACCTTCTCAATGGCACCCTTCTGGTCCACATTGAGGTTTTCACCCTTGTCCGAAACCGTGTACTGCGTGGCGACGGGCTTGAACTGGGGAGGCGCGAGGTCGACAACGAGGTTGCGGACCTTGGTCATCTGCGGGACCTGGTCTGACATAATCTGCACAAGGTTGTTTCTGACCGTGGCCATGCTGTTGCTGAACTCATCCTGGTCAAGGCGGTATCGGATGGGCTCCCGCTTGATCTTGCCACGGGAAGCGTCCGAGGTTGAGCCCTCCGGGGCAACCTCCATAATGCTAGCAAACGTCTGGTTGTTCACCTCGTCGAAGCCAGGCTGACGGATTCGGGCATTGTGAAGGCGTCTGTCGACAGCCACGCTGATTCTCTGCCTGCGCACCGCCGTGACATAGCCAATGGCGAGCGCAAAGTGACCTTCCTCGTCAGACACGACAATTGGATCGCCCACCGTGAGCTCCGACTCAAGAAAGGAGAACCCCGAAGCGTGGTGGTGCTTGATAAAAGTGTAGTTGAAGCGGTTAATGCGCGGGTTCTCCGTGTCTTCGGATGCCGATCCCTCCTCGATGATGACGTCGGCAAAGCAACGAGACTTCTTCTCGCGCTCGGCGCTCGTCATTGTCCACAGCTCCCTCTTGGTCTTTTGGCTGTCCTTTTCCTCCTTGGTGAGCAAATTCTCCCATTTGACAAAAAATTCCTGGTGCTTAGGCGTCAGGTGTCCGACAATCTCTTCGAACTTTTCCTGCATGTCGCTCGTCTCACCGTCGCCGTCGTCCGCTAGACGGTGATATGTGAAGCACGATATCTTTGCATAGCATTTGCCGCACACGTGCTTGTTCCTGAACATCGCGGGAAGATGGACGCTTCGTTCTCGGATGTGGCATGCAAGCTCGTTGCGCTGCATAATCATGTGCCTCAACTCGTTGCGAATGGCGGGTACTCGCATCGTTCTCGAGGACTCCATATAGTAGAGGATTCCATAGGCGATGTTGATGTCGTATCGGTCTGAGAGGAGGAGCGTATAGAGCACCGTCTGGGCTATGTGGTTCGGGCTGGGGTGTTTCCCCGTCTTGACCTCGAATGGCACCGTCAATCTCCGCTTGTCATTGCCGTCCATTGCAGCAATCTCGATCGTGGCATCAATGTTTCCCTTTATACCATACGTGGGCGACCAAACGTGCTCTTCAACATCTAGGAGCTTGGTGACCGCAATGTTGCCCTTCTTGCCACCGCGGTCTTCGACAATGCCGTCCGGCTATACCAAGGTCTGTCAGTGAGGAAAGCTTATAAGATGACCGCGACCTGTGTTGGAACGTACTCTGGGTTCGGAAGCTACAAAGGCAGACGCCCAATGGCTGAGCTCGGCCATTTTAGACTCGAGATGTTCTCGAGCAAGGGCCATGCTGACCTTGATCATGTAGAGGTCTTCCACATGATTCTCGGTAATCTTCACAATCAGCTTTGAGAGAAAAGGACGATTCCATTTGTTGGCCAGCAAGGCCTCTTGGAAGATCTCGTGAAGGATAGTCCCGTAGATGAGCGGCGGCGTTGCGTCGCTTGAAGCCTTGACCCTCTCCTGCAGGACTGCACGTCGCATGCAGCTAAACGAGTCGGCAATGACGGTCGACGACACGAGCTGGTCCGGATGCAAGATCAGGAGGTTTTCAGCATCATCGACGATGCATTTCCCCTTGGGCGAGAACTGCCCAATGACATGGACATACGCTTCACGGTGGACAGGCGTGTCAAACCAGCCTCCTTGAAGATGGACCGTCTTTTGGGCGTCGCCATTTTCGGCTTGAATAGAGAGTATCTACAGCGCCGTTAGTAATTGCCACAGAGTTGAGAATGTCGAGGGTCGAAAAACTTGCCTTCTCGGGTCGGGTCACTTGATACTTGTCAACGTACTCCCCTTCCAGGACATTGGTCACTAAATAGCGCTGGATCGTCTTGGGCTTCCGTCCAGGCTGCCTTTCAACTTAGCAGAGGGCCGGGCTATACAGGGTCTCCGTTCCAACGTACAGCTTGGGATGCCGAAGCTTGGGTTTGCTTTAGCGCAGACTGCGTTGCGGCCAGTTCAACGGCATCGAAATCGATATCGTCGTCATCCAGGTCTCCAAACTCGTCGTCAAAGTCGTCTCCACCAGGGGCGCTAATCGCAGCCTGGATGGGCATCTTACGATTAGGTCCGGGGGCGGCCTTCCTGGGTGAGGGTTCCCGGGGAGATTTCTCTGTCTGGGCCTCTGCCACCAGTGCGTCTGCATCTGCAAACACATCGTCATCCAGTCCGTCAAAGGAGTCCCCGGCTGTCTTCCCCTTAGGGTTCTCTTCAGTTTTGGACTCCTTTCCCTGACTAGGCTCATTGATGTTTGCCTCGAGTTCCAAGAGGGTGTCGTCGTCAAAGTCGTCATCGCCGAAGTCGGAAAACTCATCTATCGGAACCTGGGGTTGAACAGATGGTGCTGTGCTCTCCCTCATCCTTTTTTTGTGGGACGGAGAGCCAGTGAGAAGCTCCGCGGGATCCGCTTGGGGGATGGGGTCTCGGGTTCCGGGCTCCTGGATGCTGCTGTTGACACTGTCGAGCAGGTGGGTGACGAGCGACGATTTTGAGGCGGCCTCCATCTCGCGCTGCGAGTCAATGGCTCCTGTAAACGACCTTGTTTTCTCAATCTTTCTCCTCTTGGGTCCGTGCAGTCCCTGGCTGACGGCTCGGCGTAGATAATTCTCGTGGTCCGCCGTCGTGGTCTCCTTTGACGGGCCCGGCGACGAGGATATGATTAGCTGCGCAAGGGCCGGGTTGTCGAGTCCCACGGGTGTGACTTGGCCCCCGGCCTTGCTCAACGAGTAGCGGTCCCATAGTTCGAGGGTCGGATCGGTGTGCGGTGACCTTAGGGCCTGGGCGAGCTTCTTAACGTTGACCGCGGGTGATTTGTTGGTGACGCCCCCGCCACCTACAGGCGACGAGATGGGCGAGGAGCTCCTTGCGCGCTTCCTTCCCTTTCGGGCCATGACGGGCGAGAAAGCGTTGGCATAGAGCTTGTCAGGTTTGGAGTCCCACATGATGCGCTCGTTTGGCGACACGTTTGTATCCTCCTCGACCGAGGTGGCTGGGGCCATGAAGTCCCTCCACGTCAGCCGATTTGCCGGGGTAGCAGTCACGGCGACTTCTTTGCCATTGCCCTTGGAGGGTTGGTCATCCGCAGATACTGCTCCGCCCTCAGCCTTCTTGTTCTCCTCCTCCTCGTTCTCGGCTTCTCGCTTCTGGTACTGGAACTTGCTGAGCTTGTTCTTGGTCACCTCCGACACTGGCACCAGCGGTCTCGGGTCTGGCTCATTCTTGGCAGGATGTGTTCTTGATCGTCGCCATGGTGACCTCTGTTGCATTTTACCGGAATTTTGTGAGCCATTTTTGAAGAAAACCCCGAAGGAGGGGAGGGGGTTGTTTACCTTTGATAAACCAATTCGTTCTGAATATGACTTTTGAAGTGGCATTGTTTATTTGGAAACATAGGTCGCGATGGCCTGAAAATAGAGGGAAAAAAGTGCTCTGACCTGGGAATAGGTAGAGGGGAATCAATTTCGAAGTCAAGGTAGTCGTTCCCGGTTCCCTTGTGGTAGTGCAATCATCACCATTCAACGCGTCTCGAGGATGAATCAGACGCGTCTTGTATTTTAGTGGGGCACCAACGTTATGCGCCACCTCTGCCTTCGCTAAGGTCATTAATGGAAGGACCCACCACGCGTCAGAGACGTACTTTCACGTGACCTCGGAGTCGATGTTATCGATAAAGCTCCGCTACTAGCGCCTCGGTGACCCGGAACCCACCCGCATGAGAGAGGCCGTTTGCGTCATTGCAAAGTTGCTTCCCCGGGAAGGAAACAATTGAGCTGGTTTGCTTTTCATTGCATTCCAAACCTAGCTTGAATACTACTGCTGCCAAGCCAAGATACCTATCAGATAAAGAACGCCTTCCAGATTTCGTGTAGCTCGAGCGCGTGTGGCCAAATCTCGCCCCAATGGACTCATCCAACAGCGGCGGCGGAGGGGGCGGGGACGGGCAGAAGAAGGACCTCGTCTACGCCGAGTCGATGCGCAAGCGCATGTCTGAGATGCAGCAGGAGCTGATGCGGGAGCGGCAGGCCCTCGAACGACTGGGAAAGCCGTACGAGGCCCAGGCGCGGGAGCAGGTGACGACGGCTCTCGGCGGGACGGGGGAGAGCGTGTGGATGCTCCTGGTGGGCGGGATGTCGAAGAAGGGCCTCATCGCGCAGGGGACGAGCCTGGTGGCGTCCCTGGCCGGAGTGAACCAGCGCCCGCTGGAGAGAACGCAGGTCGAAGCCGTGACGGAGCACTTGCAGTCCGGGGCGACTAGCACTGCCGCCATCGAGCTGGGCGTTGACGCGACCGTCCTGGCGGCCGCCATGGCCCGCTGGAACAACCCACCCCCGCAGGTCAAGGCCAACCGCTTCTCGCGCTACACCTGGCCCGTCATGCTGCTCATCGGCTACGCCATCCCCGCCAAGCTCTTCGTCGAGCCCATCATCCTCACCCTCAACGCCCGCTACCGCGCCTCCCGCTTCCGCGACGACCCCCGCATGGCCGGGCTCAACGTCGACATCCACAGCCAGCTGGCCAAGCTGACGCGCATCGGGTGGGATGCTACCAACGGCGGTCATCCCCAGACCAACGACGACCCGTGGGGGAGGAGCAACCCCCCTTCTAGTCCCACTGCTCCTCCACAGCAGCAGCAGCAGCAGCAGCAGCAGTCTTCCCCCGTCCAGCAGCAAGTCCCCGCCGACGCGTGGTCTAGCAGCACCGACATTGTCGACGAGATAGATGACGACGCATCACCCGTCGCCCCGTCGATGAGGCCCAGGAACGGTGTACGACAGGATCCTCGCAACGAATACGACGGCTCAGCCTGGGACCGTATTCGTCAGCAGACCATGTCTCAGGGCCGCTATCAGCAGCAGCAACAGCGCCTGCAGCAGCAGAAGCAGCAGAGCGATTCATGGGGGAACGACTCTCAGGCCAACAGCTACCCGTCGGACGAGACGATGAGCCAGGATCAGGCACAGAGGGATTTCGATCGCCTTCTGGATCAGGAACGTAAGGGTTCGGAGCAGCCCAACGACAAGTGGAGGTGATGGTGTCGCGAATACCTAGCAATCTAGCACTGCTTCGTCTTCCTTCTTCTTCGCCTCACTCTGAGATACTGGAATTGAAAAGCGTCCTTAATCCTGTCACACACTGTACTATATACACCACTCTTTTGTCAATTACAAGAAAGTCTGTACACAATACTATTACATGAAACCAAAGGAAATGGTCCAAAGAAAAATCTTACTGTTCTGTGTTGTATAAGAGATAACAGTCCAAGAAATGATACTTTCCAATTAATACTCACAGGGAAAAAAAAAGAGAGAGACAAAAAAGGTAATACAAAAAGCCTACTAGTATATATACTACTAGTAGTACATTATAAACGCTTCCATCCCATCAATTCTACGGCTTAACCGCATCGTCCACATCTACAGGCTCAACCACATCACCCTTCTTATCCACAGTGGCCTCAAGGACACTCTCACCTGCCGCGTTGGCCACAAGAGTCTCCTCTTCCCTCTTTGGGGCTGCTCGCTTCTCCTCTTCTTCTGAATCGTCTTCTTTATCTTCCTCTTCTTTTCGTTCATTTTCGCCCTCGTCCTCGTTCGTATGAGCCGGCTCTTCCGATCTGGATTCCGATTTGGTGTCTGCCAATGCCGTCGTTTCCTCCTTGGTAGGGTACTCCTCCTTTTCAGGTACAGGCGATCCTTCTTCCTTGACGCCGGGTTCTTCCTCCTCGGCGGGAGACTCCTTGACAGGGGATTGCTCCACCGGAGACGCCGGCTTGACAGGAGATATGGCAGGGACAGGCGCAGGGACAGGCTCCTTCTCTTCGACCACGTCCTCGCCGTCCACAGCCACGCTGCCAATCTCGGGATCGATGGACCAGAGACGCTGTGGGGTGGAAAGGGTGAGGACGACCGGAGCAGCAGCAGCAGCAGCAGCAGGAGGGGCGGGACCCTTAGCCGGGGCACGACGCTGGGGACCACGGGCACGGCCCTTCCTGGCGTCGGACAGGGGCTTCTTCTCCTGCGGGGGGGTCTCCTTGTCGGGCGACTCAGCCGACTTCTCCTCCTTCTTGGGGGCCGGGGGTCCACCCTGGAGACGCCTGTTGAGGTCGCTCATGAAGCCGGCCTGGAGGGCAGCGATCTTGCCTCCGACAGGGCGGCTGGGCAACGGGGGCTTCTCCTTTGCGGGGCGCACGGGGATCTGCGGCTTGGGGCGGTCAGCCACGGGGGGCTTGGGTTTGGGACGCGTGGGGATGGCGGGGGCGGCACGTTCCGAAGCTCCTTCGGACGACGGCGTCTTCTTGGCCGTCGGCCGCGACGGCACCTCGGGCTTCTTCTCTCCCTCGGGGGTCTGAACGATGGCCTGATGGAGCTGGCTCTCCGGCACGTCCTCCCAGAGGTCCCTGCTGGGGAAGCGAGGTCCGGCCGATGGACGCTGCGGCTCGACGTGCGACTGCTGGTCAGCCCATGTAGCTTTGGTAGGCTTCTCGGACAGGGGGAGGAAGGTCGGGGCGGGGCGGCTCTTGGCGTCCATCTCGGCCAGCTCCTCCTGGTGCTGGGCGAAGGCGTGGGCTGGCGTTATGGGACGCTGCTCGCCATTGTGTCCAGACGAGCGCCTCCTGGTCGTCTCGGGCAGGTCGGGAGTAGACACCGTGGCGGTGTGGTGCGTGCTGCTGGGGGCGTCCTCCCATATGTCCTTGCTGGGGAAGTGGTTGTGGTTCTTGTTCTCGTCGGCCGACTCGGCGCGCTGCTGCTCCTTGTTGGAGTCCTCGGTGAACAGGGGCTCGTACTCGTCGACGTCCTCCATCGGGGTGTAGCGGATCTCGGGCTGGAGGTTGATCTGCACGCTCGCCGGGCGGCTAACTGGTCGGCTGGATGCGTCCTCCGAGTCGTAGGCGCTGCCGCGGCGCTCCAATCCCGTCTGGACGGCCGGGTGGCGCAGGTGAGCGTCGGGGTCCTTCTCGACCTCGTCAGGCGCCAGAATGGGAGCCTCGTACTCGCCCTCGCCTTCATTTCCGGCAACGTGCTCGCTTCCGTACGAGCGGTATTCGGAGTGCTCGGGGTCATCGACATGGATTACGTCCTCGCCAGGTTCCACAATAGACGGGGTCGGGGTCCGATCGGCGGGTTCTCCCTTGTCAAGCGATGAAGGTCCGTTCTGAGGTGTAGTCACCGGGTGAGTCTTGCGAGCGTACTCCTCACTTGCCTGGAAGGCAGCCTCGTCGGTCGGGGTACCGTGGAGCTCGGGGGTGGTGCCTGATGATGTACATTAGCAAGATGCCACATTGACAAGATGCCAGCAAGGGGAGATTCCTGCTCTCGCGGGACTCACCGTAGCCAGCACCGCGGCTCTTGGTATCTCTGACGAGCTTGTTGAGGTCGCTGCTGCTCATGGCGTAGTCGTTTTGGCGGTCGTGGAGGGGCACGTGCTCATCCTTGAGAAGTTCGGGGTGCTTCTCGTAGTAGGCCTTCTCGAGCCTATCCTGGGGGGCGACGCCGTGGCCGTGGAGACCGTAGCTTCCCGGGGGCACGCTGTGGGAGCTGTGCTTGCGCGCGTGGTGCTTCTCGCGGCCCTCGGGGCTCGGAGATGGGGCCTGGACATCGCCGAGGTGCGGGTTCATGGGTACGCGCTGGCCGATGGTGGGGATGCCGTGGTCCTCGTCGGTGGACTGCTGGCCATTGTCGCTGACGGCGGAAAAGCTGGTGCTGGGCCTCGTCTTCTCGATACTGTCGCCGGATGAGGCGGCGTGCTCCGAAGACTGGGCGGTGTGGCCGATGCCAAAGGCGGCGGCGCTGTTGGTGTCGGTGCGTGTGACGCTGGCGAGCCTCTGCTTTGCGCTGGTGGCGGGTAGGGACGGCTTGGGGGCGTGGAGCTTGAGGTCCTGGGCGATGGTGCGCGTCTGCTCGGGCGACTCGGCGGAGCCCTGGACCTCGTCATCGTCCCCGTCTTCGCCCCGCTTGTCCTTGTCTCCGTTGCCGTCGTTGACGCTGCTGGCGCTGCCCTCGGGCCGTTCGGCGTCGAGGGCGCCATACTCCATGCCCTCCTCGCCGACAGAGGGCATGGGCACGCTGGTGGAACGGACGATGGGGTCTCCATTGTCGCCACGGGGCAAGCCCGGGCTGAGGGCGGGGGGCTTAGAGATGCCCTTGGCGATGATGCCCTCGTTCAGGGGCGAGGGGGCGAAGCGATCGGCATTGGGGGAGATGGAGCGTTCGGCGACCCTCTTGGCGGGTCTCGGGGGGATCTTGGGGGCGTTCTCCTTGACAGAGGATCTCGAGGGGCGCGGCGGCACAGCCGGAGTCGATTGTGACGTAGCGGCCGTCATGGCTGTTTGTAGGTATGAGGCGACAGGAGAAGTTTGATAGGGAGAGAGGGAGAGAGAGGGAGGGAGAGAGAGGGAGGGAGAGAGAGAGAGAGAGAGGTGGAGGGGAGCAATAAAATAACGACAAGGTCACCCAAGTCGCTGCGGAGAAACCATAGGAAATTGAAGAGGAGAAGTAATAGAAATGAGGCGATTGGAGGGGGAGAACGAGACAAAAGGGGACAAGAGGAACTGACCCTCGAGATAGTTTAAACTTTGGGCGGTGTAACTGCTCGGTTGACAAGAGACGAGTACATGTAATAGTACTAGATAGTACTAGTAATAACTAGTAGTAGAGAGTAGAGAGTAGAGAGAGGCCAAAGAGAGCGGCCAGCCACAAGTGGTCTTCTCTGTATCGACCAGTTTCAACAGGACCAGTTTCAGCCCTGACAGGGGGTGAGTGGACAGCAACTCTCCCTTCTCCGCTATCTCGTTTACCTCTGCAGGAATGATGAGAAGCCGCAACGCTAGTCGCATCCCTCTCCTTTTCTTTTTCCTTGCCACCCTGTTACCATTTGGAGGTGGGAGTAATATGGCATGTGATGTGGTGGGAACGGGAGGGGGAGGAGGGGAAGAGAGGGTAGTGGTGGGTCAAACGACACGATCTACTTACACCACGTAGCCAAAACGCACAGACAACAGCAAAGAAGAATCGATTGATTGACCTGGGAGCAATCAATTGGCAGATGAAAGACGAAAGGGGGGAAGAGGGGACGGCTCCGTTCTTGTCGAGACTTTTTAGAACATGGGAGGAAGCGTGATTAGATGCTAATGGCGAATACGAACAAGGAGATGCACAACACACAGAGACACACATACACAACAGAGCGGACGACGACGACGACGACGACAACGACGATGATGATGATGCGAAGACCGGCGCGGGGTGTTTTCCTCACTAGAACGACCGGGGGTAACGTCGAGGGGAGAAGAGCGTCAATTGAGGCGTGATAGATGGTTTTTATGGTTTATATACTTTGTAATGCTCGTAGCCGTACTCTCAACAACGTAACCGATACCTCTGCGCTACCTGTGACGGATTCTCGTCGTCACCGCTGCAACGGGGTAGATACAATGATATACGCACTGTATTTACGTGGGGCTTACGGAGTACAGTGGCCTATATGGCAGGCCACGGAATAAACGATAGGCTCTGATGGCCGCTGGAAATCATGAGTATGAGTGGTTATATACACACTGTACGCCAGAGCTGTCAGTGGGGGAAGGAGCGGTGGGGGAAAGGAGGGGGGGAGTGTAGGGTCAAATTGATGCAGCTACGACTGATATACCACGCTGCGGATTACCTACTGCGATACGACGTACGAGTACTTGCTACTGATAATGCCTGCTTGATTGACACTTGCACATGATGCCTGCAGTATCATTACAGAGTACGAGTACGAGCATCAACACGTACAACTTGGGCTGACCATTTTCAGGCTTCACATTGGCGCACCGCGGAACCTCGTGCCTTGGCCCTTGGCCCTTGGACAAGTCGTAGCAGTACGTCATGGCATCATCCTTCCCTCTAGACCTCCCTCCTCCCCGCATCGTCAGCCCCACCCTGTCGACCTTATTGATATATTGCTCCCTCTGGAGCCTTTGTTTACCACTTTATCTGCATGGTATATAGTATCAATACCTACCGCCTTCCGTAGTCACGGTAATACTGATGCTAGTATACTCTAGCCTTCAGCCACGCTAACGAGTCGTGAGTTTTCTACTCGTACTTCATGTTCCTTCCTTTAGAGACAGTCGTCTCTTCCTTCTCTCCCAACGCGGGAAAGAAAAAAAAAGTTGAGAAAAAAAGAAGAAAAAACAGAGAAAAAAGGAGGGAAAATAAGGAAGAAGAGGAAGAAGAAGAAGAAAAGTCTATCGATGAAACAGAGAGACAGAGAGAGAGGCCGCCTGTGAGGCCGCCCACGATATACTAAGTATAATGGCACAAGGACCAAGTCCAAAGGTCTTGGCAAAAGCACACAAAAAGTACGTGCTCGTACAAGAGTCGAGGTAGTCCGTTCAGCATGTCGGACGTTCCTCCGAGTTCCGGTCATAGACACGGTTAAAATCACCTCAACACCCCTCCTCCTCAAGTGGCGTAACCCGTCGAGGTTGTGGTAGATGACTTCTAGCCGCTGTGCCCATCGAGATCATCCACATTTTACCGTTTCCTCTTCCGCAGAGCGCAGAAGGGAAAGGCCGGAGGCGGCAAGTAATAATACGTGATTCGATGACGTGACTCTGTCTCCTCCGTTTCAGCTGGTAATCTGCAATCTGTACATTCGAAGGGAAAAGAGCAACATGTCCGCCCAGGATTGGGCTCGGAAAGCTCTCTGCTCGTAGAATTGGTCGACATCACCAGACGAGAAAGGGAACCCTTGGGGTCTGTTCAATACGCCTTGCACGGATCATCATGCTCGGTGAAACGACACGCAAAGCTCGAAGCCACTCTTTTGACTCTTCTCCTCGGTGAACTGGACCTTCCTCGCTCATCCGTCCATGATACCTACCCAAAACGAGGGTAGAAAAAGTGGTGCTCTGCTTCCTACGCCAACTCACTGTGCGGAGTCTTATAATATGTAATATTACTAATAATACTCGTCCCGCATCAGAGCTGGGGGATATTAGAGCTTGGGGGATATATAATACAGAGTAATATGACTGTCGCAGCTATTGATATGATAGCAAAAGAGCAACGGCAACAGCAACAGCAACAGCAATAGCAACAGCAACAGCAACGGCAACACACATGCACACACATACACACATATTCACGCACGCGCGCGCACATACTCCACGGGCTCATATGCCGCTGCTTTCATCTCCCTCTGATAGCTTCCCGGTACTAATACATACATTGTCCGTAATACCATCAAGAATTTCTTCGTCGCTACGACATTTGCGCCAACCCCGTGGTGCCATCATACCCGGCCGGTATTTTCGCTACAAAATGAGAAGAAAGAAGAGAAGAGAAGCTCGAGAAACCCTTCGAGCTCGGAAGGCAAACAAGAGGACGGGGGGGGGGGGGAAGAAAAAGGAAAAAGAGCTATTCTCCCCAATACGCCAAAAAGCTCGAATCCCACTTCGTAAGGCCCAAGCTGTCAAATCTAAGAAGAAGAGAAGAAGAAAAAGAAACCACTGTCGTATCCTCGTACAAACTGGCAACCTGCTTTTGCCCCCCCTCCTCCTTTCTCGTATCCTCTACCAAGATACGCTGCTGTCGCTCACGTCATTTCCCGGCTCTTGCCTCGTCGTACGTGCAACTCGGGGACTTCGTTTTCCCATTTAATCGTTCGCTTACTGGCGTGAGGATGAGGGAGAAGTGACCTGAACGTGGTGACTGCGAAACAGGAGACACTGCTGATCCCTCGTAGGAAGCGATCCGCCGAGGCCTCCCACGCGCCATGTTGGAAGCTTCTCAAACAATCATCTGGGCGACACCCTGGCCGCCGAGCGTCTTGCTCCCGACAAAAGCCTGTCCCTTGATGGCAGCAAGCAGGTAGCAGATGGCCGTGATGATGAGGAAGACCCCCGCGGCAATTAGGCTGCTGCCGGTGACGAGGGTGCTGAGGAACTGTATGACGGCCATGACGGCGTAGGCGGCGGCGCGAAGGTAGTTTGTCGTGATCTGGCGGATAAAGGCATCGAACTTGGACGAGGTAGGGCAGATGCGGAGCAGAAGGGGGACCTCGATGAAGAGGATGATGAAGGCCGAGACGCTGCAGCAGATTCGTTAGTCGCCATTTTCCGTCTCTCTCTCTATCTCTCTCTCTCTCTGAAAATGTAAGATAGCGTATTGGTAGGGGACAGAACGTACATGGCCAGGGCGCAAAAGATGATGAGCAGCGGGTGAGTGGTGAAGATGGAGGCAATGCCCGTAGCCAAGCAGATGATCATGGACAGGATGCCGAACCTGCGTACGAATGTCAGTCAAGCCGTTGCCAGCTGGTCTCCCGTACCATTTCCGTCGCGTATGGATTCCCCCCTCCTCTCCTTCTTGCATCGTAATCGTCGTCGGCTGGTAACCGATGGCCGAGGAGGGGAACGGGGGCGGGGCGCAGTAACGACTCACCACTGTCCGTAGATGCCTTTTTTTTTTTGCCAGCCATGTTAGCCTCATGCCCAGACAGACGCGCGCGCGCACACATACACACACAGGGAGGAATGATGGGACTTACTGAAATTGCGAGTCCTGAACTCATCGAGGATAGACATCCTGGGCGAGGAAAAGCTATTGTCAGAGCTAGGATAGCTTCGGTCGATGTGCTGTCTGTTGGCGTTGGTTGATTTTCGGAGGAACGAGGATGATGGCCCCGTTATCGCAGCTCCAGCTCGCGCGCGCGTTTTGAACGGTCGAAAAGGGGTGGGCGTCACAGACGTTGAGATGTTGCTGGGCGGTTAACGTGTGAGAGGATCGAAGTCTCGTGTGGCGGTCCTATGCGTTGTGCTCGTAATGTGTCTTGGTGGGCTTCTCGTTCGATGAATGTTGGGAAAGGATGAGGATTCATCTACGAATTCGAGTACGTAGCCTTGCTTCTCTTTGTTGTCCTCATGTGCCTGAGCTCGATGCCAAGGTCGCTAAGTTCTGACCAAGAGGCTGCTACAAGTAATCCGTAGATACTGGTAGGTCACCGGTACTCTCGTCAGGCTGCTTCCTGAGCGAGAAGAGCAGGTACCTTATACCTTGGACCCAGGCTGAGGGGAGCCTTGAGTCTGACAGGCGCTCCTCTGATTGGGTCCCAGTTGCTGTAGCATCTGTTCCAGGTCTGCACGGGTAAGTACGAGTATACGGAGTATTACATATTAATAATGGCAGGTGACAGAATGTCTCTGCAATGTGCAGTGCAGCTTGTCATGGTCAGTCAATCGTACCAGTGCGACTTGCTATACGGAGTATATATGCATTCACAATACAGATTACATAATACTCGTACATCAACACGTAGTAATCTGTATGTAGTAGTAAGTAGTAGTAATAGCCGGTAACACCTGACCGTTTCTAAACGCGACAATATCCGAGGCGCCTTCCGACGGACCGGCACTGCACCGTCTTGCTCGCCTCTCTCTCCTACAGCAACAAGTCCGCTCACTCAACTCACCTGGTCATCTTCAACGGTTGATTGGAAATCATGATCACCTGACGCCCTGTCAGGCTGCCTCTGTTGCCAAGCTTCACGCCAGCATCTGACTCGTACCACGTTTACGTACGCGACCCTCGCGTTTCAACTAACCGGGAATTCGGCACTGCCACTGTGACGCGCAGACGGAGTAACTCATCGCCACAAGACAAATCAATCACCATCACCATAAGCTTCTTCACCGGATGCCGTCAAGACCATAAGATGAGGAAGAAATGTTATCCATACCTGAGCTCTAGACGCTATCCTACATGTACATGTACGGAGCATCAACCCATCTTCGTACATGGATTCTACTGCATCGCACCGGACAAGCACGCATTCATGTATGGAGATTCCCAGACCAAGCAAGGCTCTGCAAATCCACCACGCCCAGAGCTTGTAGCCACGTAGAACACCATCTAGAGGAGCATCAATAGTCACGCACACTCCCAGCAACTGCAGCGACTACAGAAGAGCAAGCAGGAGGGACAACGAGAAGGAAGAGGAGAGCATTTCCATATCAGCAGCAGTCATCATCACACGTCCAGATCATCCAGCCGCTCAACAGTAGATTACCCCACATACAACCTTCTTGCTCATGTCTCCTGCTCGGGACTCGGTCAAGTGTATCCCAATGAGAAAATGTGACGCGGGTTGGTTCGTTTGCGCCCCTCCCCCAGCTGGCTCTCCTGGAATAGATCTCATGCTTATATTGCCCAAGAATGTCGTATTCAGATGATGGCTCCCCCTCTGACCTGACTTGGCTCAACACTGGTAGACTGTTTCTCTGTAGGCCTTGTTTTTATTTTTACGAAGAAAAAAAAAGAAAGAGAGAAGAAGATTCCATCATATCGTTTGGTAGCTCAATAGTAGCTGCCCCATGCCCGCCGTGAGGCTGGGAACATGGGTGAGTACGACGCCATGAAGAACGAAGGGTTTCTTAAGTAAATGGGAGAGATGGGAGAGAAAGAGAGAGGGAGAGAAGGGGGGATTTCTCAGATGAAAGAGGAAGAGAAAGAGGACGAGAAAGAGAAACGGAAAGGGGGGGGATAGGACAGTCACATCAAAAGCAATCTAAACCCAACGAAGTCACCCAAAACCGTCGAGTTCGCCCTCAAGCACGGCTACCGTCACATCGACACCGCAGCGGCCTACGACAACGAGGAAGAGGTGGGAGCCGGCTTCAAGGCCTCGGAGGTGCCCCGATCGGAAATCTTCCTCACCTCGAAGCTGTCAAGCACGCACCACGCCGCCGCCGACGTCGAGGAGGCCGTCGGCCAGTCCCTGTCCGACCTGGGCACCGACTACCTGGACCTCTACCTGATTCACTGGCCCATAGCCTTCTCCGAGCCCGCGGATCCCAAGCTCCGCGCCCCCATCGACCCGGCCGACAGCGGGATCCACGTCGTCGACGCGCCCGTCGAGGAGACTTGGGAGGCCCTCGAGGAGGTGGTGGCTAAGGGAAAAGTACGCAGCATCGGCGTCAGTAACTTTACGAGGGAGGTGTCGGAATCTCTCATCAAGGTGTAAGCTTCCTTAACCCCCCTCCTTCCCCCTCCCTTCTAATCCTCCCTTGTCCCTCAAAATTTCGTTTCTCTCTCCCTCCCCCCCTCCATCTTTCTCTCTCTCTCTCACACACACACACACACACAGAGAGAGAGAGAGAGAGACAGTACATTTACCGAGAACCAAAACAAAACAAAAAAAAACAGAGCCAATATTCGACCTGCCGTCAACCAAGTCGAAGCCCACCCCTACCTCCAGCAGCCCTCCTTGCTAAGCTGGTGCGAGGACCAAGGGATCAACGTGACGGCCTACAGCCCCTCGGGAAACAACGTCTACGGCTTCCACAAGCCCTTGAACGACCCCGTGGTGGTTGAGGTGACTAGTCAGGTGGGCCGTCCAGCGCGGCGCCTCGGTCCTGGCCAAGTCGGTGACGCCGTCGCGCATCGAGGAGAACTTTGTCGACTTCCAGCTGCCCGCCGACGCCATGGACCGCATCGACGTCCTGGACAGGAACCACCGGCACAATCTCCCCGCCAGGTTGGGCGTCGATATCTTTGGCGAGGTGGGGAGGGAGGCTGCCTGGAAGGGGAGGGCGGATTGGATTGCGGCGCAGAAGAAGTGAGGGGGCCACTTGCTTGAGAGTGTCACCTACCATCTGATTGAGCAAAAAGTAGGCAGTCCAATATATGGAAGAAAAAGAAAGAAAGAAAGAAGGAGAAGAAGAAGAAGAAGAAGAGAGGGGAAAGAGAAAGATAACCGAGACTTTTACGTCGAGGTAGAAATCATAGCATGTCGCTCAAGAAAAGGGGGTAAGCATGGTCATAAAAAATCATGTCGCGTAAGGGGAAGGCTGGGCAGACAGACTCCCGCCCGAGTGAACTCGGAGTCAAGCATCAATCGACACCCCTCCTGCAAAAGCAAGAAGATCGAATAGGCACATCGGCCACCTCGAGCGCAGCATCCAGCTTTGGCTTGATCTCGCCAGCCTCCCTCTCCCTACCCAGCCTGACAAGACACTCATGGTACCCATGCAGCGCCCACACATTGTTCGGGTGCTGGTGCGCGCGGGGCAGCGAGCCGTCGAAGCCCAGATCGGCCGCATAGACGGCCAGAGCGTCGTCGACGTGCCCCTGCTCGAGGAGCAGGGCCCCGTACGCGTGCCTGGCGGGCTGCATCCAACCCCAGGGCTCGTCGTAGGGGAGGGCGTCGTACCGGCGGATGGACTCGCGCAGGTGCTCGAACGCGGCCTCATAGCTGGCGCGGCGGTACTCGACCTCCCCATCGAGCAGGGCGGCGGCGACGGCCAGGATGTCGGAGCACGAGTTGTTGAACAGGGTGCGCGACGGCTTGACGCGGGCGAGGGCCGAGCGGAAGAGGCGGCGCTGGTCCTCGGCGTCGGCGACCTCGCCCAGGGCGGCGTGCGCCATGGCCCTGGCGTAGTGGCTCGCGGCGGTGGTGACGCAGTACAGGTCCCGGTCGGGCGGGGGCTGGATGCGGTCGAGGATGTCGCGCCAGCGGCCGAAGCGGATCAGGGCGTGCACGCGCATGGCCAGGAAGGCCTCGAGCCAGTCGGCCATGGGGGGCGAGCGGATGCGCAGCACGTCGTCGGTGACGGTCTCCTCCAGGCGCGCGACCGTGTCGAGGGCGACGGCGGACTGGCCCGAGAACATGGCCCCGTACAGGCGGAAGTGGTAGTCGTGCGCGCGGTACAGGGTGTAGAAGTTGCGGGGTCCCCGGCGGCGCAGGAAGGCCTCGTCGGCGGCGACGGCGCGTGAGTTGGCCTCGACGGCGGCCGCGTAGTCGCCCACCAGGACGTCGATGTGGCTGGGCATGTGTCTGAGGTGGCCGGCGTCCGGGACGAGGTCACGCAGGCGGTCGGCGGCCGGCAGGGCCGCCTCGGGACGGGCCGACATCTCCATGAGGTGGATGTACAGGTGCAGCAGGCCCGGGTGGCGGCTGCCCCCGTCGAGGGACAGGGCGCGGCCGAGCACGCGCTCGATCTCGAGCGTGCGGGCCCCCGGCGCCGGCTCCCCCGTGCGCAGGTCCCACAGCGCCCAGGGCGTGAGGTTCATCATGGCGTCGGCGTAGAGCGCCGACACGTCCGGGTCGTCCGGGTACGAGGCGGACACGCCGGCCATGGCGTCGGCGTACTCGACGTTCCAGGACGAGAAGTCGCCCCCCGTCGGCTCCGGGTACCGACGCCGCAGGGCTCCGGCGAGGGCTCGCTCCAGGTCCGTCGACGCGTGCCGCTCCGCCAGCACCACCGCCCGGTGCGTGCGCGCCACGACGGTGGCCCGCTCGTCGCCGCCCAGCAGCGACCACGGCTTGTTGTAGTTGGGCCCGAGGGCGTACGCGAGCCCCCAGTGCGCCATGCTGCAGGCCTCGTCGTGCGAGATGGCCAGCTCGAAGCACCGCACCGCCTCCTCGTGGTTGAAGCCGTAGCTCCATACCAGTCCGCGGTCGAACCACAGCTGGGCCGAGGCATCTGACGTCGTGACGCCGCGGTGGAAGTTGCCGAGGTCGTAATAGGGTGCGTCGTCGGCCGACATGTCGGACTTTCTTCTTCTTTCTCTCTCCTCCCGACGGTCAATGCTCAAAGACTACCGGCAGCAAGACTGATATTCCTCTCGTGCTGTTTCCTGGCGGAGCCTTGCCAGATGCGTTCTCTTGCAGCGTATTGCCCGTAAATGCACCGATGGCGATGGCGATGGCGATGGCGGCGGTGATGGCGGTGGTGATGACGTGAGCGGGGTTGTGCTCGTTGCAAGGAGGGAAAATGGCGGCATATGAGCCCTGACGTATTAATAACCCTGACGTGCTATTCGTACTGCTTCATGATGCGAGTATGATACGGAATCTATGCACACAATAAAGGCATCCGTCGTCGAGTTGCAATATTGCTACAGATTACAGAGCATTACGATACTCGATATCTGTACTTGCTGCCATTACTACTCTGCTACTACTACTACTACTATAGAGAGTGATAGTAAATATATATATATATATATATATATATATATATATATATATATATATGTGCGTATATATATGTGTGTGCGTATATATATATATGTGCGTGTGTGTGTATATTATATATATACATAGATGGATGGATGGATAGACAAGATCCCGTACGTCGCACGGGATATTATAATGCTCGGTGACGCACGTCATTGTACGGAGAATCGTCGAAGATTGGCAGAGGTTGATGTTGATATACGACTATCACTGCATCGTAATAGCACACACTGCGGGTACTCGAGATGATGACAAGTGTACAGATTAGACCGCATTCCTAAGATGAGTAGAACTCTGCTCTGGGCAGGAACCCAGAACCCGGACATCTTCACCTGGGATCTGCGTCTTGTAATATCGTACATGTGAGTGATAATATGCACACGACTGAGAGTCCAGGGGACATTGTACGGAGTAGTACGAGTACAGACAGCGGAGCAGATTTCCCCCCTCAGTCCCATCCTCCTCTATCCTCCTCTCCATCTCCTCGTGCCTCCCTCCGTCGTGCTCTCCATCATCCATCCGTCACCTCGTGAGGCTCAGCAGGGACAGAGACAGCAGAGACCAGACGGGAGTACCGAGTTGAAGAAAATGAGGGCCGAGATGGAGTGGGCTATGCTTCAAGGTGCATTGCGAAGTCGGACTACTTCGTACGGAGGAGAACCGTATCATTTATTCCTCGTACCTGTAGATGGAATGATGAGTCGTTTTTTTCCTTCCTTTTTTTTTAACTCTTGGACAATCAATTTCCGTCTATTCCGTGACCCGTCCTTTTCATCTTCTTCACATCGTTATCGATCCTCATTCTCAGCAGGGAGGGCTCATTGGCCACCATCGGGATCGATTGATGCTGTAATACGGAGCGGTACCACTATAATAATTCAAGGATTACGCGGTCAAGGTCAATGGGGTTCATTCCGTGCAGGCGTCATCTGACGATATACCTCGGCAACTCGATCAATAATATTACTCCATATCCAGAGTAATGCATCGTAGCCTGTAGGCGGGGGGGGGGGGGACAGTTAAAAAAAAAAAAAAGTTTTAGAAGAGAAAGAGAAGAGAAGTTGCATATGAGACATGCATCAATGGACAGGAAGATGGTCGATCGCGGATCAAGTCTCCCTCCCCCTCTTCTCCTCCTCCTACTCCTCCTCCTCCTCCTCCTCCTCCTCCTGCTACTCCTCCTACTCGTGACCTCAAGCCACGGCGCCTCGTCCCGTCGCACAGATCACATCACAACCCTATATGAGCAGTTTGACTCGCTGAAATTGCTGAGTATAACCCCATAGGGCAAGGTGTCTTGTCGGCCACGAGGATGATCGATACAGATTCGTCTAGCTCCTCCAGAAGTCGAGCGCTCGGAAGGTGTACCTACTCGTACGCCAAGTCGCTCTCCCCGCTAGCCCCGCCCCTCTCTTTGTTCTGGCTGCTCGCTCGTATTTACATGCATCCGTATCTTCTTCTCCTGGGTTGCCGTATGTGCTGCTGTATCCCGTCGTTGATCCCATGCAGCATGGGCCATCTTTGGTTCCCTTGTCCCGATGGGTCAACACGCCCACACACACGCACACGCACACACACACACGACGACGACGCGGCCGGCGATCCCTTTCCCTGGTTCCTCGGCTGTGTCCATCTTCTTGCCTGAGAGTGGGGAGGGATTGTGGGCTAGAGCTATTAGTCGAAGAGGCATGACTCCGTACGTTCAGTATATTATTACGTGTAGTATTATAACTCGTTCTTATTCCTCTGCCGCAGAGGAATATATTCGTAGTGAGTGGTATTATCACTCGCACTATACGACCGCTTCTACGACAACCCCCGATGTGTTATAACACACCGGGAAGGGTGAATATGACCTTCCGCTGCGCGATATCGACATCGACACCACAATCAGCCTCTCTCCTGGCAGAGGGAATCAATAATTGACGCAGCACGGGGCTGATGGTGACCCGCAGAGCACTGCAGATACGTAACTGTGCAGGGAATCGCGGTGAGCTTCGCATCATCAGCCGGCACTTGGGTGACTGCCACGGTACATCATGTACATGCTTGGGTAGGGTAAGTACAGGTTACAGGTATCAGTTATTACTAGCCGACGGGAGGCGCAAGCCATAGATTTCGAGTTCCCTGCTCTCTCACTCCGCCGGCCCCCCCCCCCCCCCCCCCCACGAGTGATGAGTGGCCATCCTTCCATCGTCTCTCTCCAAGTTTTGCCGCCACTCTGCGGCCGTGAGCAGGAATCCGGTCCCTAATACGGGTGGAGGGACCAACGTCAGGAGGAAGGAAGGGGAAGGAGAGAGAGGAAGAGGGACGAGGCCGAATCACCCGACGCGCTGATATCACTAGTACTAGTGGCTGTCCAGACAGAGATGGCTCCTCGAGCCGTGTACGGCCGAGTACGTACACGCAGCGTATCCCATGTACCCCACAATGACCCCTGACTAGCTCTTATGATGAGTTACGACATACGGACTCGCCGCGACAGACCAATACTAGCCGTGCGACGATACACGTAGGTATTGGTACGGAGTGGTACCGCCGCTGCCTAGACAGCAGGTGATACCGTGCTAGGTAACCTGTACGGAGTATCACAGATTAATAGCAGCCGTACGAGCTGTACGAAGTACCAGCTAACATATGCAGTATCCAACGCTACCGTACTACGACTGTCATACTGATACTCGCAACTCGTAGCTGTAGATTTCGACGACGATCCTTGATCACGGAAACCTGCCAATCATCATCCTGACACGGACTCATAGCTCACTCCGTCCTCGCCAACTCGGGCATATCGGTATATTCTTTTTTCCCCTTCCTTTCATTCTCATATACATACATACATATACATACATACATATACATACATATATATATACATACATACATATATATATATATATATATATATATATATATACTTCACGTGGCAGGGACCCTCCTCCCTCACCGTCACGGACTAGACAAGTCCCGCCTCTTGGACTAAATCCGGTGCCTTGCGGCCTTGTGGTTCCTTGCTGCGAGACCTCGTACCGATACTACTAGTGGAGACTAGGGACCGAAAGGCACGCTGTCCCGTAGACTAGACGCCCTGTCAAGCACGGCTGTCCATTCAGCCCGACCCTTCAGCTGTTCCGCTTGTGGAAGGTCTGCCGTGGGACTAGTGAAAGACGTGTTCTGATAGTCCGCAGCTGCATGCGCAGGAGGCCGTAGGACGGGTCATGTCGAGTCGTCCTCCGTAGCACAGCAGACCGGTTCGTCCTGACTCTTTCGGTGGTCGCCCTCGAGCGTTGAGGGAGGGGAAGGATGGTGTGTGCTTTCATCATGGGACACACACACACACACACACACACACACCCTCACTCGCTCGCTCACTCGCACCCTCACCCACACACGCCTCTTCGTTTACACCCGAGTGATATTACTACGTTGAACGGAGCCATGATACGAATCATCGCTTGTCACTCGTCCGGACGAAAGTGGATTTGCTCCCCTCTGTACCGCACCTGCGTCCTACATGGAAACTTCTCCACGTTGCCCGAGGCTCCATGAACCGTTTTTGATCATCTCCGTACCTTTTATTTTTATTTTTATTTTCATCTTTTACCCCCATGTCCTCTCTCTCGGTGGGGAACTGCTAACCCTCGCAAGGAGGGAAGAAGAGAGGGAAGGCAGAAGAGGAGAGGAGAATGAAAACCCGCACACCCGGTCCCTCTTCCTTGTCGGAAAGTGGACACATATAAGCAGGGTTGACCGTCCCCTGACGACCCAGTCTTTCCCGAGGTTCCCTCCCGCTTGCCAGTTGCCTGTGCTGCATCATTACATCCGTCGTCGTACTTAAAGAGGCGCCGGGTGCGATCCCACATCGCTCCTGGTTGACAAGACGACAAGATATACAGATCCCATCATCATGGTTTCGGCTTGGAGTCTCTTGGCCCTGGCCTCTCTGGCCCTGGCCTCTCCCGTCAAGACGATCGACGACTACGCTCGCAGCCTTGTCTCCAGGGGTATTGTAAACCCCCGCGCAACACACTTACACGCACTCCTGACAGATGCCTGACAGCTGACAACTCCTCCCACCCCTATGCAGACGATGTCGTCACTCAGAGCACGCTCGACAGGCTCGAGTACTATGTCCAGTACGCTGCGGCAGCCTACTGCACCGTCGACGTCCCCGTCAACAGCACCATCAAGTGCGGCGGACAGTGCGACGAGCTCGAGGGTCGCGACATCAGGGTCCTAGGCACATTCTTGTAAGGCTCAACCTAGCATCGCTCCGCAACGAAGAAGACAGAAAGAGACATCTTCTCTCCTCCCCAACATTGCGTGCTAACCTCGGAGGTGCGGAAATTTTGCTTCATCACAAAATAAAACAGCGGTGACCTGACTGAGATCTCGGCCTTCGTCGCCATCGACGACGCCAACAAGGAGATTGTCTTCTCCGTGCGCGGCAGCAAGACCGTCGCCAACTGGATCGCCGACCTTTCCTTCATCCTGGTCGACACGGACCTGGTGGACGACGGCAAGGTGCACCAGGGCTTCGCGACGGCGTGGAACGAGCTGGAGCGCGACGTGGCCTCGACCCTCAAGTCGGCCCTGGCCTCCAACCCCACATACACGGTCGTCTCGACCGGCCACTCACTAGGCGCGGCCGTGGCCACCATCGGCGGCGCCGTCCTGCGCGCCAAGTACGGCATCCCCCTGGACCTGTACGTCTACGGGTCGCCGCGCGTGGGCAACGCCGTGCTGGCCGACTTCATCACCAACCAGGACGGCGCCGAGTACCGCGTCACCCACACCGACGACCCCGTGCCCCGCCTGCCCCCGATCTTCTTCGGATACCGTCACATCTCCCCCGAGTACTGGCTCACCAGCCCGGCCGAGGATGGCGACGACTACCCCCTCAGCGACGTGGTCGTGTGCACGGGCAACGCCAACATCGACTGCAACGGCGGCGAGATCGGCGTCGACACCAACGCCCACCTCTACTACTTCGGCCCCATCTCTACCACCCTCTGCTTCTCCGTCAACGTCACCCTCGACGACCTGTCCGTCTCGCTGTACACCGTCACCACCGCCGATGGCGAGAATGCAGGCGTTCAGATCGCCCAGTACGCCGCCAAGGATAAGGAGTTTGTCGAGCTCGAATCCTAGACCGCCCCCCCTTGTCGAGCGGTAACATGTTTTGAATGGCCTGTCGCATATCCCTATCGCATTCATTTTTTTTATATAATACTTATTATACCTTCTTTTATTCTATAATTTCGTCGAAGCCTTTATATATGTCCATATAGTTTGTTTTATTTTGCTGTATATTCGACCTGAAAGCATGATGATGTGTATATATCACCATCATGTATATATATATATATATATATATATATGATATACATATTCCCCCATAAGCCGATTGATGAATCAGCAACCTTCAGAAGACGTGTCCGCTGAAAAAGGGGTGGGCGGTTTGATGGCAAAGGCGGCAGCGACTGTGTTCATTCTGGCTTAGCACAGCATCCGACACGAACACTGGCCTGGTTGCGGTCCGAAGGAACGTCGAGCGCCGGGTTGGACGTGAAGAAGTCCGCAGGACGGAGGTGTACCTGGTGCACCTCGACAGGCATGACAGGCCAATCCTCGACCCTGGGGTTGTGGGTGAGGCCGAACACGGTCCAGACGACGGGGCTGCTCCTGCGGCCACCAGCGGAGGCCTTGTCGCCGGCGTCGCCGTCGGTGAACCAGTCGCCCCGCTCGACCATGGCGCCGACGCCGTCGATCTCCTCGGCCGTCTGGTTGGTGAACTCGCCTGCGGCCCACAGCTCGCCGTCCCTGTATCCGGTGACCCAGAAGTGGTGCTGGGCGAAGGGGGCGCGCTTGGCCTGGGTGCTGTCCGGGTCGGCGAGCAGGAGCTGCGTCTCGGGGGAGATGATCTTGAAGCCGACGTTCTTGCCGGAGACCGGGTTCAGCCTCGTCCTGTTCTCGAGCCGGAGGGTGCGGTTGCGGCGGGAGTCGGCGTCGACCCAGGCGGCGCGTTCGACGGTGCGCCTCTCGATCTCGTACAGGTTGCCAAAGGGGTTGGTGTCCGGGTCTATCCTGCGGCCGACGCTCTCCTCGATGACGACCTGGGTGTCGGCCGGGCCGTAGGAGTCGATGGCCGGGTCGATGCGGATGGCGAAGACGTGCTGGTGGTTCTGGGCTAGGACGCCGGGCCCGACGACGTTGCCGTATGCGCTCGTCTTGCCCTCGTCGATGGACACGACGCTCATGATGCCCGTGGCGCGCGTCTCGAACGTCAGGGCGCCGGACAGGTCAAGCTTGTAGATGAAGATGTACTCGTAGTTGGCCAGGGTGGCGATGAACTGCACGACGAGCTCCCTCATGCGCGTGACGACGCCGCGGCCCGTACGGAAGTTGGTGTGCTTCCACAGCACGCCGTTGTCCTGCTCGTGCAGGCAGATGACCGACTTGGACGGATTGGCCGACCCGTCGGGCGCGGTGAGCAGCGTGTCCATGTAGTGGATCGCGCCCAGGCAGTCGCACCCCAGGCTGAGGTTGTTGACCGCCCTGCCGACGCCGGTGTCGCCAAAGTCAAAGGCCTGCTTGCGGTGGTAGGGGGGCCGCGGGTCGCCGTAGGGGACCGTGAGCTCGCTGAAGCTCAGCCGGTACGCGACCGGCCTGCCGTCGTAGCAGACGTCGTGCAGCACCGCGCCCTCCCTCGGCGTGAAGCCGACGCGGAACCTCCACTTCTGCCACTCGACGAGGCCGTCGGCGTGCGGCGTGAAGGACGGCCCCTCGGGCTGGACGACGTTGAGCGGCTTCAGGCCCTCGCGCCTGGGCTCGGGCCGCAGCTCGGGCACGTACTCGCCTTGCTGGGGCGAGTTGTGCAGCTTCCTCGGCTCGCCGGCCCGGGCGGCGGGGGCCAGCGAGTCGCCGGCGCCGCCCGTGGCCAGGCGGTCGACGCGGATGATCTCTCTGGTGGCGAAGTCCATGACGGGGACGATGGGGATGGGGAAGGAGTAGTGGTTCGAGTCCGGGTTGCCGGTGGTCGTGTCCTTGGCGAAGACGAGACCCTGGATGTAGCGAGGCTCTCCGGCCTGCTCCGCCCCGCCGTACGGCCACGGATCAATCGTCACCTCGAAGCCGTCCGGGATGGCGAACTCGGACATGGCCTCCCTGTAGAGGTCGGACTGGAGGCAGATGCCGAGAAGCATGTCGCCGATCTCGTCCCTGGATATGGGGAAGATGTCAGCGACTGTGCGGGCCGGGGTCGGTTCATGTCAAGACGATGCATGAGATATCCGACACGCTGTCTACATACCCTGCGAGGTACGGCTTGATGCCCTCACCGGCTACCTTCTGCGAGACGACCTCTGCCTTGTCGACGTTGACAACGGTGCGGATATACTGGTGGTTGGCAGGCGGGGTGATGAGATCGTGCTCGACCAGGACCTGGCGCGGCGGTACGGGGACCGAGCCGTCGAGCTTGCCGGCGTGCTCGGCCTCGAGGTAGGGTACCAGGATGTCCTTGGCAGGCTCGTCAAGGAGGATGGCACGGAAGAGGATGGAGGTGTCGGGCCCATGGAGGGCGCGGACAATATCACGGGTCTTTTGAAACTCGGCCTCGCTCAGCGGGGCGAGGGGGTGAGGGTGGCTAGGCATGTTGACGGGTGGAGGAGCGAAGGAGATGGAAGTTCTGGAACGCTGCAATACCGGGCGATGGGGATGTGAAGAGTGTGGTCTAGGATATGAGAGGGAAGTTGCAGGATGTTATATAAATCATGAGAGCAGGGAGGAGGATGACGAGAGGACCGAGGAGATATGCCATATCTTGCTGATAGGCTGGTAGAGGTTATGGGATGCAAGATGGAATCAATTTCAAGATGCGTTATCAGATTAAAAGGCGAGAGGGAGAGAGGGAGAGAGAGAGAGAGAAGAAAGATGGAAATAAAAAAATAAAATAAAAATAAATCTCGCATGATACTGGTCTGAAATGGTTCGCATACACGTACACACACACACACACACACACACACACACACAGAGAGAGAGAGAGAGAGAGAGAGAGAGATGGAGAGAGAGAGAGAGAGACGCATAACCAAAGTAGCATGAGTAGCAATGGGTAACATTTAGATGGAGGGAGATCCACCGCGTCGAGTTCTGGCTTGGTAATCCCGCACGGCGATTGATTAGCAGCAGTTCGGAAAGTTCCCCGGGCTGCTGCCATAGTCCCCGTGCGTCTTGCCGCTTTGCCGCTCTGGCCCGACTACGGATCAGTTGCTACGGGAGAAAAGGGTGAGCAGAGCAGGAAGAGCAAGGATGAAAATAAAGATGAAAATAAACTAAGAGTAGAAATGTTCAAGGAAGAGTGTGGTGACCAACGGATGAGTCAATGTCAATATCTGCAAAAGGAAAAAGAAAGAAAAAAAGCAAGAGGGGAAGAGGAGAGGAGACAAGGACAGGGACAAGATTACGCGTTGGTTACGAATGGGTCAGATGAGTATGGCTCCGTACTCGTGCAGATGTGTGCGTGCTCCGAGATTCAGATAAGTATCATGATACCGTCCATAAGAGGCAATGCTACACGGTTCCCGGACCCCGCGGGGACCCGGTGGTGGCCCGCATCGTCCGGGGTCACGTCCGGGACACGAGGATGACGGGGGAGATGGGCCAAGTCTCTATTCTGAGTGTAAGTGCTGCAGCCTGCACTGTTAGGTGCAGCCATGTCGGTGGTTGCGAACAGGTTGGGCAGTATATCACATGCATTCCCCCGTGTATCGATAATACGGCCAGGACAAGTCGGAGCAGTGACTGTGAAAGACGGTCGAGGCAGCCGGTGATGAGAGACTGTCGAGTTTGAAAAGACACCATGTATCGCGCGCGCGGATATCAGATGCTACGATGGAGGAGGGGTCGGGTCAGATAGAGCATAGAGCATCTGTCTTGCAGAACAGGCCAAGTCAACAAGGGTATCAATTCATGTTGATGTGTACGAGTATACGTTCCTGTGCAGGGGGGGGGGGGGGTGTTAGTAGTGAGTGGTAGGTGCAGGTTACATCTATTACAGGTTTCCGTTTTGTAATGGAAACTGAACGAGTGCAGTATGTACGAGTAGAGTATTGCCCGTTTTCGCATTCATTAAAAAGCGCACCGTGTTTCTTCTGCTCGTGTGTGATAGGAAGTGTACGTCTTGTGTGTGTGTGTGTGCGTTTGTGTGTGTGTGTGTGCGTGTGCGTGTGTGTGTGTGTGTGTGAGCCTATGACAAGGTGGTCCGAGATTCGGGGAAGAAGTAGCAGTAACATTGAAGGGGGATGAATAGGGAGGGGTCCACGGTTAGGAACTGCCGATTCTGAGACAGAAAGAGAGATGGATCAATAGAGGGACCAAGGGTTGGAGGTTAATCATGCCGATCGCCGAGGCACACGTACGAGGGAGGATACGGTGCTCTCGTACATCAACTGGCGGGGGGGGGAGGTATTCGGGGGTTGCCGGCTGAGACGAAGCGGTGCCCTCTGCAATCGACGAGTTACGGAAGTGTACGGGTACGAGCAATAGAGATGTTTCCAAAAGGGAGGAGACGACGACAATGTTGGCATCGTCGTCGTCGTCGTCAGCGGCGTCGGTGGCACCTTTGGAGACAGAGAGAGAGAGGATGTGTGCGTATGTGTGATAGGGGGAGAGAGGGAGTTTGTTCGGTACGGAGGAGGGTCTTATCTACGACCGTGTACGCCAGATGAATAAATCTGCGGGCGGCGTCGAGACTGCAGAAGATGCAGTGTGTATCATCACTCCGTACTCCGTACCTGCAGGGACAGTCCCGATCAATCACTAGGGATACATCAACATACTGCGGAGTATGAATAACACCGTGGTTCCCGACATGACGAGCAATACAGAGTACGGAGTATCGCATATTGATCCTGCATGCAGGTGTGCGTGTGCGATGCCGCCTAGGGATCCGTCTCTAGGCGCCAGAAGCGACAGGTTCCACCGCGCCCCGGGAGCAGGTGCACGCTATCAATGATACTCTAGAAGATGTATCAAGAATGTATCATGCTCCTTCGAGCGCCATAGAGCGTCCCCCCCCCCCCCCCCCCCGCCTCTTTTTCAGTATCTGACGAGAAACCGGCGTCCATGTCGACGCGAGCGAGACCACGAGGATGGATCGAGAGCAGGCAATCAGCAGATGGAGCAATCGTGGGTCAGACTTCAGGACGGGCGATAGCACCAGAACACATCGCAGTCAAATCACTCAAAGGGTGGGATGCGTGTTGTCGGGTGTCTTATCCTCTGCTGTCTTATCATGACTATCATGACTATGATCCTTACGTGTCAGTGTCGGTACAGACCTGTACCGACACCGCCAGACGCCGCATCATTGGTTCTTCCGGTCCAGATCTGAGCCTCAGGCCCTCTGATGCAAACATCACCAACTCTCAGATATATATCTACGGCCTCATCCTCCCTCCCAGCTAGGTAGAACAGGTAGCATCGATACGACGGCCGCGGCCCTTTCTCCGGAGGGGCTAGAGCACCTGCATCATCTACATCACCTACGCGCGCGTGAGAACGTAGCCAACAGTCAGACTGGACCCTTTGATAGTTGAGTCCGCATCATTACCTAATCTACCTCTGGTTGCACGGTCACACTTGGCGCCCACCGCGGGGAAGGACACGGCAAGATTGTGATCGGTATGCTGTTCTAGAATCAGTATTTCAGAGCACGTCACGCGCATGTCGCGTCGGCGTCGACCATGCGATGAAACTTCATACATAGCTGCATTTCTTCGGCTTCGCCCCGCCCTGATGATCAACGCTTCTATTCATCGTGCACTCGTAATGCCCCACACACGCCGTAAGATCTAAGATCTATGGGTGGTATGGAGCCGCGTGTTTTCCGCGATCTCTCTTCTTACACAAACCAACGTTGAAGGCCGTTGTCGCTTCGTTCCCGACGTTTGCTACCCGCGAGCTTTCGACTTATATTGCTTATATCTATCGATGTCGTGGATCCACTAGATTTGGCTTCTGGTTCATGTACTGTCGCTTAGGGGGAGTAGACATCTTTAATCGAACAAGACATTCCAACCGAGGCTTTGCATTGCATCCATGGCAGCAGAAGACAGGTCTTTGATGGTGACTCTAGCATTGATAGTCACCAGCGAGGGAATCGCCTGGAGCTGTGCATGGATCTGCCGCAGCGCCTCTCGAGTAGACTGTGCACTGTCGCCATCCGTCCCAGTAATGAACCTTGAGTTGTTTCTCTGAATGCGTAGGCCTAGTGTTGTGAGCCGGCCGCAGTTTTTTCCAAGAATTCTTATGGTCCGCAGCTCGTCTTCCTCCAGCTTGACCGCTCCAGGCTGATGTCCCATGCTCACTGCGGCTGGCAGGTTGATGTCAACGTGTGACAAAAGATCTGCATTCACAGGCCCGATGAGATCTAGGAAGGACTGCAGGAGCTGAACTTGCTTCTGGGCAGTGTCCACGAATAGGAAATGGTTCATTTTATAGACCACCGCCTTCGCTTCGTCACTGACTTGTCGGTCGGTATGCAGCAACGCAAGCCAGTGTTTGGGCCGGCCAGGAGCGAATGTCTCTACCCGTTTCCCCCCGGCCTGAAAAAGATAGATTGGGTGCCGAATAACGAGTACTTGCTCGTATATAATTTGACGAATTTCTATAGGCAAGGCGAGAAAGCTGGCCGTCCTTCCGGCTACAGGCCACGACGCAGGCCTAAAATGTTCAATAGTTCGTGATTGGGGAGTGCTGTGGTGGTGCGGAAATGACGCGTTCGACTTCGAATTTTTCGGGCCCATCGTGTTTTGATCCTTCCACCACTCGCAAGAAGGTGACTTGGAGATATCGGAAGCCCCTTGACCAATGTGGACAGTGGTCGACAGCCTGGGGGGAGGGGTTCTAGTCCAGAGCCATATACGGTGTATTCAACCTCAAAAGTTGTTGTGATCGTAACTAACCTGTATAGCCCAGCTGCTCGCGCAGATTCAAGGAAGCCACTCAGATAATACTAAGACAAGTGGCAGCTGGTCAGCCGATGCTATTCAATAAATAAAAAATGTAAGGATATTAAAAAAAAAAATTATAAAATAAAATGTATTTCGAACAGATAATTTAAAAAATTTAGGAACAGAATTTAAGAAAAGTGAACTGGGAGGTACTTCGCTCGAGATTCTAATACTGCACTTACAGAATACGATGTAACTCACGACGTAGCTCTGCTGCTCGGTTTCGATATGGCGGTTGAATCGTCGTACGAAGAGAGGCGAAAAATCAACGTCGGGGACCTGCGCTGAGACGGTACGGTACCATGGATTGGAAAAGTGAGCCGTCGGTTATTTGACGGCATTCCTAGTGCTTGGTAAAACGGCGGGCGGATGGAGGAACTGGAAAGACGAGAGTACCGAGCACAACCTCACAGCAACAAAAGTCACGCAACTGTAATACTACATAAAGTGGTATGCCACTCTTCAGCATTTACTTATGGCTGAGCAAGGAAAAACCTAGAGCGGGGTATCGTTGCCTGAGTGTCGGAAAAAGTTTGATCCCCTTGTAGACGAAATAAAAAGACACGAGTAGTCCTCGGTGATGTAGATGAATAGGTTGCGCCGGCAATTCATCATTGCCAAGAAAGCTTCGAAGTCTAAGTGCCTGTTCAATATGAAGTCTCAAGAAACACATGAGGGGCTCCGTCGAGGTCTGCGGAAGAGGCTCCGTACTTTCCGGCGTGGCATAGGCAGCTCGTTCCGCGAGAGCGATGTCGAAACCAGGTAAATGTTGGTTCCTACCAATCGATCTAGAAGTCCTAATCATTAGTAGTATAGCTTCTGTCGCACAGAACACAAACTCTGTCACCAGCGCACTACCCTCTAAACAGACAAGCGATGCCACCCTCGGAACGCGGATCGAAGCCAGCCGCGTCGACGGTAGCAGCCAGACCAAGCGGAATGGCTCTCATCGACGTGATTCCTACCAAAATGTTGCCTCCGCCCAAGCAGGTGCTGACGACAACGGGGATGATACCACCGGGTCTTCAGACCTCTGGAGTGCAGCATACCGTGAGGCGGTTGAAAGCCTCAAGGGAGATGTAGACGTCGTTATTCTCAACAGCAACAATGTCGCGCAGCTGTTCAGGAAACTTGACCAGCTTGACAAGGAAGCAAATCAGGAGTCTGCTTTCCTGAGAGGAGTTAAGTATCTGCAATCTGTCAAGGTACCGCTTGAGAGATTCAAGCTAGCACTAGACCTAGCCAGCCCTCTGACAAACCTGGAACCAACCGCGACGACGGTTTTTGGCGTAGTCCGGAGTATAACTGCGGTGGGTTCTGTCTCTTGTCAAGGCAGCGATTCCCGTGATCCCGATGTGGTCTGCCGTTACACAAGAGCTGATTAATGCACAGATCGCCATCAGCCTCGCAGGTGCTGACTTGGAATTTGCTAAGCAAATCGGGGAGATGCTGGAGCAGATCTCCTACATCGACGATTGCGACACGCTCGGTCAAAAAGCTGACCGGGCTGACATTCACAGAGTAAGCGTATAGCCAACTCTCCGAAGCCCATCTAACCATGTCGCAGGCGCTTGTTTCGGTTTACCGGAAGCTCCTCGAATTCTACAGAGCAGCCTTCGAGATGCTGACGAGCCGCGGAACGAGACTGATAGTGAAATTGACGCTGGAGGAGGATCAACTGCCCGGCATCGTGCAAGACTTCTTGAGGCACGCGGACTACCTGCGAAGACTTGTGCAGAAGGCAACTTGGGAGATCGTCGAGGACATCAAGGCCATGCTCTACGATGCCGAGAGTAAGTCTCCCCGTCTCAACTGCCCGGACGTCGTGGGTCCAGACTCCAGACTGATCTGGATCTAGTTGCCAGGTGGCTGGGCGGTGGCAAGATGGAGATGCAGAGCCGGTACCACGCGCTCCTGCAGGAGATCCGGGCCGACCGGGCTTGCGATTTCCTGCTCGAGAATCCCCAGCTCGCCGACTGGTACCACGCCTCCCAATCCCGGCAACTGGCACTCCTCGGGGATACGGGCTGTGGGAAGACCGTTGCCGTGTCGTTCCTGGTCGATGAGCTGGGCCGGAGAAACGAGCACCGGCTGCCCAGGCCCAAGGTATGCTACTTCTACTGCCGGGATGACGAGACCGGCCAGGCTGTTCAGGTGGTGTCCGGCCTGATCCTATCGCTCCTCGAGCAGCTGCCTGGCTTGAAGAAGGATTTCTTCGGGTGGTATAAGCAAGCGCAGGCTTCCGGCATTCTTGAGCCGGCCACGAGCATCAAGAAACTGGGAGAGTTTCTGCACAAGATCCTGGAGGCAATCGACCGGCCAGTCTTCATCTTGATCGACGGTCTGGACGAGTGCGATGGGGTGTCGAGGAGGACTATCCTCGTCTTACTGAAGACCCTGTCGCAGAAGATCACGCAGCTGAAGACCGTGCTGGCTTCCCGACCCCAAGAGGACATCCTCGCACAGCTGGCCGGTGTAGGCAACATCTACCTGGGCTCCAACCTCGAACGGGATGAGATCATAGTCAAGGCGGCAGTAGAGAGGCAGCTGTTCCATCTACCGGAAGATTCCAAAGCCCTCATCGTCCACCGCCTGTCCCGCATGGCTCAAGGAAACGCCATCTGGACGAAGATGACGGTCGAGCTCATCGAGATCCGTGGAATCCGGGCATTGGGACCCATGCGACGATTCTTGGAGGAGATGCCGCTGCCCAGACAGCTCTCGAGACTCTACGGCCGCCTATTCTCGCGATACACCTCAGGTGAGCTGGAGAACGAAGGCCTTGCCAGCGCGGGTCTGAAGCTCCTCGCCGTCGCTCGCAGGCCGCTCAGCATGCTCGAGCTTGCATGGGCGATCGCACTGGCCACGGCGCGGCGGGAGGTGACCACCGTGACTGCGCTGGCTGATCTGGTGGATCATCAGCGGGTGTTGGGCCTGATGCATCCATTCATCTCCCGCGTCGACTACAGCGACACTGGGAAACGTCAGGTGCAGCTGATCCACCAGTCGGTGAAGGAGTTCATCCTCGACGATCTCGCCCAGACGCAAGCTCCGACCGTCCCCGCCGAGACCGGTCAGCTGCTCTGCGATAGACCTGCGGAGATGCTCGAGGCCATGGCCACAGACATCTGCATTCGATATCTCCTCCTACACGACGTCGACGCCATCAATCTCTTCTCTGAGGAGCAGATGGCGATTGCAGAGCTCCCGCAGGAGGCAGGCTTGTTCGACGACGACGACGGCGACGACGACGAGGCACCGACCGAGTACGATCCCCGTTGCACATGGGAAGTCTGGGAAGGGAACATGATCCGCTACGATCCGGCCGAGCGCGGTCTCGGGGAGTTCTTCGTCTACGCATCTTGCCATTGGTTGGAACATCTCGCTGCCGTCACGAGCGGCTCCCTGCTGAGCTTGCCGAGCATAGAGGATGTCTGCCAGCCAGGCTCGACTCGGCTCCGCAACTGGACCCAACAGAATTGCCGGCCAAGTTGCGCAGTCCAGCCCAGGTTCGAATTCGACGGCAGCCTGTACGATCCTCTCGGCATCGTCTCACTCTACGGCTCGGAGGCCATGCTACGCTATATGCTCAAGGTCTCCGAATTCGGCGGTGACAGGTACCTCCCGAGATCGGCCTTCCGGGCCGCCGATCAGATACTGCAGTGGGGTGACTTGGCTCGGCTGAGGATCCTGTCTCTAGACGGGAGGGTTGGGGGTCAGCTTCGCAATCTCGACTTTTTTCGGCTCGCGATCCATCAGTGGTTTATCACCGATGAGCGTGACCGCAACTGGGACCTAGCTTTCGACCTCGTCGACCTCTCGTTCGACGATATGATCCGGGAGCGATGGGGCAATGAGCTCCTGTGCATCGCCGCCGGCGCGGGCTGTATGCCACTAGTTCAGCGGCTGATGGCCGGAGCTCGACGCAAGGCAGAGCTTCGAAACGAGCTCCTCTGCGGATCACGGCACGAATCGCTCTCATCTCAGAGGTCCAAGCATCAATCAATCGGAGAGGCTGTCTTGGGGGACCATGTTGACGTGGTGGAATACCTCTTGGGAGAGGATGGCATCGCAGCACACCTCGAATTCCGCAACGCGCGTGGCGAGAACGTTCTCCATCTAGCGTCGAGGCTATGCAACCCGAGAATGGTCCGGGTCTTGGCACCTCGCTCGACCGGCTTCATGCACGATGCAGACGACCGGGGAGACACTGCTCTGGAGCGGATCGTCAAGAGCACCCGGGATCCGGAAGATCGGTATGAATCGGCGAGGATCATCCTCCTGCACACACCTACCATCTGGAAGAGCCGACCGTCTGGTCAGCACGCCCGTCTCTTGCAGCTGGCCGTACAGCTCGGTGACCTGGACATGTGCCGCGTCCTGCTCTGCGTCGGGAAGCTGAACCCTCTTCTGGCGATGACACGTGGCGACGACGGACAGCCGTCTCTCAAGGGTGAGGCTCATCAGGACGAGGGCACTGCACTCGAGATACTACGGCTGCTGCGCCTCGGGACCTCGTCGGATAATACCGCTTGAGTCCTGGGCCTACCGGCGGCGAGCCAGGTATGGAGGAGGTCAGAGCCTCCCTCACATCCGACCCCGGAAACGTGCAGAGGCTCCCGGGAGTATCATGGCGGTAGACGCCGCAATCTCTGTGGGAGAGCCTCGTCCGAAGACGGACAGCAGTAGGCCAGCATCTCGGACTGGACGGACGGCCTGGAGATCTGATACCTGTACAGTAGCCAAGACTCGGCTATTCGGAGGAGGTCATCGACGGTGACTGAGAGGATGGTGAACCCGACTGTAAGCGTCCACGTGCGACTTCGAGCGCGCCGTCAGAGCCATGGGCTCTGCAATTCCTGTCCGGTATCCGTGGCCCTGGTCTCCTATCACCTGCTCACGGCCCTGTGAATGATCAATGTCGGGGTTTTGCTCCCCCCCCAAACAGAGCCATCCCCCATCTGTCGTCTCCTTTCTATCCATGGGTTACATGGTACCGGCTATGGACATGGGCCGCTACCCCTGGCCGTGGAGTATCGACACCTGCCTGTACTTACTTCTACGAGGAGAATCGGCCATGCACAATGTCAACACCACATGCGATACCGGTGTGTGCCGAATTGAAACCCGTTGGTGGACTGGGTTTTTTTTATATCAGTCAGATCGATCTCATCAGTCAGATCGAGAACCCTGTCGGGCCTTCGATTTCATTTTCATCTCGAGCTCGCGTCGTCGTCGACATTCGTCGCTCGCAATCGCGGTGGTTACGAATCCGGATGGCCTCGGGCGGGCAAACGATCGGTCTCGAGGTCGATGATCTCCCAGTCAGCCGATCAGATATACCAACCTAGTGCTCGAGCGACGATGGAATAGCGGAGAGCTGGTCGAGTGTGCGTACGAGTCGACATTCACGTCTCAGCTCCATATTATGCGATATCTCTCGATATTTCTCATGATCGGGTAAGCAGGGTTATTGTGCAGCATCCAGGAGATTGTACCGCGAGAACAGCTGTGCACGTAGATGTGTTCGCAAGAGGAGAGAGAGTGTGTGTGTGTGATACCTACTCGGAGGAGGATGGAAGCTGAATATTACACGTTTCTTCCCCAAGTGGCGTGGGTCTACCGGGGCCAGTGACCGGGATATGGAGGAATCAGAGCATGGTAATGATGCGATGATATGATGTTGCTGCACGAGTAAGGGCATGCTGGTAGCCCCTCGGTAGCCCCTTGGCAATTCCAAGACTAATACCAGGTAGTACGGGTACGGGCGAGATGTACAGATGGACGTGTACGATGAGTACAGACAGATAGATTACCTGCGCGCAGGTGTCCAGTCTACTCCAATCTGTACTCGCATGCGTTCTGCCATACCTTGTCCATGCATTGATTGACTGCTCGGGGGTGATCATGGTCTGATGCAGGACAAGGCGAAGCATCTCGGCATTCATCAGCACAGGACGACTGACTCTTCGACCATCTCGTTCGGAGGTGTAGAGCAGTGCTGGGCGGTGGAGAAAATAAGAATAGAAAGCAAATCGCAGATGGTGGACGGGGAGGGCTCCTCGGCATACGTACCGTGTGTCACATGTTCATGTACATGTTCATGTACTGGCGGAGGTAGTCACGCCCTCCCCGCAGCCGCGCCGTGCTGGCCTGACCATCCTTCTTTACCTGTACAGACCACAGTGCTCGTACCTGTACTCGGCAGGCTAGAGGCTAGAGGATGGAGGGGCGGAGGCCAGAAAGCCAGGGGCTAGGGGCTAGGGGCTAGATGCTGATAGATGCCCAGATGCTCGATGCTCGATGCTGAGAGGAACGGAGGGGGTTGCATAGATCCGGAGTCTAGGACTTTGGGGGGGGGGGGGGCTTGAGGGGTTGAGAGTCTTGCCGGTACGACGGGTCTAGAGTCTAGAATCCAGTCCTAGGGTAGACAGACGAGGTGAGCGAGTAATTGAGCGAGGCGACGGCATGTTCTAGGCCGTGAATAGTTTGGGTCCGGAGTCGGATGGGGTGTGTGGAGGGAAGTTGAGAGAGGAAGTTGGGAGAAGGGGTTGGAAAGGATGAGAGCAAGAGGAGAGAGAGCAGGCATGGGAGTGAAGTCCTCCGCCGAGAAACTGAATCTGAGCCGAGAACCTGAGTCCCCACAGTCTCATCTGCTCTGCAATAATATCATATATATATATATATATGATGTGTATATATAAAATATGTATATATAATATATGTATATATAATCCTCATATATCGATACCGTAATACGTCGTACACTGTAAATTGTTTCCCCTGCAGTTGTGGGGGTCCTCCTGCTTTAATTCTCACGGATTGGAGATGGCTCAGATGGGGGCTTGAACCTTCTCGACCTTGAATTCAAACTTCTTCTCTCCTCTCACTTCCCCTTCTTTTTTCCTCCTCCCCCCCCCCCCCCCCCCCCTTCGAAATCCTAGCGGATGCCTCGTCTCAACCTGCAGTGCCCCTCCGTGTCTCTCTCTTGTCTCTTTCTTGTCTCTTTCTTCTTCCTCCTTTCTTTCTTTCTTCTTCACCAATGACGTGGTAGATAGATCTGTCATCGTCCATCCTCCTTTTCCCTTCTTCCCTCTCTACCATCTCCTCTGACCTTCTTCCTTTCCCTCCTCCTTTACTCTCTCTCCAACCACAACGGGCGCCCCCGCCCCCTTTGGCGCATCGCCAACCTCCATCATTTCATCATGCTGAATTCAAGACGCGCACTCGTCGCGGCGTTATCCATACTCGCCATCTTCTTCCTCATCACGCGTTCCCAAGTCTCCTCATCAGCCGACTCCTCAACTCCATCATCCCACGACACATCGACGACGGCAGACAGCCTCCACGACGGCACCAGCAGCGGCTACAGCGACGGCCGAACTACCGACGAGAATGACGGACGACCACCCTTGAACCCTGAAGCGGCGGCGGCGGCAGGAGGAGCAGGAGGAGCAGGAGGAGCAGGAGGAGCAGGAGGAGCGGCACCGGCCAGGAACACGCCCGTCTACCAGCAGAAGCAGCAACCTCTTCAGAGGACACCGCGCAAGCCGACGTCGGACATGTCGCACCTCAGCACGGCCGACAAGCTGGCGTACGTGTACCCCTACGACGTGACGAGCAAGTTCCCGGCCTACATCTGGCAGACGTGGAAGTGGACGGCCGACGACGCCGAGTTCGAGTACGTCGAGCAGGAGGCCTCGTGGACGCAGCAGCACCCGACCTTCATCCACGAGGTGGTGACGGACCACGTGGCCGTCAAGCTGCTGCGCCTCCTGTACGCGTCGGTGCCCGAGGTCCTGGAGGCGTACGAGGCCCTGCCCCGGCCCGTCCTCAAGGCCGACTTCTTCCGCTACCTGATCCTGTACGCCCGGGGCGGCATCTACTCCGACATCGACACCTTCGCCATCCAGAGCGCCGTCAACTGGCTGCCGCCCGACGTCGCCCTCGACACCGTCGGGCTCGTCGTCGGCATCGAGGCCGACCCGGACCGCCCGGACTGGGCCGACTGGTACTCGCGCCGCATCCAGTTCTGCCAGTGGACCATCCAGGCCAAGCCCGGCCACCCGGCCCTGCGCGCCGTCATCGCCCACATCACCCGGGAGACGCTCGAGAGGAAGCGGTCCGGCAAGCTGGCCAGCTTCGTCGACAGCGACACCGTCAACCTCACCGGCCCCGCCGTCTGGACCGACGTCATCATGGACTACCTCAACGACGAGCGCTACTTTGACAGGTCCCGCTCCAGCGGCGTCATCGACTACCGCGCCTTCACCGGCATGGAGGACAGGAAGCGCATAGGCGACGTCGTCGTCCTGCCCATCACCAGCTTCTCGCCCGGCGTCGGACAGATGGGTGCCAAGGAGGACGACGATCCCATGGCTTTTGTCAAGCATTACTTTGAAGGTATGCCTATCCACCTGTCTCGTCCTTTTTTCCTTCTTTTTCTTCTCCTCTCTTCTCCTCTCTCCTTCCCCTTCTTCTCTTCTCCCTCCTTCTTCCTGTCTCCTCTATTCCGAGCCGATGCTGACCATGGCAGGAACGTGGAAACCTGAAAGCGAACGCCACATTGGTGAGCAGCGCAGCTGATTCCTACACTCCTCTCTTCCTCCTCTTCCCCGGTCCGGTCACATTATCCTCTTTAGATTTCGGTTACATTGCTACCTTTAGATTTCGGAGTATGGCGGCTGTCTTTTACTTTGCCTTGTATCAGGTCTTTTTCATGTCGGTATCTATCTTATTCTCCTCTTCTATCTTGTTGTCTTCTTCCCTCTCGTCGGGATATATATACACAACCGACCATCCCTCCACCATTTTTTCCAAGGGCCAGGAAAAGAAAAACAAAACAAAACAAAAGCAGACACATCGAAAAGCGCCATGGCTCCGTATAAGGAGGGTAAACGCCGCCATGTTAGCATAGTTACGATGTACTTTTTTTTTTGGCTTCCGATTGAGAGGGGTTGTTTCTTTTTCTTCCTTGATTCCGATTCCGATTCCGATTCTCTGTGTCATCTTTCTTCCCTTTTTTTTTCCCTCCTTGCCATAGGATTCTGGGAGAGCTGATATGGCTTCTGTTGTCTGAAAATAAGACCGAGATGAAGGCAATGGTATATGATATATACTACATCATGGTGAATGGTGATCCCACACATGAGACTAGATTAATATGAGGACGATGAGCAGTGTAAGACAGGAATCAACTTGCTCGACGGGCAGTCGACGACTGCATCCTTCAAATCATACGCACCGGCACGCCAGCAGGAGGATGACGCATGTCCCGAGCACCAATGCAAGCTCCTACCCCCCCCCCCCCAAATTCGACGGAATACATACCCGAGGCCGTATCCGTCCCATCCCCCTCCATCGTGGGGAAGAAACAAGGTTGTGCGGGGAAGAGTCAAGAATGCGGGGTGTTAGTAGTCGGCTCCCTCTTGACTATGTAATTGATTCATCATTACCAACGTACTGAAATCGAGGCCCTCGGATATCTGTCTTGGGACTTCTCCCGAGCATCCTCGGGACAGGTAGCCTTGGGTGTATTTTCTTTTCTGGGGGTTTTTTTTTTCCTCGTCAACTTTGAAAGTGTGTCTTCAGTGTCTATCCAAAACAGTGTCTTATAAGATCTCTCTCTCTCTCTCTCGCATCCATTACTCATCTTCCTTTCTCTCCTCGTAACGCAGCACACATCATGTTTCTCTCACGCATGTTGCCGTACAGGCTGGCAGCCGGGGGAGGAGTCGGTAGTGGTCTCCTCTTCAGGCACACTCGAAATCTATTCAACCAGCCTCGATGGATATCAACCCAAAATCTGAGTATACGACGTGGACCCACAACTGTAAGTCATTACTACCAGAAGAAGAGGAGAAGAAGAGGAGAAGAAGAGGAGAAGAAGTAGAGAGGAGGAAGAAGAAGAAGAAAAAGAAGAAGAAAAAGACATTCTTCACACATCAATCGCTCTGACTCTGACCACAGCCCCCCCTCTACCGAGGAACGATACCAGAACACTTCGCCTCTGTTGTATCCGAGCACGGCGACCGTCCAGCCCTGGTAGTGTGGTCGCCGGTGCCGTCCATGTCGACGGTGCGCGCCGCCGAGACGACCCTGACGTACACGCAGCTGGACGTACTCTCCAACAGGCTGGGCTCATCTCTGTCGCGGCTGGGCGTGCGCAAGGGCGACCGCGTCGCCGTCTCCCTGGGCAGCACCGTGGCCTTCACGGCCCTGACGTACGCCCTCTTCAAGCTCGGCGCCGTCCTGGTGCCGCTCAACCCGTCCTTCACAGCAGCGCAGGTCACCTCGGCGCTGCGTCACCTCGGCGCGACGGTGCTGGTGATGGGTGCCGTGACCGACCTGCCCTACCGGCCGGCCCGGGGTCGCAGCAACGAGAGCCTGCTGCAGGCAATCATCACGGACGACGGCGACGGCGACGGCGGCGTCGGCAGAGGCACGCCCTACGAACCCCCGAGCATCAGGAGCTCCGCCGTCCCCTCCCTCCGCCACGTCGTCGTCCACGACAACCGCGGAGACCACCCCGACATCCCGCACTTCCAGCTCGACCGCCGTCTGAAGCTCTACCACGATCTGGTGGAGGGGGGTGCCGCGGGCCCCGTCACGCCCTCCGCCCCGCTCGGCCCGGAGGACACGATAAACATCCAGTTCACGTCGGGCACCACCTCGGCCCCCAAGGCCGCCATGCTGTCGCACACCTCCATCCTCAACAACGGCCGCCTCATCGCACACAGGATGGTGCTGGACGCCTCGGACCGCATCGTCGTGCCCCCGCCCCTGTTCCACTGCTTCGGCTCCGTGCTGGGCCTGATGGCCACCGCCACCACGGGCGCCTCCATCCTCTTCCCCTCGCCGGCGTTCGATCCCGTCGCGTCCATGCGCATGGCCTGCCGGCACCGCGCGACGGGGCTCTACGGCGTGGCCACCATGTTTGTCGCCTATCTCGAGGCACTCGACACCCATCCTGCCTCTTCCCCCTCTCCTTCCAAGCCCACTTCGCTGGTGCCCCCCCCGAACCTGCGCAAGGGCATAGTAGCCGGCAGCAGCGTGCCCGAGTCCCTGATGCACACGGTCCAGTCCCGTCTGGGCCTGGAAGACCTGGTCATCTGCTACGGCATGACCGAGACCAGCCCCGTCTCCTGCATGACCCGTCCCTCCGACCCGCCCGAGTACCGCGCCTCCACCGTCGGCACCCCCATGCCGCACACCGCCGTCAAGATCGTCGACCCGGCCGACCGGTCAAGGATCCTCCCTCTCGGCCAGAGGGGCGAGCTCGCCGCCTCCGGATACCTGACCATGGCCGGTTACTACGGCGATCCCGTCCGCACCCGCGAGGTGCTGGTTGCCGACCAGGAAACTGGCCGAGACCCCCCCTCCATATGGATGTACTCCGGCGACGAGGCGTCCATGGACGAGGAAGGCTTCGTCAGGATAACCGGCCGCATAAAGGACCTCATCATCCGCGCGGGTGAGAACATCCACCCCCTCGATATAGAGAACTGCCTCTTCCAGATGCCGGGCGTGCACGAGGTCAGTGTGGTCGGTATACCGGATGAGAAGCTGGGTGAGGCTGTCGGCGCCTTCATCATCAAGGAGAGCAGCGGCAGCAGATGTAGCGAGATAGATGGAGAGGGGAAGAAAGAAGAGGAGATATCGGAGAGTTCGGTCAGGGACTGGGTCAGATCTCACCTCTCGTCACATATGGTGCCCAAATACATCTTTTGGGTAGACGAGTATCCCAAGACGGCCAGTGGCAAGATTCAGAAGTTCAAGCTGGCCGAGTTGGGTGCTCAGATATTGGGAGTGTAGAGGTTCCCCTCCCCCTCCCCCCCTCTCTTTTCCTCTTCCTCTTGTGATACAATCTCATCCTCATCTTCTTTGTTTGATTACTTTTACTTTTTCTTTGTAGAATCATCATGTCATAGCTCTAGGGTAGCAAGGTTTTGCCTTCGATTCATATTTACACACGCACTCTCAACAAATCCAACGTACCGGAGTTCATCAGCGCTATTCTTTTCATCTCTCCCTTTACATCTCTTCATTCGTCCGTAATGTTCTCCCCCTTTTTTTCCAGAAGCATTCATAAAGTTCGAAAGTTCGAAAACCAAGCGGCATGAAGCAAAAAGCAGAGGTTTGTGTAGAGGGGAGAATGATATAGAATGAATAAAACCGGAGACTAGCCCTCCCCTCCAGGACCCAAAAAAAAAAACATAAAAACGCCAGATCCCAAAACTTCTTTTTGTAGGTGTATTGTCGTTGTCATTGTTGTCATTGTCATTGTTGTTGTTGTTGTTGTTGTTGTTGTTGTTGTTGTGTGTGTGCGAGTGTTGTTCGTAAATGTAGTTGGAACCGTTTCTCCTCTCTCCATTCGTAGTTCCTCCACGCGGCTTGCCGGCGGGAATCGTAAAAGTCTGTGATAAAAAAGGGAAATAAAAAGAAACACTCGCGCCCCCGTTACTCATCATGTAGAAGAACCACTTCCCCAATCGACTTGATGTTTTTTTTCGTCTGCGCAAAAGAAAGAGAGGCAAGAAAAGAACAAGGGACAAAGAAACAAGGGCAAAGCAGAATCAGTCAACCTGCTTCTCGCATCCGATACGACCGAGCAGCTCCTTGCGGTCACTGTGGCCCGGTAGACTGACGCCAGAGCTGCTGGACTGAATCTTGACGCCGTGCCTGCGCTCCCAGCCCTTGAGGTCGAGAGACTCGACGCCGACGTGCTCCTCGAGAGGCTCAGCCTCCTCGTAGACGAATTCGTCCTCTTCCTCGTCCTCCTCGCCCTCGTCGTCACTGCGGGAGTCTTCGGCGCTGCCTCCACGAAGCACCTTTATGACGACGCGGACGATCAGGCTGAACCAGAAGAGGGTGATGATCTGCAGGAAGATGAGAGGTACGAGGAACATCCACTTGACGCCGTGGTCGAAGCAGACGGTGCCGTCAAACTTGTAAAAGGGCTCGACGAGGGCCGTCAGGCCGGCGGGGCGTTCAAAGGGACCCTCGAGGCCGGCGTTGGTGCCCCTGTAGCAGCCAAAGTCCATGACTCGAGGCGTGTCGGCGTATATGGACCACAGGACGGCAATGTACAAGACGTGGCGGGCCATGAGCCACGACGACACGAAGAAGACAAAGGCAATGTCGCAGAGGGTGGTGTATCCGGCGTACTTGAGGCACTTGGCGAGCTATGGAGAGATATATCAGCTTTAGTCCAGACGCAGGGGGACGCTCGTTTCGGAAAACGCACGGGAAGGAAGATGTCGACGACGTCCATGAGGACGAGAATGAGGTGGCCGACGCGAGTGTGGTGGTAGTGGTAGCAGGCCCAGATGAGACTCGAGGTGATGACGTGGTGGCTGAGCATCTGCCAGTGGTCCTTGCGGCGCTCCTCGATGTGGATGACGACGAACTGCTGTAGCCAGAAGCCCCACTGGGCGAGGATGTAGATCTTCATGAGGCCGTCGATCTCGCGTTCGGGCCAGTTGGTCCAGAGGCCATCCATGTTGAAGTAGTAGGGGGATCTGCAGTACATATACTAGGGGTGGGAGGTCAGTCAAGGCGATCGCCGGTTTCGGGGGCTGGCGGCATGTGTGCCAGGCAGGAGCAGCGCAACCTATGGGGGGCCGAGGAAGAGAGAGAGAGAGAGAGAGGAGGGGAGGGAGAGGGAGACGCACGACGCCGAGAGGCCAGAAGAAGGAGTAGTAGACGAGAAGCCAAGACTGCTCGCTGAAGCGGGTGACGCAGAAGCGCTTGGTGATGCCCTGGAACTTGGCAAAGGGTGCGAGAACGTATTCCATGGTCCAGGCGCGCAGGCCGGTGAAGGCGACGATGCTGAGGGCAAGCACGTAGGCGTCGTCGAAGCCGATGGCATATCTTCCGGTGTCGTCGTTGTAGTAGGATAGGTGGAAGAACTTGTATGTGTAGGGCCTGGCTTTGGGGATGAAGAAGTGTGCGAGAAAGAGCAAGGCGAGGAGGTTGAGAGAGAGGCCTGAGACGGATGCAGGAGTCAGTCAATTGCACCGGGCCCGAGATGAGAAGACGGGAGGGGAAAGAGGGAGGAGGAGAAGGAGGGTGCGGATATACCGATCTGGTTCTCGACAAACCACTGAGCCAGCAGCTTCCCGGTACTCCTGTCCTTGCGCTTGAGCTTCCTGACGAGGACGACGTTGCTGCTGGGGGTCTGCATGTACAGAGGCCCGTTCATGCTAGAGCCGGGTCTGAGCTGGGGACGAGCGGCAGCCTTGGCGGCGACGACGGGATCATGGGGAGCCCTGGTAGGAGGAGTCTCGGGAGTGGGCGCCTGGTCCTGTTCGAGAATGGGCGGCGAGGGCCCCGGATCCGAGTCGGCCATTGTGTGTATATTCGTGCCTGCGCGAGTGGGTCGATCGGATAGGAGGAGGAGGAGGAAGAGGAATTGTTGTTGAGGGGATAGTTCCTCCTTAAACAGAAGGTGGGAGGAAAAAGAAGTTTAGGTTAAGGAAACGTCTCGAGAGCTGCGCGGACGCTAGGAAGAGATTGACACGGAAAAAAAAAAAGGGGTGGGGGGGGGGAGAGAAGTCAGTGATTGCCCAAAGAGAAGAAGTTGAAAAAAGATGACAGGGATTGAGAATTGGCCGAGCGAGCGTCTGCGAACTTGGAAAACAAGCAATAAAATAAGGGGAAAAAAAGAGAAAGAAGAAGAAACAAGCGACCGGGGTGGGTTTTGGTTCTTCGTTCAGGAGAGGATTGACGAGGAGGGGGAGAGGGAGAGTGGAGGAGGGATTGGGAAGGGGAACGAGGGAAGGAAGGTGGTTTGTTGTCGACAGAATAGCAAAAAGGCCCGTGGGGCAGAGAGAGATCTATCTGGCGGTGGGAGGACGAGAGAGGGAGAGTTACGAGTACGAGCACGTAGTATCACTATCACTACTACGCTACGAGTACCGCGACCAAGGCACGAGAGACCTACGGGTACCTTGGGAGCGGGGATGCAGCGTAGTAGGTATGGAGTAGGAGGATGGAGAAAGAGAGGGGGGGTGATGGTGCCATGTGTGTGTACGAGAAATGTATACGGAGCAATGCAAAACACATGAAGTGGTGGTGTCTTGTCGATGTGGGAATGCATGCGGGTGCTGCTCCTGGTAATACCTGCTGCAATTGATATGACAGTATTGGTCTATCCCACCCGACACGGCATGCGAGCCTGCATCCGATCTGGTCAGTTTAAGATACCTCTCGTGCCATCAGCCTGTTATGACCATCGCAACTACTCCGTACGAGCACTCCCGCCAAGATACACGTACGAGTAAGAGCTGTGTAGACTGCCGTCGTTCCTGTTGACCTGGAGGCTGAGGAGCAGACCTTGGGGCTGGTGGTGGACCTGCTTTGACTCGTACATGGAGCATCTGCAGCTAGGTACCTCATACACGTAGCCGCGCCAAGATCATCGCTGCTGGCTACCTGCTATTCAAGTACCGGTAGCCTACTCAGCAACGTATCAGCGGCCTCCTATTAATCGCGTGTGTACTCCGTAGGAGATTCCAGTACGGAGTGCATGCCGATTACTAGCATACAAGTCTACGAGCACTCCGACGCAGTGTGTGTGTGACGCTGCCTACTAGCGGCCTGCTCTTGGACGCCAGAGAGGTGATGGGTTCTAGCGCCCCCAATCCCTGATGCCTTGCATTGCCAGAAATCAATCCACACACACACATATATATATATATATGTAATCTGTACGGATAGTATCCGTACAGTCAAATAGGTCTATAACGATCATGTCATATAATGATGTATTACCAACAAAATCGTTGAATCCCAGCATCTTGGTGGGTTTTCCCACCACAAAAAAAAAAAAAAAGAAGAGAGAGAGAGAGAGAGATCTGGCGGTATCCCCGATCATCCTGCAATTTATGTTAGTCAGCCACCAAAATCGCTACGATCAGTAGCAGTCTCACGCCAGATGCCCCCTTTTCTTCTCCTCTTCCTCTCAACATCGTTACGACACGTAAAACAAATCACATTGCTCGATCTTAGAAAGCACATACGTACACGTAGTATGTCGTATATGACGAGTCCCCTCTATCGTCCGAATATAACACTAATATCTTAAATGCTCTAGCTACGCGCTATTATGTCTTCTTTGAATTTATGAGTAGTTGACTGCGGACGCAGTGTAAAAAAGGTATATGATACGACCCACACGTCCAATACAGCTTAGCTACGATGTCTCAAAATCGTTAAAATCAGGTGTGAAAGTCTTCTCGGTATAGGCCTATCCGACTGTGCATGCACAGAGTATTGATCGTATCTGTACTAGCAGCGTGGCAATAATACCACTAGCAGCAATTCGATACTATTCTATGGATACGAGAGTACGAGTACTAACCAGCACCGAGGGAAGCTTCTATAAGCCAATTAGTCATCCACGTGTCCCAAAACTCGAATCCCGTGACAGCATCACGTCACGCCAAAGAAAAGAAAAAAGCCGCCGCCACTGCATTCTGATCACCAACTTGCCATCAACTCATCAACCCCCCCATCAACAGCGGCTCGACAGCTCCAAAAAAAAAAAGAATTGAAACGTCTTCCCTCCCACCCCCGGGACCACCAAAGACAAGCGTACATTATACGGGAACCTACACACGCATCAATCTCGACAAGATGTCGTCGGTCAAGTACCAGCGCGCCCCGCAGGACGAGCCAGCAGACGATGAATACTCCCAGGCACCCCCCGCCTACCAGGCGGGCCCTACATCCGCGGCCGCGGCCGCTGCGCGCCACGACGAGACGCAGCACCTGTTCGGCGCGCCCCGCAGCAGCGAGGACAACCTCCCCGACGACTTCAAGTTTGGCGGCTCCGTGGCCGAGGCGACGGTGGACATCCGCAACCAGTTCGTGCGCAAGGTGTACACGATCCTGACGCTGCAGCTGATCGCCACCGGGGCCGTGAGCGGCCTGACCTTCTGGAGCGAGGGCTACAAGGCCTGGATCCAGTCGCACCCGGGCGTCGTGTGGCTCTCGCTCATCGGGTCCATGGCCTTCCTCGGCCTCACCTGGTGGAAGCGCAAGTCGTACCCGACCAACCTGCTCTTCCTGTCGGGCTTCACCTTCGCCGAGGCCTACAGCGTCTCCGTCATCGTCTCCTTCTACAAGGCCTCGGTCGTCCTGCACGCCGTGTTTCTCACCGCCGCCATCTTCATCTTCCTCACCCTCTTCGCCTGCCAGACAAAGTACGACTTCACCTCCTGGATGCCCTACCTCTTCGGCGCCCTGTGGGGGCTCGTCATGTTCGGCTTCATGGCCATCTTCCTCCCCTACAGCTCCACCGCCGAGCTCATCTACGGCGGCCTCGGAGCCCTCGTCTTCTCCGCCTACGTCCTCGTCGACACCCAGATGGTCCTGCGCAAGCACCACGTCGAGGAAGAGATTGCCGCCGCCATCAGCCTCTACCTCGACATCATCAACCTGTTCCTGTCTATCCTGCGCATCCTCAACAGCCAGTCTGACAACTAATTCAGCTAATTCATCTTCCCCCTCCCCTCCACCCCCCCACCTTTCCCAACCTTGCCTTTTTTTCTCCCCTTTCCTTCGTTCTTCTTTTCTCATTGTTCATTCTTGGAAAATCTTCCTCGGGGGGTTGTCATACTCTCAACTAATACGTAACGGGTTTCACCATCCGCTCTTCTTTCCACCTTTCCTTTGCAGTTTAGTTTGACTATAGGGGTGTTTTGATAATTATAATACTATAATTCCTCTTGACGTTGTTCCCTCGTGACCTGGCCTTGGTTCTTCAACACTCTTCTTCTCCCTGGCCTTTCTCTGATATGTCTCGCGCAGCAGTGCTGATTACTACTACTACTGGTATATCAATCAACCGTTTTCACTGCTCTCCAATCATCCCACGACGTGTGGTGGTGTAGAGAAGGAAAGCAAAAGAACAGAGACTTCTATAATGTCCGCATTGGAGGACCACGATAGCGTAGTACTTGGGGGGAAGATGAGAACAGAGAGATGAGGCATGGTATCCTCATCAGCATCAGGTATACAGCTTGGACATGGGATGTCCGCTGGCCAACCAAAGTCACGGTTCTACCCCTCTGTATAAGAAACCTACGCCCACCCTTCCCCACCACCCGAGACCGTCCTTGAACTACTTCAATGCTCCCCCACCTTCATTCATCACGCAGAGTCCATTCTTTGCTTCAAAACATGGTGTCTCCATTAATGTCTGTCGACAATACAGCTCTTCTTTGATATTTTTCGAGTTGTAGTGTTGAAGGGGACTCGCGCGTGCGTGCTGAGAAGAAAGAAGAAAGGGGTAAGAGAAAATAAATAAAAGGAAGGAAAAACAATATAAATAAATAAAAAATAAGGGAATCAGAGAAAAATTTAAAAACTTCGGCGTTCTGTGACACGATGACAGGGGATATTTTCTTTTTTTCCTCTTCTTCGTTTCGTCTTCTCTCACATCTTCCTTTCAAGAGAAGAGAAAAAAAAAACCAACGCCCATTAAGACCAAGGCCCACCCTTCTTTTGCGGATACCGTAGAATGTTCCTAGAGTAGTACTCGTAGTAGTATTTTCTTTTGTGTTGTCGGGGGAAAAAAAAAACAAGATACGGTTGTTTTACTCTTGAGCACCGTTAGCATCGCCACCGGCAGCCGAGGCCTCGTGGGCCGAAGCTTCGCGCTGCATGCGGGCCTCGATCTCGCGCAGTTGGGATTCGCGGGCCAGGAGCTCCTGGCGCTTGTCGTTGATCTCGCGCTGGACCTTGAGTTCGACCTCGCGCAGCTTCTCTTCCTCCCTGCGGAGCTGCTCCTCCTTGAGGCGGACGGACTGGGAAGCCAGATCCTCGGGGTTCATCGAGCTGTCGCGACTACTAGCGTTAGTACTTGGCGCCTACCCTCTAAGGGGGGAGAGGGGGGGGGGTCAAGGGTTTTTGATGCCCTGCTGAACTCACGCTCCGTTGGGGCCGTCAACGCTCTTGGAGAGCTTCTCGGTACGGTAGTTCTCGTAGAGGAAGTCGTGGGTGATTTCCTTGAGATCGGCAAGGTGGCTGTGGAGGAGGGCCGAACGAATGGCGAGGAAGTCCGAGTGGCGAGGGTTGTCGACCTCGACGACACCCCAGGGATACTGACGGGCACGGACCTTGCGGCCACCAATCTCGACAACTTCCTCGGAGCCGACAATGGCAAAGGGCATCAGGCCCCTGAGCTCGGCGTTCTCCTCCACGGTGTCCTCGTCGTCCTCTTCGATGTCGTAGGGGAAGTTGTAGACGGGGATACGGTAGTGCTCGATGTCCTCCATCACGAGCTTCTTCGACTCGGCCAGCTCAGCGGGGGTGAGCGAGTCGGCACGGCCGATGACGGGGATGACGTTGACACGGGGCGCCAGGCGCTTCATCAGCTCAATATCCAGCTCGCGGAGACTGTCGAGGGATCATATGTCAGCGGGTGCGTATCGACCTGGACTTCCTCGTCTTGTCAGTATCTTACCCGTGGCCGGTAGGCGTGATGAAGTAGAGCATGGCATGGACACGGTTGTCCCTGAAGCGAGGGTTACGCTTGATACGAGACTCCTCGGCGAGAATGTCATCATATTGTCTCTCGAGGTAACCGACAATCTCGGAAAAGCTGTGCAGGACGCTGTCAGTCATCCGTCTTGGGGGGGGGGAAACGACAGTTGGTAAAAAACGAAAGGGATGTTCACGTACCTGGCCTCGTTGTCGATCTGGTCACCGAATCCGGGGGTGTCGACAATGGTCAGGGAGATGCGAGTGCCCTCCTCATCGAGCTCAAGCTCTGCGGAGATCCGTTAGCGAGGAGCTCCCCCCCCCCCCCACGACAGATGGATAGACTGCATGTCCAATGAAGAGATACGTACCGACAGTGACGGGCTTGATCTTGACACCGTCCTCGACGTGGGCATCCGTCGAGTCATCGGCGTCCTTGTGCTGGAGGACGTCCTTGCTGCAGAGGGTGTTGACAAAGGTTGTCCGGCCTATTCGACAACGTGTAAGCTTCGTGATTGATTCGTGAAAGGAGGGAAGCCAGGCCGGGGGCACGAGACGAGCCGCGCATGGAGCATCGGTGAGGGGGGTTCGCGCATCGTACCAGTTCCAGAAGCACCGCAGACCATCAGGCAGAACTGGATACCCTTCTTGACGTTCTTCTTCCGGCGGATCATCTTCTATAGTTTTCGGAGACAAACGGATGGATTAGCGATATGACGGCGCACCACGGGTGAGGGGAATACGCATGCATGTTGACGGCGTGAAGGTCTGAATGGGGATTCGCTTTCAGGGAGACGTACAGTGGCAGAAGACATGACGGCGAGGAGGGAGGGGTGACGATTAGGGAATTAGGAGTAGCAAAGGTAGCAGATTGGGGGGGGGGGCTTAGAAGAGAAGTAGTAGACCGTGATACCACGAAACAAGAGATTTTTGCTTCGAGTCAGACACGAGACGGGGGGGAAGCGTCGCGAGATGGGGGTCTGGCGGTGGTGTGGTGGTTGGTGCAGAGGGCAGCTACAGTAAAGGAGAAGACTGCTCAAGGCGCTCAGGGTGATCACTCTCTGTCTCTCTCTCTCTCTCTCTCTCAATTCCTAGCATTTGGCTAGAGCGGGGAGGGCCCAGGGACGGGATGTAATTTCAGGCCAGTCGGTGGCTTGTGATTGGCTCTCTTCCGGTCGACGGCGCTCAACTCAGGGGCCGGGGGAGACATTCAGAGGGGGGACCTAGACTGGACTAACGAGGGGGACAACACAGAGGGCCAGACATAGCTTCTACAGCAATCAGCCATACCTAGACAAACCTAGACAGGCGGCCTTTGACACCTAATCCGTACAGATTTACATTGCACACAATATACGAGCAGGCTCTACCAGGGCAGTTGAGTGCACTAGCGAGACAAGGACCTAGGCTGACCCAGATGGGACCCATCCATCCATGGACCGTCCCTCCCTCCTAAATCCTTCTGATAATACCCCTATCCCCTCCATGCACCATCGTACGCTACAGCACTGTGGTCAACTAGTGTAGTTCCCCTGAGCCACTACAGATGATAGTTTTACTGCTTGTACCCGTGCTTATGGATATCAGTAATATGACTGCACGTATCATGAACATGTAATCTGTACTATCCAGGTGGCTGTCCTGCTCTGCTCCGTTACGTTGCTCTCCATCTCTCTCTCTCAACGTTTTGGCCCACAGAACGCTGGCTTGACCGCCTAGTTCCCCTTGCCAAGGCTCTCAAATTTCCACGACCCGGCCCGGTAGTTCTTCGGTCTACGCTCCGTACTACATTACAGGTTACATACCTCGTAGCAGAGAAGGAGAGTAAACATCACGTGAAACATCTGGTCTCAAGCATCTCAAGTTGAGCCACATGCCCAAGCCACACTAGGACTGGCAATACCCCATGTTTATTATTACCTAGTATACTGTATCAGTACCTAAACAACTGCACAAAGCTGTCATTGTTTGCTAGCTTCGGCTGGCCAGGCGACCCCGGTGCCGACAGCATACGGGCGTAACAACGACAAGCAGATGGAAGGTGTCACCTGGTATCCGTGTCAGAAGCCTACGACCATTAGCAGCAGTTTAGACACTCCGTTTCTGCCGCCATAATCAGTCCACCGTACCAACTGCTACTGCCTATTGCCTACGACTACCACTACGGGTACTGCGACTTGTTTGCTTACCTGAGAACTGACCGTGTAACGGTGGTGGATTGATACCTACTACCTATTGATCTACATACAGACTACAACCCTCTCGTCGCCTCCGCAGCCCCGCCGTCGGTCGGTCTACTCCGCAACAACCCGGCCCCAAACATCTTCCCCCCCCCCCCCCCCAACCTTGAAGCATCTTCTGCATTTCATCATCGTTGCACCACAACAGCCAATTCATCCGTGTATCGGTGTGCTCCCACAATACCTGCAGCCGCTGGTGACTCCCCTCCCTCCGCAAGGGCCTCGCGCCCCTCCTCGATGATGTTCTAGTGCAGGGCTCACCTTCTCTGCTACAACACCCAGCTCGCCACACGTCATCACTACCCTGGACGGGGCTCACTTCCACGGGAGAGCTTGCCGCTTTTTATATGCAGGATGAATGTCCGCAGGCCCATTGAGACGTGGACGCCGGCATCGGTACTATCCGTGTCGTTCAACAGCGATGCGAGCTGTTTCAGCATCGGACTCGAATCCGGCATATCCAGTATGGGAGGGGAACTCGTCATCAACCCTTCTTGCCCATCTTAGGCAACGCCGCTGACCATTGCACACTACGCAGTCTACCACACAAGACCCTGTCTGCTCAAGGCATCGAGAGGTGAGAGAGAGGGAGGGATAGAGAGCGCTCGCCGACTCAAGGACGATCATGCAAGCTAATACCCGTGTGCTTACCCTCAAGACTTCAACGCGGGCATAGGTCTGGTGCAGATGATGGGAACATCAAACTACCTCGCCCTGGTGGGAGGCGGCAAGTCGCCCAAGTTTGCGACGAACAAGGCCGTGATATGGGATGACCTGAAGGGCAAGGTGGCCTTGGAGATCACGACCCTGACAGCCGTGCGGGGCATCCAGCTGAGCCGTGAGCGCATCGTGGTGGTGCTCCAGAACAGCGTGCGCGTCTACTCCTTCGGCAAGCCCCCGGACCTGCTTCACGTCTATGAGACGGCCGACAACCACCATGGCCTGTGCCGCCTGTCGGACAGGCAGGTCGTCTTCCCCGGCCGCACGGCCGGCCACGTCCAGATCGTCGAGCTGAGCACGGGCAGCGTGAGCATCATCCCCGCCCACTCGTCGGCCCTGCGCGCCATGCAGCTTAGCCCGGACGGCGAGCTGCTCGCCACCGCCAGCGAGACGGGCACCCTAGTCCGCATCTACTCGACGGGCAACTGCGCCAAGGTCGCCGAGCTCCGCCGCGGCATCGACCCGGCCTCCATCTTCTCGCTCGCCTTCTCCCCCTCCAGCACCATGCTCGCCTGCACCTCGGACAAGGCGACCCTGCACATTTTCGACGTGCCGCATCCGCGCAAGGCCAACGCTTTTCGCCGCGTGACCCCCGTCGGCGTCGGTGGCGGCGGACCTTCTTCGACGGCGGCTTCGGCCGCCTCGGACCCTTCTGCCGATGGCAAGTGGGGGATCCTGAGCAGGATTCCCATGATGCCCCGCGTCTTCTCCGACGTCTACTCCTTCGCCACCGCGCCCTTTGAGGCTGGCGACGACTCGATGATTGGCGGTATACCATTCTCGGAGACCACGGTGCTGGGCACGTCCAGGCCGCCCAAGGGCGTCATCGGTTGGATATCAGATGACTCCCTCATCGTCCTCGGCGCCGGCCAGGACGCTCGGTGGGAGAAGTACATCATTGTCGACGGGGACGACGGCAAGAGACACTGCATCCGCGAGGGATGGAAACGGTACCACGGTAACACTTAGCTGCCGTGTCCACCCCCCCTTCTCTCTCTCTTCCTGCATCGTTTAGGAGTACCTTGATTTCAGGCGTTAGGGTAGGATAGGGGGAAGCTGGCAACGACCCAGAAATATAACGACATCTATTGTGCGAGTTTTTTTTGTTTTTTCTTCTTCTTTTGCTATTCTGACGCGGGGGTATCGGAGTTTTTTTTCTTCACTTCTTCTCTCCACGTGCCATCAAGATAGATGAGACTATTGCTACTTTTATGCTGGAGAACGACTCCTAGTGGTCCTGCGTCTCGACTTTCTCGACTCGTCTTGGCTGTCATCTCCGTGTCGTCGCCTGCGTGACTCTCGGCCGTCATGACGTCGACTGCTGCCTGCATCATCGTCCCGGCGACGTGTCGGCCGCCTTTCTTCATCGTCATCGTGGCGACGACGTCTCCTGTCTGCATCTCTCGAGTCGTCCCTGTGACGATGACGCTCCCCATCGTCCCCATCTCTGCGTGATGACCTGTGGTTATGGCGGCGTGACTCTCCATCGTCATCCTCCCTCGTGGACCGGTGCGGACGGCGTCCCTCATCATGATAACCCCTCCTTGACCTGTGTGACCGTTCGTTGCTGTCGTCGTCGTCCTCATCCACTCTCCTGGACCGGTGCGACCGGTGATGTCGGTGTCGGTGACTGCTGTGCCTGTCCTTCTTGCTGTCCAGCCTGCGCCTCGCCTCGTCAACCTCCTTCTTCTTCTCCTCGATGAGGTAACTCTTCATGGGATCGTCGTCATCGTGCTCGGCTATAAGCAGGGCCAGCTCCTTCTCCTCCGGCAGCTGCGGCCTCCGCTCCTGCTCTTCCTCCTCCGATTCGTCCCTGTCGTCGTCGGTATCGTTGGTGTTGCCACTACCCTTCTCCCTCTTCATGATGTCTTCCCAGCCGACCTTGAACTCCTCCGGGTCCTCATCGTCGCGGGCCTTGTACCGTGCGTGGTCGACGCGGACGAGGCGGCCGCTGATTTCCGCGCCGCCCAGGTTGTCGACGGCCAGGTCGGTGCTGCGCTGGTCCTCGTACTTGAGCCAGCCGAAGCCTTTGGACTTGCCCGTCTCCTTGTCGCGCGCCAGCTTGAGGAAAGTCGGCTCGCCGAATTGTGAGAAGATGGTGATGACGTCTCCCTCGGACAGCTCGTATGGCAGGCCGCCAAAGTAGACGTAGGCTGTGTCGCGGTAGTCGACGTGCCAAGAGGCGTTGGGGGAGCTGTGGAAGGGAAGGAAGAGGTTAGCGACCTCGGGGTTGGGGAATAATTAGGGGAAGACGGGTACGTACATCCCGTTCTCAATCTCCTTTTGGTTCAATGCCTGAATGGCGCGAATTTGATTCATCTTGGGAGCGGCTGCTTGTGAGTTGTACGGAAAGAAGAAAGGCAAGAAAAGAAAAAGAAGAAAAGGTTGAAGAGCTACTTGCCGTTGCCAAGTTGGAACAAGGAAAAAGACCCAGTTGACGATTGCTTGATTGGTCCGTGACTCAGGCTACGACGTCCATATTTAGAGAGGCACGGAATATTGAGCACCGTAGGGAGTCTGTCACGCAACAAAAACAGACAAAAAAAAGAACATCGGAATTTCTCGGTGAGAAGCCTTGATCATCTTGGATCGGCTTAATATTCGATTGTATCAAGTCCTGATGTTGCGCTTGCGACTCTCATTGATCCGCATTGCAGGGTATAGAACGCGGGTCAACATCCGGGCCGACGCGACTGACAATTTACTGATGGAGTATTATTACGGCACTAGCACTCCTTTGCTCGTTACCAAAGGTCGGTCTCCCCAGAGTGGCAGACAGACTGACAGAGAGAGAGAGAGAGAGAGAAAGGGTACGTACCTCTCTTGTCCCCAGCACTCATTTACTCCAAGGGGAACAACGTCTCACGTCGGCTTTCTTTAACTGCTGCACGTATAGACGACCACCACCACCACCACCATCACCAAAAAAAAAAAGAATCGACGCTCCCCCCTCCTCCCCCTCCCCTCCTTGGTCGAAATATTTCCGGGAATTCGAACCAAAAGAACGACAATTGACCATCCGGGCAACGGGAATCATGCTATCGCGTCTTCTCCGAGCTTAGCTTGCAGCCCGAATCAACCGCCCTCTCTTTCGAACGAGACGCGTTTCCCCTTTGGCCCTTGCAGGGTCTAGCAGGCGCAGAAGACACAACAGGCCGCAAGCCTATGACCCGACAACACTGATCTACCGGCATCTGCTCCTCTCCGGAAAACAGACACTGCCATCGCAGCTTCCTAGTGGGGGAACGAATAGCCGTCAAAGGCGTCAGCCAGCCATGGACGCCGCCGCCACAACCCGCGGGTCAGGAGATGCGGATGGGCGCAATGGCGAGCAGAAGAAAAACCTGTGGACTTCTATGCTCGAGTCCGTCTCGAGCGGAAAGCGGCTGCCCGAGAAGAACCTTCTCGTCCTCGGTATGGAAGCATCAGAACCCCGGAAGCGCAGGAGGGGGAATGAAGTGTCATGTATACCGGTAGTACTAACGCTGCCGCAACCACAGGGGGCACTCCCGAGACGCAACGCGAATTTCTCGAATCACTATCCGCCTCGGAGTCGTCGAAACGTAATATTGACCGGAACAAGTCCCCCCCCATAGCGAACAGCTTCGCCCTGGGCTATACATACTATGACGTCCTAGACGCCGATCAAGACGGTGGGTTCCCCCTCTCCCCCCTCTCCCCCTCTCCCTGCGTGACCATGTCCCCCGTCAAGACGCTGACAAGGGCCCGATATCAGATACCCTCGCACGCGTCTCGCTATACCTCCTGTCCCAGCCCTCGGACAAGTTCGCATCCCTCGTCGCCCCCCTCCTCACCCCCGAAGCCATAGACCACACGGCCCTGGTGATACTTCTCGACTGGGCCCAGCCTCACCTCTGGCTCCGCCAGATATGCCAGTGGGTCAGGTTCTTCCGTTCCGTCACCAGGCAGCTGGGCGACGAGGAGCGCTTCAAGATGGGTGAGGTCATGGAGGCCTGGAAGTCACGCGGTCGCGGGGGTTCCTCTGTCAACCTCGACGGCACGCCCTCCGCCACGGCCGCCTCGGGAGACGGCGATAGCTCCTTGCCTCTGGGGCCGGGAGAATGGTCGGATGCTCTGGGTCTTCCCCTGTGTGTTGTCTGTCAGAACGTGAGTTGGATGGCCCGAGAGAAATCCAAAGGAAGAGGAGACTGCTTGCAGGAACGAGACTATTGACTGACACCCATGTTTGCAACCACAGGCGCAACGAATCGAGGTTCTGGAAAAGACTCACAATTGGAAGGAGCCCGACTTTGACACGGTCCTACAGTACCTGCGAACAATCCTTCTGAGGCGTACGTCCTCYCSCMCMCCCMAWCTCTTCTGCACCCTTGAGCGTGCTGACATGCAATACTAGATGGCGCTTCGTTGATATACACCTCCCAGCACGCCGCCTCTCAAGCCCCGTCGCTAGTCCACTCAACCTTGGGCATCACATCCCTCCTGAAGCGCCAACCGCTCAAGCACAACGTCATCGACCGCGACAAGATTGTCGTGCCGCCCAACTGGGACTCGTGGGGCAAGATCCGCGTGCTGGGCGGCGACTTCGAGGCCGAGGCCGTCTCCCAGGGTTGGGAGGAGGATATCGACGAACACCTCGGCTCCTCGGGCCCCTGCAGCATGGAGACGCTCGAGCAGAACCGCCGCGTGGCCGGCGAGACGGCCGAGCCCATCCAGACCGAGAGCGCCATCGCCCGCTACGAGGACTGGTGCCAGGAGCCAGGCAGCAGCGGTGGACTGGCCGTCGTCGAGAACGTCATGAACGAGGCCGACGTCGCCGTCCACAGCGACGACACCCAGGACTTCCTCGAGGGCCAGCTCAAGATCCTCGAGGCCTTCAAGGCCAAGGCCGCCCCTGAAAAGTCTTCTGCCGCCGCCCTCGCCGCCGCTGCCGTCGTCTCGGACCGTGAACACATCAGTGAACACATCGGTCCCGTCCAGTTCAACGTCGGTGGTATCCACGTAGATGCCGATGACATGCTGCAGCGTATCAAGGTACGAACTCTCTCTTATCTGTCTTGTTGTATCTTTCTGTTTCCCTCTCGAGAACCCAAAAAAAAAAACTTCTTCTCTGATCATACTCCTCTCCTTTACGTCGATGCTGACGACCAACTCACAGGATCGCAACGCATACTCGTCCCCCGAACCTACTGCCGAAACAGAACCCACCGTCCCAGGCGTCACGGAGAAATATGACAATGAGCAGCTCACAAACTTTTTTAACAACCTGATCAACAGGTAAAAAGAAAAAAAGGAGAATATAAAACTTGAAAAAAAACCCGCTTCTTGTTCCATATTTTTTTCTCTCTATCCCTCTACTTCCTCATTTGTTTTTCCCAACCCACATACCACACCACAATTACCTGATCTCCAACTTGAAAAAAAGGGGGTGGGGGAGGGAGGAGGAGGAAAGAGATGTATTGTTGAAAAGGCAGCATGGCAACATTCAAAGGGGAAAAAAAACAGTATGGCAGGAGAGCAGCAACATGTATCCAGACATCAGGGTGTTTGAAATTTTGCTTCGATACCCATTTCCCAATAATGCTAGTTACTGCTGTAAATTAGATACCCTGCCGTTTTGACCGTCGACACGGAAAAAAAAAAGAAAGTAAGACCAGAGGATATATTATATATAAAAAAACACACGTTGATTTCTCTTCTTTTTGGGTTGCAAAACCGCCCATCCTCCCATTCTTTTGCCGCCCAAGATACGCCTTGAGTACTAGTACTATTGTTTGTACTCTGCATATAAAAATAGACCCAACCTGTATAAAGCATACGCGAGAACTGGAAATGTCACCCATGAATTTTTTTTCTCTTTGCAATGTGAACGGTAGTGTAGGCCCGTGGGGGGGGGGGGGGGGGGGGGGGGGAGCAAAGCAGAAACAGAAAATGATAGAAAAGAGGACGAAATAGAAAAGAGAAAGTAAACAAAAAAAGAGAATTCATGCCTTCTCCCTAGTAGTCGCGTACTTGACATCCACCGCTCCCTTGTCATCGAGACCCAGCCTAGCCGTCACGACGCCGGAAAGCAGACCAGGGAAGAGCCATGGATGCTGTATCATCTCGACTTCGAACACGTTGATCGTCTCGCGTGCCAGGTCAGTGTACTTGGCGTCCTTGAGCACTTGGCCGAGTCGGAAAAGATTGGATACGGAGACGGTGTTGGTCGACGGCAGGGATGTGTCCATGCCATCCTTCAGGCGGATAATGGTGTGAGGTGCTGAGGCAGTAGTTGAGTAGTAACCACCCTCTGGGTCGCTGAAGAGGGAGATTTGTGTTTCTAAACATACCACGTTAGATTAGACACGAAAGGGGGGGGGGGGGTAGATGTGACGGAGATATCATGGGCAGGATGAGAAGAATGAACTCACTTTGGACAATGTCGGCAAATTCGAGTATCGTCTCATCGCCAGTGGCATAGAATAGATCGATAAGGCCGAGGACAAGGTAGGCGTAATCATCTGCGAAGCCTTCACCACTCTTTCCGTGCCTCCATATCCGGGAGAGGGTTTTCGAGCTCTTGTCCCAGAGCTGGCTTCTGATAAAGGCGGCAGCTTTGCTGGCGGCCTGGATATATCTCGCACTCTTCTCCGGACACAGTTGTGCGAGAGCGGTGCCGGTCTGAGCCAAGGCCGAGATGACGAGACCGTTCCATCCCGTGACTACCTTGTCGTCCAGCTCGGGTCGCGGCCTATCTCTGTCCCTCCTCTCCTTGAGCACACTCCTGGCCGATTTGATGTACTCCTCCACCGTTGATACGGGGATACCATAATGCCTGCTCAAGTCGTCTGCCGTCCTTCGGATGCATAGGATGTTTTGGTTGATGAAGTCGTCGTTGGGGTCATGGGCCTCGTTGACATTGCCGCCTCCCTGGACACCATAGTGGGCGGCCACGACCTGGCTGACGTTGGGACCCAGAGTCTCAACTATCGAGTCAAATTCCCGACGCGTCCAGAGGTAGTAGGCGCCTTCCTGTGTATCCATGTCTCCTTTCTTAGCGTAGGAGTGGGCGGCTTCGCTCGATGCGAAAGCCCCGTCGGGCAGTGTGATGGGTGGAGATGAAAGGTAGTCGGCGAGCTCTGTGACAACGTCGAAGAATTCGCTGTCTTCCTTGGCGCCGCTTACCTTCCAGGCTTCCAGGTACAGCGAGAGAAGGAGGGCGTTGTCGACGACGAGCTTCTCAAAGTTGGGAACGGTCCAGTCTGCCGTCACAGAGAAGCGGCAAAAGCCAGTTCCACCAACGTGATCGCGCAAAGCGCTGTTGCGAACCTGACGCAACGTAGTCAAGGCCATCTCGAGGGCCTTTGCGCACTCCGACTCACCAACCACGTCTTGAACGGGTTGGGGGAACTGAGAGAGATGCATGAGGAAGATGAGCTTGGGCGGTGTCACAAATTTGGGAGCCAGTCCGAAGCCGCCGTATACCGGGTCAAAAGTGCCAGCAATATGAGCGTAGGCTTCCTCCAGCTGGTCCAGGTCCACTTCACCCAGCACGACAGGCCTGGTCTTCGCTCCGAGATCCGAGGAGGGCGCGGGCTCTGCGTGGCCAAGAGTGTTGAGTCTACCCTCGGCGGCAAAGTTCTTAAGCTGGTCGACAGTATCGGTAGCCTCCTTGCGGCATCGAGCCTCGTGATTCCTCCAAATGTTGCGCATCTTCTTCACGACATCCAGGAAGTCGGGAATATCGTCGCCAGTTTCCGTCGCGGTGCGCCGTGCTGAACTCTGGCCGGGCCAGTAGGTTCCACCAAACACGGGCTCCAAATTGGGAGTGAGAAAGAGATTGAGAGGCCATCCGCCTGAGCTGCTGACGGCCTGAACATAGTTCATGTAGATGGCATCGAGATCCGGGCGTTCATCGCGGTCTACGGCGATGGGTATGAAATGCTCGCTAAGTATAGAGGCACACTCGGGGTTCGAGAAGGACTCCTGAGCCATGAGCCGACAGTCTGCGACGTGGTGCGATTAGTGGCTTGTATGTCATCGGCAAGTCACCGAGCCAAAGCACTCACAATAGCAGGCCTTGTAGCCGATATGGAGGAATATGAGCTTGTGCTCCTTCTTAGCGCGCTCAACGCTCGCATTATCCAGCTGCTGCCAGGCAACGGGACTTCCGGCCAGGCTCCTCACAAAGGGGCTCAGGCTGTCACCAGCGCGGTTCTGGAGAGGCTCGACGGGTGTATTGGCGGGGGCGGTCCCATCTGACTGTCCGGGGGCCATGCCCATGGCCCTGGCCGAGGCCGTAAGTTCTGAAGCGACCATGGTTTCTGTGGTTGCGATGGGAGTTGCGGGACTATTTTTAGTCGTCTGGGCTGAGCACGGTTCGAGTAGATGGGGCCGGTCCAGATAGGCGAGACGTGAGCCAGGCGAAGGGAGGGGGTAGAAGAAGCTATTCCAAACGTGCCCGGCCTCTTGCTTCCCTTGCCGGGATCGTGAACGGTCGGAACGGAGCAGAAGAGGCGATAGCGTAGAGCGAAGAGAAAGGGGATGCTCTAGCTAGATGGCAAGAGACGTGAACCCCGCCGAGGACCATGGAAAGTAATAGTGGAAGTAGGGGAGCTACCGGGGCGTGATGGGGTGAGTAAGGCGGGGCAGTAGCCACCGCTCGCCGAGTCGCCGATAGACGTCTACAGGGCGCTGAGCGAGAGCCAAACAGTCGGTACGTCATGAGAGTGGGCACTGGGCCAATTGGTGGGTACCTTCTGTGTGTGTTTTCCGCCTGGGGGGCTCCTCACTGATGGGCAGTGGGCACCTGCCACTGGACCTGGTACAGTGACGATACTACAGTACCTACCTGTATGGGTATGCTGCTATTATAGTCTGTTAGGTACCTGCCAGGGGCCAAGGCTCGACCCATTGGGCCATCTCCCTTTCGTAGGTGGAAAGGGCAATCGCCCACAGGGTCCTTCCCTGCTTAACCTTCATCACGTAATCACCCTATACTCGGCCGCATTCGGGAACGAGCCCAGAGTCGGAACTGTTCAGGACCATCTTGGGGTTAGGAGTATACCGCAAGTATCGGATTGTAAAGCCGTTCATTGAATTATGACCAGCAGTGATAGGTTATGCAATCAGTGTCTGAATACAACCGGCGTCACGTCACGTGTCATGCGCTGGCTGTCTCGCATAATCTGAGCGCTAGGCAGGCACAGGAGGAGGGAGGGTTGTCGGCGATCAATCCGTCTTAGAGAGGCGGGGCCCTGGAAATTTTGTGCGCATCTGACAGACGCATCCTTTCCTTCTAGACTGATGGTCCTATTGCATCAATCCTGCACGGGCAGCGCAGCATTCATGTATGTATTAATCGAGTATTATTATCATGATTATCAGTAGAAATAGTGCATGTAAGATGATGCTAATCACAAGACCAACTATTACTGCCAGCCTACCACTGAGACTCATCGGTTCCACATGGTTGGACCTGGGGCACTAATGCGGTTGCTTATCGATATGAAATATTACCGTCATCCTCCCCCGGTCACCCTTCGTCACCCTCACGGTCTCATCCTCTCTCATCCTTCACGCACCGAGCACATTTCCTCGGTCCATCACATCGGTGTGCCCGTCATCCGCCATCATGGACGAACCCACATACACCGTCTTTGTCAGGGTGCCCATTCCTCGGGGTGACTTTGTTGATCCGCCGCCGGTACGTTGTCTGGTGTACGTCCTTGGAGAGAGCTCTGACTCGTTGCTGATCATTTCTCTAGGTCAGCTGGAATACAACCAAAGACGAAGAATTGTGGAGGATCCTATCCGGCGCAACACAGCAGGAGATAGACTGTAAGCCTTCATTGCCACCCCCCTCCACACGGTATCAGACTAATCATTTCTGCCTCACAGGGAACCAAGTGTACGCTTGGTGGCTAAGCCCTCCTCGTCCTTTCGCATAGTTTACTGACGATGATTGTTCTCCTATAGGGCCGACGACTTCAATGTTCCCGTAGACTTCCTCCTCAGGCAGGTCGACTATCTCACCGAACGTCACGCATCGCAAGTCCGTGCCCAGGTCCGCAAGGCCACCGCTGCCGCCAAGAGTGGCGGCAGCTCCAATGGCCCGTTACCTGCCCCCCCGGGGTCCGACTCAGCCGCTGGCATCCGCTCATTACGACGCAATTCGCGAACCATGCGCACCGTCGGAAGCGGCTCTGCGACACCCATCAATGCATCCCAGCGTCCCGTCGTATCCCGTAATGCCTCGGGTGCAACGGCCGTACCCCGCGACATGGGCAGCGCGTCGCCCAGCCCCGCCAACTCGGGCAGGATGGTGTCGGCAGCCGACCAGCCCGGTCGTCGCAGGCTTTCGTCACTACCCATAGCCACCAATACCGACGACCAAGAAGTACCGGCACGACGCGCAGAGACAGACGCATCACCGGGTGCAGAGCAGGATACGGCAAAGGATGATCGGTCGCCGTCGCCCGGCCCGGCCGAGTCCAGCTCGACAACGACATCCGACGACGAATCTATGCCGGCGCAATCCCGCATCATCCGCCGTCCTCCTCGCTTCCAGAGCCAAGATACGACGAACGCCTACGCCGACGATGAGGACGATGACGATGACAGTTCCGAGCCGGCCTTTCAGCCGTACAAACCACCCGCTGGATCCGCCCAGACATCGGCGCATGACCTGTCGTCGACGCTGCGGGGCGACGGCGTCGCACGGACAAACTCATCAAGGAGGCCGACCAAGCAATCGTCGCGAGACCAGCGTGGCCATAATTCCCAGACATCTGATTCAGACACGAGCTCAGCGATGCAGCCTTCGTGTAGTGCCCCCAAGCCGCACAGGGCAGCCGGACCCTTGTCGCCTCGTCGGACAGCCGAGCTGGCGGGTCGAAGCTCCGGCGGTAGGGGGTCACACGAAGGCAGCGACGGCACACCTAGTATGGGTAGCAGCTTCAGTGACCTTGATGGTATGTTCCCTCCCGCTTATTCATGCGTATTCCGATTTCACCTAACATCGAATGCCATCGTTATAGATGCCTCGGTCACACAATCGGCTCTTGAGGAAGCACTGGCCAGTCACATGAACCGTGGCATGGGAAGTCGCTTCAGCATAAGCCAAGCCTTTCGAAGTCGGTATACTCCCGGCGGAGGCCAGTAAAAGATCGGGCTCATGGCTTTTTGATTCTGCTCTTCGTGTTTCTTCTTGCTCTTCTCCTTGCTGTAATATCTTTCATTTCCTCTGGTCTGGACAGGCGTGCGTGTAACCGGTGTTTTGTTCCTTTTCTGTCTTGTTTTCTGGGATATAGTTTGGACCACGCGGGTGGCCGCATGAGGCCCCCCCTGGGCGTTTTGTGTGTTTGCCCTCGCGGCAATGATTGTCGATTATTCTATTCGATTGTATGATGATTATGATGGGCCTTGACAGGGTGGAATGGCATGGAAAATTGTGTGTACCAGCTTTACTCTGTATCTGAGGTATATCATGACCCAAAGACTTCTCGTCATCAGAGAAACGAACACTTCCTCCTGCATCGTAACACTGAAACAGGTCATTTTGTTTGCCCTGAATAAGTCTACGCAATACTCTCCTCGAGGGCGTGGTTCCTCTGGTGTATGCAGGCACCTTCACCTTCAACTCACCACTCTTCACTCTCGTTCTCCTTCTCTCTGCTGTCTCCTTCCATCACCTCCACCACCACCACCACCACCATATCTCCAGATACACCTCGATCTGCACACTTCCTCCCGTCTTCTGCATCAACGTAAAGCCCATCATGTACTTCCGCCACTGGTCGGGTCTGCCCGAAGACATTTCCTTCCCGTCCGACCTGGAGGGCCTCGGGTTCGACAACTCCCCCAACACACACACCGGGATAAAGCCCCGTCGGCTAACAGGTTCACATCAGATACTTTATCAACGATGACGATGAACTCCGCTCCCTCGAGGACCCAGACCAGTATTTCAGGCATTTCTTCAACCGCAACATGCGCGTCAACATGCGACGACGTTTTGCCATAGACAGTGTGTTGACTTTCTTCTCTTTTTTTCCCCCACCCCCTTGACCTATCGTTCTTTTGAAGAAGAGGGGGAGGAGGAGCAGGAGGAGGAGGAGGTCGGGACGCGACAGCTGATGTGATGATGTATAGGTTGCCTGGAGAAGGTTATACACGAGCGCCTGTCGAATCTCAATCTGGTCAAGACGCCCCTCCCGCTGGACACCCCGTCGACGATGAAGCACGTCCCCGTCTTCATTGACGCCGACCTGCCCAGCAGGACCCGCGTCGTCGTCATCTTCGGCGAGACGAGCAACATGCTCGGCCAGCTGGCCGGGCGCGTGGTGACGGGCGAAGGCGGCATATCCCAAGGGAGCATGGTGTCAGTGGTGGAGGAACTGCGGCGCCAGCACAGCGGTCCGGATGACCTGTCCCCCCCCGGGATCCTGGTGGCCAACACGGGCCAGCTGTACTGGTGGCCCGAGGGGTCGCGAGCCCTCACCGTCGGTGCGAGTTCCACCCTCCCGCTGCCCAGCCTGGTGCACGCCGGCTGGCGCTTCTCCGCGCAGGCTAACGAGGTGAGGGGCCACGAGACGCCGCAGCGGCACGTGCAGAGCGTGTTCGATGACGCGCTGACGCGCCTCCTCCAGCCCGGCGCGCGCGTAGACATCGTCGCCATCGGCGACACGTGCGACTACGTCGAGCGTTTCCTCGACGCCGAGGCCAGCTGGGCCGTCTGGGGTGCGCGCCTGGGCTTCATGCTCCTCATCGACCCCATCTGCGAGGCGGGCCGTCTGTCGAACGTTGCCTTCAAGGACTTCCTCTCCAAGGTGAGGTCGAGAACAGCACTCGCGTCGTGCTCATAGTTTATTTCCTCCTCCTTTCTGACCCCGCTCCGCAGCGCTCCCGCGGCTACCTCCGCTCCACCGAGCCCGTCGACACCCCCCTCGCCACGCCGGAAGGGAACCCGCACCTGTGCATTGGCGCCTTGGGCATGCCGTGCTACTCGTCCGCCGAGCCCAACTACACAGAGTGCATCCTCGTCCGGTCGCTGCCCCACATACTGGGCTACCTCGGGAGGAACGCGCTGGATCCCGGGGCGGTGAATGAGCCCATAGCCCACGTGCCGACTACCACGCCCCCGGATGATGAGGTTGTCGAAGAGGAGGACGGATTCGATGACGCTGCATGGGCCCAGGTCGATGATGCGCAGAAGCCAGACGTCGAGTATTTCGATTCCAAGATACTAGATCTACAGAGGAAGCAAGAGCGTTTGTGGAACGAGTTTTAAGAGACGGGCGAGGCGCCGGGCTCGGATGCGGAGGATGAGGAGGGAGGTGGCAAGGCTGCTGATGCTGAGCACGTTTAAAGGGAGGGGGGGATACAAGTGATTGTTTTCACCTACAATCTGGCATTGTTTTAGTAGTTGAGGAGGGGGGGGGGGCGGTGACAAAAAGACGCTAGGGACATTAAGATCAGACACAACACAAAGGGGTTTATTATACACGCTTCATCCATCACTCTCAAGCCTTGACGTAGCGCGTGATGCCATCGTTTCCGGGCTTGAGATCCTCAATCAGGTCGCTCGTCCTCTTAGATCGCTCCCTTATGACGGCGCCCTCGGCGGACCAACGGCCTTCAACCTCGGGGTCGTCGCCCTTGCTGGATCCCCAGAATGATAGGACGCTGGGACGGCTCTGCTGCCTCTTGGCCTCCTCCCTCCTCTGGCTCTCCTCGCGTGCCAGCCTGGCCACCATGACGGACCAGTTGTCTAGACCTGTCCTGAGGCACTCGCGGCACCGCTCCTTGGCGACTCGGGTGTCGTTGCCGGCCTCGGAAGACCTGGAGGGGGAGGCATCGGCGTCCTTGGAGGACAGGGAGCGCAGCTGCTCCTCCGCCACGTCGACTCCCTCGCGAGTCCAGGCGATGCCGTCCTCTCGCGATGACGTGGCGTAGAGGATCTCGCCAATGTACAGGCTGAGTGAAGCTTCGATGCAGCGCTCCTGGGCGTCGCGCCAGGGAGGCTGTGTGCCGTCGGGCTGGGGAGGGGGGTAGTCGGGCTGAGAGAAAAAGCGGACGAAACGGTGGTAAAGGGAGCGTCGGCGTTCGTCTGCACCGAGGTGTGAGGTCGGCGGTGGCGTTTCAGGCAGGGAGCGGCGTGCCTTGAGCAGCGAGAGGTAAATGGGCAGAGCTCCTGCCGTGTCACCACTACGGGCTTTGTGGTTCGCCAGGGCACCTAAGGCGTCCAGGACGTTCTGGGAAATAGCCGAGGGGGAGGAGGAGGATGATGAAGTGCGGGTGGTGGCACCATGGTCGTCCTTGAGGACAAACGTCTTTGGATCGTACGGCAGCCTAGTCTGGTCCATGCCCTGGGTGGCTTCGGCCAGTGCCAGGCTATACAGGGCCTCGGAGCCGACCTGATGACGCTTTGTGTCGACGAAATTGGCGTACTCGAGGGCTGCCTCCATCTTCTGACGTGGCGTCAGGCCCCGCGTCGCCACGATCTTGAGGTAGTACCGGTCCGCAGGCGGGAAGGCCACCTCGCAATCCTCCTCGCGAGGAGCGGGGGGGCTGCCTGCGGGGATGGGCTGGGGTCGGGGGTTGGAGGGTCCGAGGACGAACTGCGGAGGCCAGACATGCATCCTGTCGCTGTTGGACTCCTTCAGCCATCCGTCGACGATGCCTGCGGCCCTGGCCGTCAGCATCATGGCTTCGAAGTAGCCCCGGCGCCACTCCTCGCTCTTGCCCGAGACGTCGTGCGGGATGAACTCCCACGGCACCTCGTTGTTGGGGTCCTCGTGGTCATGCAGGCGCGTGACGCCTTGGCCGCTGCTCCTGTCGGGGTCCTCGAGCGCCAGGCACAGCTTGCGCGCCAGCTGGTACGCCATGGTCCACGACACGTTCCTGTGCTCCGGGTTGGTCCACTTGTGCGCGTCGCGCAGCAGCTTGCGCTCCTGCCATCCCCACTCATGCGGGGTCGGGTACTCACGCTCCAGCACCTCCTCCAGGTAGAAGAAGTAGATGGTAAAGATGCAGAGAGCCCCGACCCACGAGATGATGGCGTATCGGACCAAGAGCTTGGCTTCGTGCCGCAGCCACGTCGCTACCGCCGGACGCTCCGCCGATGCGTAGCCGCGGTCGAGGGTCACCGTCGTCGTCGTCCCCGTCGACGAGAGGAAGGGCACCGTGGGCCGGGATCGCGTGCTGAGTCGGGCCACATGGGCTGTTGGCGATGTTTTCGGCTGCTGCGTAATGTGGATTCGGCGCTGCACCGACTGGTTGATGGGGCGCTGCCAGGCAAGGCGCCCTGCTGGCGGCGGCCGCATAGCTGAACTGCGGTTGGGAGCCAGTAGCCCCTTAATGGAGACCGTACTCTTTTCTACTTATCCTTCTTCTCTTATGACTTGAGAGCCGGAGCAAGCCGCTGCGTCGATGAGGCCATTGGCGGAGAGGAAGACTAAGGAGAGCAAAGATTAAAGAAGTGTTGGCTGCAATATTACAGTCGGGCGATTGACTGAGGCGTCGATCGTTTCCCGCAGTAGCGCCAGATGTCAGATGACTAAGCCGGTTTTCAAATGTCACGACGTGGTCCAAAAATTTAGAGGGTCCGTCGTCGTCGGAAGAACGGTGAGGGATCAAGGACGTTCAAGAAATAAAGTCGTCTAATATATGATGGAAGAGCATGGCGCCTTCAATAATAGACTCATTTTCAGACCACCGAGCCCAGCTGGTGGCGACAGGCGTCATCTCTAGTGCTGTTGCACTCTCACTTCTTCTGGGATATCAGAACTTTGAGAGGAAGGAGAAGCTATCGGCACTTAAGGACTCGATACCATCTCTCGAGGAGGAACATGGAACCCGGCAGGTGAGAAGACCGGGAATCAAACTCTGCACTGATGTTGCATCCCAACTGACGATTCGCAACAGCTCAACAGCTTTGGGGCGACGGCGTCGGCAGCCGACATCGAGGATGCCAGGAACCAAGCGCTAGCCCGTCGGGCGCAGGCCGGTGACTTCGAGGAGGAGCTCATCACGGAGCAGCTGGCACGCAACCGCGTATTCCTGGGCGACGACGGACTATCTAAGCTACGGGACTCGGTTGTGGTGGTGGTCGGGTGCGGCGGTGTGGGGTCCCACTGCGCGGCGTCGCTGGCCCGCTCGGGCGTGACAAGGCTGCGGCTCGTCGACTTTGACCAGGTCACGCTGAGCTCCCTGAACCGGCATGCGGTAGCGACGCTGGCGGACGTGGGCATCCCCAAGGTGCGGTGCCTGGAGAGGCGGCTGGTGGCGATCGCGCCGTGGGTGCGGTTCGACCTGCGGCAGCAGAAATTTGACGAGCACTCGGCCGAGGCGATGCTGGGGGCGTGGGATCTCGCGGGCGACGACGGCCACCACGGCCGGCGGCCCGACTTCATCGTCGACGCCATCGACAACATCGAGACCAAGGTGGAACTCCTGAAACTGTGTCACGAGAAGGAGCTGCCGGTCATCAGCTCGATGGGGGCTGGGTGCAAGTCGGACCCGACGCGCATCGTCGTGGGGGACATTGCCTCGACGACGGACGACGGGCTCTCGCGGGCGACGCGGCGGCGGCTCAAGCTCCGGGGCATCACGCGCGGCATCCCGACGGTGTACTCGACGGAGAAGAGTGGGGAGGGCAAGGCGGAGCTGCTTCCGCTGCCGGAGGACGAGTTCCACAAGGGGTCGGTGGGCGACCTGGGCCCGATGCCCTATTTCCGCGTGCGTATCCTCCCGGTGCTAGGCACCATGCCGGCCATCTTCGGCCTCACCATTGCCAATCACGTGATCCTCAGCATCGCGGGCTACCCGCTCGACTACCGCCCGGCCAAGGGCCGCGAGAAGATGTACGAGGGCATCCTGAACTACGTACAGGGCAGCGAGGAGAAGATTGCGCGGTCCTTCCACCCGGGCCTCGTCGGCCTCAAGGTGGCACTGACGACGGACGACGTCGCCTTCCTCGCCGACGACTTCTACCGCTCCCGAAGCGTGCTCTCGTCCATACCTACGCGCATCGTCCTGATACGCTGGCGGAAGCCCGCCGAGTCCACCGTCGACGTCATCGGCGAGGGCACGCCGGACGTCCAGAGGTGCGCCAACCTGCGCTTCAGCGATCTAGTCTGTATGACGAAGGAGGAAGCCGTTCGGCACGACAGGGAGGTCCTCGGGGCGGGCAAGCCGCTGGACGAGATCTACGATGCGGACACCATCCGTCGTGTAGACGAGCAGCGCGTCGAGTTAGACAGGTATTATGAGATGTACAGGAGGTGATGTGGTGGTTTGTACGCATAGGACTATTGCTTTAACCACTTCACAAGTAGTTGTTGGTTTCAGTAGATGGTAGTCATCTACTAATAGCCCGATCTATCACCTACACGTGCTCTTCTTCCAGCAAGGGGCCTATGCTGTGTGATTCTGATTCGGGTTATCCTTATTCAATCTCGTGATGCTACGGATCCAGCATCATATTGCCATATTTACCCCTGACAAAGCGGACTATTTATTCCTCCGGACGTTTGGCCGGGGCCCTGTCCCGAGAATCTGCCGGATGTAATACTACGGAGTAGATCTAGTGATATTACCATCTGATGTCCACACAGCAGTTCTGCTAGTGAAAATACTAAAGCTAGTACAGCAGTAATACCTGCTTAGATGGGGGATTCTTGCTAGGATTCACCTTGTTTCTTCTCCTCTTCTCTTCTTTCTTGTTTCTCTTGTTTGTTGTCATGTATTGCTGCATTGTGTTTGTGTGTTTGTTGGAGCTACATATGTATGCCAAGTCGGTGTAGAAGAGACGAAAGAGTAGCGGTGGCGCTGATATAACATTGTACGTCTACCGAGCAAACCTGCTTTATTGTTGGTTTCACAAAGCGGGAGCTCCGTTTAGCACAGTATCGTGGGATGATGGCACAGCGAAGTATCAGCTTCCTCGTTGAGAAGCCTTTGACGGTGTTTGTGACCGCAATTCATTGTCTTGGTTGCTATCCAGTCTTAGCTTGCTGCGAGCCTCCTCCCGATGTATCTGTCCATTACGTTAATGTAAATATAAATGCAAAGCTGCCTATGGTATTAGCCGACAAAAATACTCCACGCCCAACACCTACGTATACTATACTCACTCGTACGCCATGCACATATTGTTATATTACAGGTATCGAGACAAAGGCAATAGATAGATGGAAACAGGCTACGTGTACTACTTGTACAAGTGCTTCCGGATACTTGTGCTCGGAAGGAAGAGTAATCACTTATCCAATGTCTCTCCATCTCCTTTTACAAAACTAGAACCTAACCCAATCACGTCCCAGGCGAGCAATCTATATGCCTCCCCTTCACCGCCAACTTCGCCCTGCTCAGCAGACATTTTAGCAGCATGCCTCATGGCCATTGACAACGGATGGACCGGCCGAGGAGATGACGTCCAAGGTTGATCCATAGATGACTTGCCACGACGTATCACTGTACTCCAGTGTACTCCCCAGCAATGTTTCGGTAGGGCTGCAGAAAGGAAAGTGTCAGACAACGAGTCTGCTTCGGGGGGGGAGGGGGATAGTGAAGTAAGTGACGAAGTCTGTTAAGTGGCTGCGTAGTTATGATGATGTCGCGGAGAAAGAAAGCTGAAGACTGGGAATCCAACTTCAGTTCCTCATTCCCAGGAAATGCATAGCATACTAATCAGGCGAGATCAACTCTTCTATCCCGAACGGAAATCAGACAACGCTGCAGAAAGAGGCAGTGGTGACGGCGCCTTACACACTTGTGGAGTCCCTTTTACAGCGGAAGGAAGAGGAGGCTTTTTTCTTCTTCCTCGTTACGTTTCTGCAGATGCGAATTGAGCCATTCCCTGGTGCCTTTAGGTGCACACGCCTCGTTTGAGAACAGGCAAAATGTGAGATTCTGGCAATTCTATTCTGTAGCACGGGCAAGAGGTGCTGTACCACGCCTTGACACTTGGCCAAATTTTCTGCGCCTTGCCCTGCCCTGTTTTCTCGGAGAGAGAGAGGGAGAGGGAGAGAGAGAAATGGCACAACTTCTGCCTCACTGTGTATGCATTTTCGGAAGAAAGCAGAAAGAGAGTGAGAGGGGAGTGCACGATCATGGAATCCGTCAGCACACCCTTTTCCTTATGAATAGCCTCGCGCTCCTGGCGGTATTGAAAGTGCGTTGCACGTTTGGCTGAACCTATGAAATCTTGTATCTATTCGTATTGGCATGTATGCTCGTCATGCCGTATATCACATTGTCCATCGTATCCACAACGCCTTCCTCCTTGAATCTCCGGCACATGCACACCAGAAGAAGATAGAGTAGTCACAGCTCATAGGAGACGAGGCAAGGTCTTGAAGACGCTATTCGGCCTTACCTACACTGACACAGAAGCCGGGGGTTGGGTTGCTATAAAGGAACGTAAATATCAGAAAGATGCGAATATATGACTAAGCAGGTTAGCAGCAGCCGCATCATCACCATGACGCAGTGGCAGAGGCAGTTATCGATACCATACGACTACTAGAAGCACGACTAGTATACAGCATATTGACAAGCAAAAAGAAATCAAAACAGGAATAGAGTATATAAATTCGACAGATACGAGCGGTCACTAAAGACTTCTCTCGAGTAGCAGTGGTTGTAGTTGTGGAAATCAACTAGTAAAGGGTTGAAGGGGAAGAAGGCATTAGTGAGAACACACCACTAACTTTACAGACGTTAAAAGGTAGGCAAGGCATTGTGTGGTGTTAAGTTCTTGTATCACAATTGCAAAGATGTACTGTGACGGTTTTATATTACTTGCTTACTCATGGTCTTAACGCGGACAATGCGAACCACTATAACTGTTTAAATGAATGAAGGACTATAAGATGATGTACAGTACCGCACCCCTCCCTCTATACAACAATAGCTGTGGATTTCTTATGTACCTATATGTGAATACACAAGATTGGTCTCTTATTGTAACGACAATAATATATATACTTGTACAGCTCTCTTTTCTGCGATGCACGCTATGCTCCATCACCTCCTCTCTCGTTTTATGGCACGTCACTGGCTCTGGCACATTGGCATGACTCTCAGTACTGTCATTCTCTCTTACTCTGAAATCTGAACCAACCAACTCCCCCCCTCTTTCCCACTTCTTCTGATTCGTTCTGTCTTTCAGCGGTGTTTCTTGAAGCGGCGAGAACGAACACGCGGCATGATCTGTAGCCACGTCACACGCTGTTCTCGTCTCGGGCAAAGAACGCGACGCAAACAACAGACCACGACTCCTGAACTCGCTCGATACCGGCCGTAACCTTTGTGTCTGCGGATGCTCCCCGGCCGGCTACAATGGGCAGCGTCAATCTCGATAAGGGCTGGATACCGCACCTCAGCCAGATGCACCAGGGGAAGGGTGCCCAGCCGAACCGGGAGGGAAGCCAGGGAGGAGGGCGAGACCAAGTACGGGAGCAGGACGGCCAGGAGGGGGCTATCGATGACGAGGACCGCATCTTTCAATGTGGCTTCTGCAATCGTCCCGTGACATACGACATCGACACCTTCACGGCCCACGTCCAGGCCGATCTACCGAACCACGGCACCCTGGAAGATGAGACGGCCATCGCAGAGGCCTTTGCCAGGGTGAGCCTCAGGTCTCCGTACGTTGCCTGCCTCGAGAAGGTCCCCACCCCCTCCCAACCCCACACTCCCCACCCCACTCCCCCTCCCGCACACGATCCTCTGCTCGACGCGCACGCTAAATTTTTCTGTCCGCGTCTCGCGTCACGCCTCTGTCAGACCTCCCAGAGTTCGCTCCAGGCAGCAGCCACAATCACCGTCCGGCAAGAAGCGGCCGGGGCCCGATCCGGGCGGACACGGACGCTGCGAATGGGACCCGGACCGGGCCACTGGTGAGCCGGAGCCTAAGAGGCTCAGGTCGCCCGTCACCTCGGACAGGGCAGATCACGGAGATCACGGACCGCCCGCCGCCAAGTTCGACCGCGGCAGGGGCCACAACCACAGCCACAGTCGCGGGTCGCACTCGGTCTGGCAGCTCGATGACCCATATGCCGGCGGTTCAGGCCAGCGTCCGGCCGAGAACCACGGCAGGAACGCCTCTTCGACCGACCAGCCACGCCGACGCCAGGGAGCGGCGCGGCCGACGGATGCCGGCGCCAGGGCCACGACACCCGCCGACGCCCAGGCGCACGGGGACGAGCTTCTCAGGCCCAACACGTCGATGCGCGCCCAGCCGGAGAGCCGGCCGATAACGCAGGACCAGCTGGTCAAGGAGCTCAAGGGCATCTACTCGACGCTCGTCGTCGTCGAGACCAAGTGCATCGAGGTCGACGCGGCGCAGACGGGCAACATAGAGCACAACCCGAGCGCCGAGCAGTGGAAGGCCCTGATCCTCCTGCACCGCACCCTCCTGCACGAGCACCACGACTTCTTCCTCGCCTGCCAGCACCCGGTCGGGAGCGAGGCACTGCGGAGGCTGCCCTACAAGTACTCCATCCCGGCCCGCATGTGGCGCCACGGCATCCACTCCTTCCTCGAGATCCTCCGCCAGCGCCTCCCGGCGTCGTACGACCAGATGCTGGCCTTCATCTACATCGCCTACGGCATGATGTCACTGCTCTACGAGACGGTGCCCGCCTTCGAGGACACATGGCGCGAATGCCTCGGCGACCTGGCCCGCTACCGGATGGCCATCGAGGAGCACGACCTGAGGGACCGCGAGGTCTGGACCGGCGTGGCCCGCTCCTGGTACAGCCTGGCGTCGGACAAGGGCCCCTCGACCGGCCGCCTCTACCACCACCTGGCCATCCTGGCCCGCCCGAACGCTGTGCAGCAGCTCTACTTCTACGTCAAGTCGCTGTGCGTGCCGATCCCCTTCGCCAGTGCCCGGGAGAGTATCATGACCCTGTTTGACCCGCTATTGGCCGGCAACCCCCAGAAGCTGCAGCCGGTAGACGCCGCTTTTGTCCGCGTGCATGCCATCTTGTTCTCCGGGAAGCACGAGGACCAGCTCGAGTCGTCTATGAAGGAGTACATAGAGGGTGTGGACGGCCAGATTGGGCAGATGGCCAGCAGATGGCTCGGGACTGGGTGAGCCCTCTTTTTTTTCTCTTTTTTTTTGCCTTTTTTCTCTTTCCTCAATTTCACACCACCCTTTCTCTACTCCCACCCCTCCTCTCTCAACTTCCCCCTCTCTTTTATTCTCTTTTGACTGGCTGACTGATGTCTCTTTTTTTTTTTAAAAAAAAAAATAGCTATCACATGGGTATCCCTCTTGCGTGTGCACTTTTGGAGTACGGTAACAGAGACAACTTTCTGATGGAGTTGATTCGGCAGCGACACGAGCCGAAGGAGGACAAGACCATTGCCGCCGCTCCCAAAGAAGCTGGAGAACGAGATGGAGGGGGAGAAGAAGGAGAAGCAAGTAACGGAGTATCAGGACAGGACACGAAGAGTGTCAGCACCAGGGAACCGGGGCCAAACGATACGTTTATCAAAGCTCGCTCGCTCCTGGTAAAGGCTTACACTACGATAGTATCGCGATGGGGCGACTACAACACGCTGCCGTTCCTGCACACGATCCTGGCTTTTCTAGACCACGCGTCCCAGTACCCGGAGGCGATGCGCCATATAGAAGAAGAATTCCCTTGGCACCTGACGGCCGTCATGCTAAACTACATACTGCCCAAGCCTGTGGGCAATGTCGATGGCGATGGCGATGACAATGGTGATGGTGATGGTGGTGGTGGTGGTGGTGGTGATGATGGCAACAACGTCTGGGAAAAGGGCAAGAAGACATCGAAGACGAAGAAGATGAAGGGGAAGGGGGCCAACGCACTCGACGCCCAGGCCCACAACGCCCACGTCGCCCACGTCCGCCAGCGCATAGACGACACGGCCACCTTCCCCGGCCCGTACAAGGGCGAGACGCCGCGCCCGCTGCCGGAGGATTTCGCCATGCGAGGCCTCGTCTACACGGAGGACTACTACCCGATCTACTGGTTCCGCGACAGCAGGGTGGAGGAGGAGGAGAAGTTCTTTGAGATGACTTCGATGATGGAGACGCGCAAGGAGAGGATCCTCTGGCTGGGGCGCAGACTCGCCAACCACAAGAGGTGGCTTACGTGGGACGGAGAAGGGCACGGTAGGTTCGACGTCGTTGACAAGTATGCTGAGAGACCCGAGGGCAGGGACCGGTCGGATCAGTCGGAGGTGGCGAGCGAGAAGACGATGTGGAAGGGAAAAGAGGCGGATGTCCGGGGGAGTGTGGTCAAGATTGAGGAGGTATGATTTCTCTCTTCTTCCCCCCCCCCCCCCCCCCCCCTCTCTCTCTCTCTTTTTTCTCTCCCTCTTTTGTTATTACTATACCTCATTCCTTCCATTTGCTTCACCGTTGTGTATATGGTTATCAAGTCTAGTTCCTCGAACGATGTTTTTTTTTTATCATTGCCTTGTCTCTAACTTTTAATGGTTCAAGATGTGCATAGGTGCATCAGACTCACTTCCTGTCTATTACATATAAAGAAAAGGAAGACTTAATAGGGAATTTTCTTTTTAATATATATATAAACAATTTTACGCGTCTCTATACATACATGTACATGCGTAATTATATACGTTTGAGTCAGTGTCGAAACCTCGTTTGAGCCGTTATCTATACACATGTTACGTAGTTATGAGAGCCAATCGGGGTTATTGTGTGTAGATTCTAGCCTTCCTCGTATCCTCCTTGGGACCACCAAGGGGGTCCAGAGCCCCACAGCTTCTTTTCTTGACAAAAAAAAGTGAGGCGACAGGAGATGGCGTAATAATAGCGCGGAGACCGATTTGGTTTAGCTCGGTTGCCTCTTTTCTGCCTTGCGTTGATTGCGAGTGAATAATACGCTACCAACGATAAAACGGTTTGATTATTCTCTTCTTCCGCTTAGTAATACATCATGTTACTTTGTGTGACTGCAAAAAAACTAGCACCAACGAATCTATACCGAAACGGCACAACCATGCATCCCAACGAAAACCGAGAGTGACAAGTTGGGGAAAGCAGAGAGGGAGAGAAGACAGCATGGACCAGTCTTTCGACTCTGCATGCCTAGATAATACGTCATTTCCTTCTCAGGCCGTCCGTGGGAATTTTTCTCCGTTCCGTGTCTCGTTGTGTCATATTCCTGCAGGTGACTGTCCAACCGTCTCTTCTCGCAGGCATTAGTACCCAAGGGAAGTGATGGGGAGTGGAAGAGGAGTAAGATGGCATAGAAGGGGAGTGAAATGAGTGTAGGAGTGCAGAAAGTGGCAGATGGGATATCAGTAGGAGAACAAGGCGAGTGACGTAGAAAAGGGGAGGGAGGAGAGGGAGAGAGAGAGAGAGAGGGGG